CTCCCTCCTCAAGACCTTGACCCAGAGACTATTCGCCAGATCGAAGATGCCACTGTAAGTTTTTTCAGCTATATACATCTACCACGCATTTACTAACCCATGATCAGCGCAAGATAGGAGCTGCACTAAACATAACTGGACCTTACAACATCCAGTTCATTGCCAAGGATAACGAGATCAAGGTTATCGAGTGCAATGTCCGCGCTTCCCGATCCTTCCCATTCGTCTCCAAGGTCATGGGTGTCGATTTGATCGAGATGGCTACCAAGGCCATGTCAGGCCTACCTGTGACTGAGTACCCACCCACTAACATCCCGGCCGAGTACGTTGGTGTCAAGGTTCCCCAGTTCTCGTTCTCCCGTCTTTCCGGTGCTGATCCTGTCCTTGGTGTGGAGATGGCTTCCACTGGTGAGGTTGCCTGCTTCGGTCGTACCAAGTACGAAGCCTATATCAAGGGTCTCATTGCCACTGGCTTCAGGCTGCCGAAGAAGAACATCTTGCTGTCTATTGGTTCATTCAAGGACAAGTTAGAGATGTTGCCTTCAATCGAGCGTCTGCACAAGATGGGCTACAACCTCTTCGCCACTGCTGGAACTGCTGACTACATTCAAGAGCACGGTATCCCCGTTAAGTTCTTGGAAGTATTGTCCACTGGTGAACACGACGAGCAAAAGCAAGAGTACTCGCTCACCCAGCACTTGTCAAACAACCTCATCGACTTGTACATCAACTTGCCATCCAGCAACCGTTTCCGTCGGCCTGCCAACTACATGAGCAGAGGATACCGTACCCGTCGTATGGCCGTTGACTACCAGACTCCTCTGGTGACCAACGTGAAGAACGCGAAGTTGTTGATTGAGGCTATCGCTCGCCACTACGACATGGAGATCAGCAAGGTAGATTTCCAGGAGTTTGCTGCAGCTCCCGGAGCCCACGATGCATCTTCAGGGCCTTTGTCTAAGCTTAACGGCTCGCTGTCGCTGCAGCAACTTCTTGCAAGGTCTCCGTTCAAGAGGGAACACATTACCTCTGTCAAGCAATTCACCCGTGCAGACCTTCATCTGCTGTTCACCATCGCGCAAGAGATGCGTCTCGGTACTCAGCGCCAGGGTTGTCTTGATATCCTCAAGGGTCGCGTCCTCTGCACTCTGTTCTGCGAACCATCAACTAGGACTTCCGCTTCCTTCGATGCGGCTATGAAACGTCTCGGTGGTGAGGTCGTCGTCATCAATGAATTGGTGTCGTCTACACAAAAGGGCGAATCCATTGCAGACACTATCCGCACTCTGGGCTGCTACGGTGATGCCATTGTCCTGCGTCATCCGTCGGAGGAGTCGATCAACATTGCTACCAAGTTCTCCGATGTGCCTATCATCAACGCTGGTAACGGTAGCCGTGAGCACCCAACCCAGGCTCTTCTGGACATCTTCACCATCCGAGAAGAATTGGGCACAGTGAACGGTAAGAATTTCCTTGTACCAACCTCATGTGAGACATACACTAACTCTTTTTAGGCCTCAACATTACCTTCGTTGGTGACCTCAAGTATGGCCGAACGGTCCACTCCCTCTGCGAGCTCCTTTCTCACTACGATGTCACCATCAACCTTGTGTCGCCCTCGTCTCTACCCATGCCTACTGGTGTCACTGATGCACTGAAGGCCCGCGGTCAGCTGAACAAGGTCACCACTGAGCTGACCGACGACATCGTCGCTTCATCGGATGTCATGTACTGCACTCGTGTACAGAAGGAGCGCTTCCCAGATGTTGCCAGCTACGAGGCTGTCAAGGATGCGTTTGTCATTGACAACAAGCTACTGAAGGGAGCCAAGGCGAACATGATTGTCATGCATCCGCTCCCAAGGAACAACGAGATTAACGAGGAGGTGGACTTTGACCCAAGGGCAGCCTACTTCAGACAGGTAAGTCTAACCCTGATCCATAAGGACATCCCAGCTAACAGCATCGCAGATGAGATACGGCCTGTACACCCGTATGGCGCTTCTCGCTATGGTCATGGCTCCCTAATCAGATCATCCAGCGCACGACTTCATGGCAGGCGTTTGACGGTTTTCACGAAAACGAAGAAAGCAACAAAAAGTTTTCCTTCCGCATACTTTCCTTTCGAGTTTATACCATGACATAGACGAGCATCATCAGCAAAGATTGTAGATAGATACTCAAAAGCATTTCCACGGAGTTTTGGCCACGGGTTAACGGTATATATATGATGTATAATTATCAACATCAGGATGGGGGGAAGCTATTTCACTTTTTCTGCAGCACGTTTCGGTGTTATTCTTGTATATTTTCAAAGAGGGGGAAAGTCATTTCATTTTTATTTCGTTTTCTTTTGGCGTTTGGGTGGGTCCTCTGATCGAGGTTGGGAATATGGATCGGAGTTGAGAGGAAGATCGGTACATCAATCGGACTGGGTAATTATCGGCGGTATTATGGATAGGGATCTGCATGGTTTGGAGTCGATGGAACGGTGGGATCAAACACAACGGAATTGGAAACAAAGGTAGTCATTACTACTGCCGGGAAGAGGGAAGACGCCGGACGCCTCGCCCTTGGTGTATACAATGGAAACAGATTCCCCACGTTGCGCGAAGTCGTCGAACTTTGCGTAAGAACATCAATCTCTCTGAGCACGTCGTGTACGCTTCGTGAAGTCCTTGTCGCTTTTCGGAAAGCAATGGTATTGTGCCAGTAGTGGCAGGAGTTTAGTGGCCGAGGCATCGCCCCCAACCTGATGTTCGTTAGCTTGTGATTCGAGAGATAGTGAGTTACGAAAGTGCTCGTTCTCAGGGTGTCGCCGTCTACACCAGGCAGGCGGATACAAACTAACGAGATTCTGCCATGTTCAGTGAACTTACCAGGAAGACCACAGCCGAAGCCGACAAATAGGTAGATCAAAAAGATGACAACCAGCGTTAGCAGTACCATCAATTTGACGTTCTTCCACCACATCCTCCTCTTTAGCGTCCGTGACCTGACCCTGAAGTCCCTCGCATTCTCACCCAGTCTGCCAGTCTTATCAACCAGGACACTCATATGCTCGCCCCTTTCTAGCACACGTTCAATGTTCTCTGTCATGATTTCCCTTACGCCCTCGATCTCGCGCTGCGCCGTCCTGAGCGCATCCTGTTGTCCAGCCTGAGTACCACCCTGCTCTACCATCATCCTCTTCAACGCGCCGTTGAAACTCGCACACCCATACGGCGGCAAGTCATGGAAGTTTGTGCTTCCAGGCTCGAATTCAGCAAAGAACTTCTTCTCGAGGTTCGTCAGGAAGCCAAAGGGTATGCGCTGGCCGAGGTCGCGTTCAGCGATAACGAGGAAGGTGAGGCCGCCGGCCGTGGACTGGTTGTTGGGGAAGTCTGAAGGCGACTTGACGAGGCAATGAATGAAGAACTTGGATTGATCGATGGTTTTGTGGGCGGATTTGTCGTGGGCGATGCGTGGGAGGACGAGAGAGACGAGAGAGGAGGCATTAGAGGAGGCCGAGGCGGTGTGTTCGGTCAAGACGGTTGTGTTGTGAGCTATGCATGCGCTGTGATTTTATCAGTTAATGGTGTTTCCAATTTGTATCATGTATTAGAGAGGCCATACTAGAGCAGCGGCGTGGAAGAAGACGAAGACGCCATGTTCAAGGTTGGCGGAGGAAGACCAAGGGCTCTGCGCGTAGCCGGGGGCGCTTTCGGTTGTTTGCGTGATTTGGGATTCGAAGGAGATTTCGAGTAGGATATGAGCCCTCGAGAGACTAGAGCGTGGTGGTGATGATGATGATGATGTGGGTCTGTTGTAGTGGTAGCCGTTGATGGTGTTGGTGCTGCTGCGGAAGGAGTGCCACTAAAGCTGGGGACGCTGCCTCTAGCCATGTGCGTCATAGCCAAGACGGTTCACGCCTCATGCGCTAATGCATGGATTGCGCTTGCGATTGATTGATGGGGCTTGCTTGCGATTTTAGTCAACTTCGCGTCTTCCATGCGCGTAAACGGGAGTTGTCGCAGGTATCAATTTCGAAGACTTCCAGTTGCGGTGGTTACGATCGCGTAGCAGCGAGGGTCTGCCTGTCATTTTAATTTCCGTGTTTCGTTTGCCTTTCACTTGGACACCCCACACTCTCCCAGCTCGCGCATACTCCACCGCTACGCAGAGACACACAACACAGTTTGAGCCAGCATGGTGCGCGTAAAGAACCGCTACCTGGTAGTCAACTTCCTATACCCGGAGCCTCCCGCGAAGAGCAAGACGCAACTTTCGGACGCCATTCAAATTCACTCGCCGACGCCCGATGCCCTTAAGCAGGGTCTTATCATACGTATGATACGGGACGGTGTTGAAGAGCTGTTTGGCGACTATGGCTCGGGTATGGTGTCTTCGGGACTGAAAGGTATGTTGCAAAGGCCTCGGGGGATTTTGATGGCCGTACTAATGACGTGCACAGTCAATTATTGCTCTCCCTCAACCAGCACCGCCATAATACGATGTCCACGAGACCACTACCAAATGGTCTGGGCAGCCCTCACATACATCACTCACCTTCCCAAACCTCTCGATATACCTGTCGTGATAAGAGTCGTGCGGGTTAGTGGTACCATCAAAAAGGCGGAACAGGAGGTTATCCGACGGTCACAGCACATTATCAAGAGAGCAAGAGCCTGGGATGGCGCCGGAGAGCTGCCCATGCTACAGAAAGTGGAGAAGGCAGTTGATAAAGAGAGGAAAGTGGAGGACGAGGTGCTTGCTAGGATTGACGACGACAACGAGAGTGAGGACATGAGCGAGTAGGCAGACTTGGGACTCTGCGTTTTTTTCATCTGCTAAGCCTGGCTTGTCGGATACTGGATACGGGCCCTAGCCATCACTGCGTGCTGCTTGACCGATACCATATCCTTGCTCCTGGCACTCCTATCTGTACTGCTCGGCAGTACTTAGGTGTGCCTCTGAAGCCAAACACAACCAGAGGGTTGTCTTAAGGGATAGAAACAGCGGCTCTGGCCCATGCTCGTGACAACGCACTACACGAGCTGAAGAAGATCTAACAAATTGCTGCTTGCGCAGCTGATGTTGATCCATATCAAGGTCTTCGGTCTGCCATGAAATGTCGGGCAAGGGGGGATATGTGGAAACCCATAGTCGTTTTCGCGACAACGTTGCACATATTGGGTCGTAAATGCGATCAAAGCGGTGGTTGTGCCACGCATGGAGAAGCTCGACTCCCTGGTTGGTATAATTAGTGAGGAGAATAATGCACTACACGACATTGTACAAGCAATTGAGGCGAATGGCAACGCCTCAATTGATGGATTATATACATTCTTCAGATATAAATACTATTCGTACAAAAGCTAGATACTTCAATTCGGCCTCAGCATAGCAATGATGCTCGCTGTGATGACAGCCCCAGCCGCAGCGCCTTGGAGGATGGCGCTGGTATAGTCGATCCGCCGCATTGAAATGACGCGATCGCTAACAATGTCATGTGCTATGAAGCTAGCCTTTTGCTGCCAGCTTTCTAGTTTGGAGGGGGGAGTGGTGTGAGATGACGAGATTTCTTCAGCAATGGTAACGCGTTCCTCTGGTGTCAGGGTCTCTTCTTCAGGAGTAAGAGCCTCAGCTTCAACAGTTACAGCGGATTCCTGGACGACTTCGGGAACGAGTTCAGGTTCGACCGACGATACGATGTTTGTTCCCGCTGTTGGGGACTCCTCAACGACCTCGTCGGCAACCACGAGCGGTGCCTTGGCAGGTGCGTCTGTACGATCAACAACCCTGTCGATGTCTTCCTCAATTGCTGTTAGACCTTGCGTGGCTGACACGGGCACAAGTGCAGTAGCAGCAGCCGATGACGCTGCAGCATCCATAGCAATCTGATGCTGCGCCTCCAAAGCCTTCTTGATTTCCCTGACCATCCTCCTCCTTCGCCACGGCTCCAAGATTGCCAAACTCAATAGCAACAGGAAGATATTGACACCCATGAGGCCAAACGTGACCCAAGTACTGTTCCTTCGGATGGTGTCGCTCCAGATCTGCTCTTCGTGGTATTGCGCACGTTCCCTCTTTTCCAGTTGTGCTCGCGCGTCTTCCAAAGCATTTTCGGCGTTTGCGACGGCGTCCTTGGCTTCCCGAACGGCTTGATCATTGATGTGTTCGGAGCGAATGAGGGCCATGTAACGTTCAAGGTCGCCATTTGACCATGAATGTTTACGCTCCAGGAGAGCGACGACTTCTTTTTGCGAGGTAGCTTGGTGGGCGAGGGCGGTGTCGAGGGCTTGTTTAGCGGAGTCGATGGCTAGACGGCGGGCCTTGACAAGTTTCTCTGCACGGTGTTAGCTGCTGCGTCGGAGCGGTACAAGGTGATTGCATATACCCTGCTCTTTGATCTCCCTCCTGAGTGCCTCGACGCCAGAGTAGTCGGTTCCAGTGTATGTATTGACCTTTTGTGTGACGACGGCAAGCTTCGGTAGCAGCTCATCCATGGCATTGGAGAAGCGTTTTGAGAGGCTCCATCGCTGCTTCTCTTGATGCGAAGGCAGGTGTTCGTCCGGTACGCGAGCAATATTATCCAAGGGCTCATCCTTTGTGGGTGGTTCCGATTCTTTTGGAGGAGGCTGTTCAATCTTGGGAGCGGGCGGTTCTTGCAATGCGGCCACCGAAGTTTCTGCGGCTCGTTTGATAGCCATTTGATCCTCGAGTATAGCATTGAGTCTCCTCTCTAACCGCTCCTGATCCTCTGGTGATGGCGGGGCTCCTGATAGCTTGGTCGGAGGTTGCTGTATAGGATTGGAGTCGTTTGCGGGCGGCGGCATTGCGATGGGATCCGATGGCTTTGGTGGTCTTCCTTGTTCCCTCCATCTTGTTGAGCTTGTGAAAGTACGTTGCGACCATTGTGCAGATGGGTTGGCGCTCAACGGCGTCTTTGCATGCCACCTCAACGCACCAGGAGCTGTGCGATGGCGACACCTCGACAAGACGGACGATGCGCTGCGAGCAACATTGCTCAGAGATGGTGACGAAGGCGCTACCGTATTGGCGACAACCGAACGTGAAGCATGCTGAAGCAGTGGCCTCATTCTTGTCTCTACCCTCACATGAAGAGCGCCTGAGCTGTATGACGAATGACGAAAAAGGGCCAAAATGCGGACCCCCGAAGCGGGCGGCGTCGCATCGAGCGCAGGCGACGTGCCAAGGCGCGTGGGGTTGCGGCATGACGATGACTGGCCCTTTAGCCAGCGTCCCTTACTTGCACGTCTGCCGGCATTCCGATTCAGGGCTTCCCTAGTGCCCCTCCATCTAATCTTTGAGAAGTTGTTGATATCGCCGAGCGCCCTTTACTTCTACTTCCACAGTCAAGACGTAGAACCAGCAACACAGTCGCTCGTTTCCGTCACATACACCATGGGTTCCACACAGATTGATTTGGCAGAACTGCCTGCCATGAAGAGCAACCCAAAGGTACAACTTCTCAATCGTCTTGGCTACCTCTTATACTGACAACGCCTAGTTCATCTTCTTCACCGACTTTGACGGCACAATCACCCTCCAAGACTCCAATGACTTCATGACCGACAACATTGGCTACGGCCGCGACAAGCGCCGCGCCGGAAACATCGCCTGCCTCAACAACGAAATCACTTTCCGCGACTCCTTCCAAGATATGATGGACAGTGTCACAAAGCCCTACGACCAATGCATCCAATACCTCGTCGACAACATCAAGTTGGACCCCGGATTCAAGGCCTTCTTCGAGTGGTCGCTGGAGAACAACATCCCAGTTGTGGTACTGAGTTCGGGAATGGAGCCCGTAATCAAGGCCTTGTTGGAGAAGTTGGTCGGCCCAGATGCAAGCAAGATGCAGGTCTTGGGCAACCACGTCGGCCCCAGGGAAGGAAAGAACATCAACGAAGAGGGTGGATGGACAATCCTCTTCAAGCACCCCGAGTCTGGTTTTGGTCACGACAAGTCCATCGAGCTGCGAAAGTACTCCAGTCTGCCCGGGGACCTCCGACCAACAATGTTCTACGCCGGCGACGGTGTATCAGATCTCTCTGCAGCACGCGAAACAGACTTGCTCTTCGCCAAGAAGGGTCACGACCTGATCAGCTACTGCGCGCGCGAGGACGTGCCATTCACAGTCTTCGAGGACTGGTCCAATATCCTGACCAAGTGCAAGAGCATTGTAGAGGGCAAGACCACTGTCCAGGCTGCTGCCAAGGAAGGCTACGAGGCGTACAAGAGTGGCGCTGCTGGAATTGAAGTTCAGACCAAGAAATAAATGGGATTGCCGAAATTTGGTCTCGGGAAGACCATTCCTGGTTCCTGGTCCTGGGAGTTGGGACCGCCTATGTTGCGGCGCAGTAGATACCAAATCCTTTTGATGATGTGCGCACGGCAGTGGCTGCGGCGTAGACAGACTATGTGGGGGAGAGAATTATCCCAAGGCATCACCATAGACTGAAACGTTCGACGGCATAGAAAGGCTATAGATACGATTTATACGATAGACTAGAATTTGATGAAATTTTTATACTCAAGAGAATGCGCCACATATGAGACGACCGTTACTATGTACTCCTACAAACATCGCGCAATGAAGAAGGGCTGTTGCCAAGGGTATCTCTCGCAATGCAATACAGCAACAACTGGACCGATCGAATATGTACAACTTGCCAGCATCGTAATTCAGGCTACCTCGAGATGTTTACCTCGGTTGTCCTTACGATCGTCATACCCCTGGGGAGCACACTCCTCCTGTTACCCCTGCCAACCTCATGATCCAAGATACTTTCATCGCTCTCCCCAGCTTGACTCCTCGGTCTGCTCATTCCCCTTCCCCGTCCCGCCTCGGCATGATATGTATCCTTACCCAGCACAGCGTCCTCAGTATACGGGTCCCGGCCGGTCGACGAGGAATTTTCACTCATGTTTTTCATAGCGAATGAGTTACCGGGGCGCATGTCATCTTGCTTCATGTATCCATTGGAACGGAAAGGCGTGCTGTTGAGGCCGTTGGACCCAGTGGTGCGGCCTTTTGTAGCGAGGGAACGCATTTGGCCGAAGAAGTTCGCGAAAAGGGGTTTCATGGTAGGTAGACAGGCGGCGATGATGCCCACGTGCATTTCGACTCTATTTGAAGTATTAGTCGAAGCTTACAGTTGAATTGGAAAGTATGAGCACGTACTGCTGCCAGATATAATACCATGCTCCGTCACCGGACCAATCCGTAATTTTGAAGAAGTTGTACTGCATCGGTGTTTTGTAGATGGCTATTGCAGAGGCGAAAAGTCCCAGACTCAGGATGACTGCCAACCCAATGCGCGTTTGGATTGTAACCTGCAACCGCCACACCATTGGTATGGGAATCAGAGCGAAAAGCAGATCGGTGGCGATGTTGATGGACGAGTTGAAGACACCAACGTTCTTAAAGATATTAGCGTCGTAGCATTTTGCAGTTCTGCAATCGTGTTAGTATATATCGTGGACGATATAGGGCGTAGATGGAATGCGTACCCGGTCGGTGGGCGTAGGGTGTAGTCCCACCCTGCTTGCACCGGAATACATTGGAAAATGATAGCAAAGGTCGAACCAATGGTAAAAACACCAATAAAGACTATTTGTTTGTCAGTTGCTTGACCTTCGAAGTTCAGGCATGTTAACTTACCCAGCATGCCGATAAGGAATGGCCGCCATTTGGTTCGGTCCGCAAGTCGCAACAAGAAGAATCCGATGGAGAGCTTGATGAAGCTGTAGGCAGCGATGATGAATATCGAGTAGAAGTACATGACTTTGAAAAATGGGAATATGTTCTCCAGTGGGAAGGCTTCGGCGTGTTTTCCGAGACCCAGACCGATGACCTTTAAGAATAGTCCCAAGGTGGTGGAACTAAGAGCCTGCAAGGTTATAATCAGCAACCGACCCTTCCTCAGTGACTTCGCACCAGAACGCATGCGTAGTAAGAGTATGGAAACCTACCAAAGCAATCGCCATCATAGCGTCTGTTACAGTCAGTCATGTCTGCCACAACTTCGGATCGGTGGATCATACGTACCATCCCAACCAAAGGTCTTCAGCATGAAGATCCGGACGTAGAATCGCATCAGTATAGCGGCTGTCGACAACGCGAACAAGGAACCTTCCACTGCCAGCAGGCGTCCAGCCTGGTTCTCAGCCATGTATTCTGGTGACCGAGCTGGCATCATCGGCGGCCCCCCTTCCTGTCTCGAAACAATGGCATGGTACTCCATGTCAACGGTTGCGCAATCGACGAGAAAGCGATGAGTAGATCTTGTTGCTTGGACGTAGGTGTCCAGGCTATTAGAGCATTGTTCAGGAACACTTTCTGCAGGCTGTTTCCAAAGTAGCACTTAGGCACATGCAGATTGTAAAGATCCTGAACTGCGAGCAAGCGAACACATGTCTCGAGTAATACTGGCTTTGACCAATAATTGCACTTCCGTATATGCATGGTACGCAACTTTAATGTAGACACGACGGCTCGGCAGGGTCGTGCAGCTTAGGAATAACCGGAGTGGCGGTTTCAGTGCCGAGCCGTTCTCGAGGTCATCAGTGGCTCTGCAGTCGCAAAGTCTAATCCTTCATCTTCTGACGTGCCGCTCAACTGCTACGTCTTGAGCATCAAGACAGATACTTTCATTGCTTTCTTCATGCGCAAGAGGGAATGCATGCAAGACACGACTGCGCAGCAACAGAACGTATCGACGATACAACCTCCTCCATCGACACTGCGGATTCCGAACGGTCCGGACCGTCCACTCAGTGATCCAGGGCTAAAACCACGATCATAAACAAGGAACATACAGACTGCAGACGATCAATTCCGCTCTTGGGAGACGGAGTTCCAACAACAACTTCCCGTAGAAGTTACTCTGCGCGATTCGCAGTCTGAGTAGGAGTAGGTGCTTACACATGGAAGCAACGCTTTCTGGACGCAAAGTGCTGTTTTACTGAAGGATTATTGGATTACCGTAGCGACTTTCCCTTTACGTAGAGCTGTCATGCGTTCCCGTCAATGGCTCATAGTCGAGACGAGTGTAGTCTTGTGCACGGAGATGGAGACAAGCTGCGCGTTGTCTAAACGAACATACCCTGGTCATGGGCCAGTCTCAGACCTCTTCCTTCCATAGTGGGGATTCTGGTTCTGTGCCAATCACCATCACGACTGTCCTCCATCTGTTAGTCACGAGAACAGTACTGCTCAGCTGCGTCGCACAGCGCTGCGCAAATGTTCTCGTGAGATATGCGTGTTGCTCCCGTGTCGCGTATCAAAGTAAAAGCCATCGGAAAGCTACCAGTACAGTGACAGTCGGAGGATTAGGTAGGTAATTTGTTAGGCGAAATGCGGACCTGCCGCAGACGAAGTAGGTGGTCGCATGTTAGATGAGTAAACGGGACGGTGGTCGAGTATTGGCAGGCGCTAGTTGTTCGCGCTAATCGTTCAGGCGCGACCAAGCCGCTCCCGCGGGGACTTCAATTATCCGGTCTTTGGCAGTTGTCCCGAGATAGCGTGACCAGGCGGGCCGCCTACCTTATTCCCCCCTCCCGTTCGTAGTCCAGGACTCCAGAGCTTCTCTCCGTGGACAGGGTCTCCGATCAAAACTTTTATTAGCCTCCTTAATGCATATTGCCTAAGCATGAATGCCTGTCAAAGCACCTGGTACCAGGTACCAATTGGTCGATCCATCATGTTCATCGGACTACAAGCAGAATATAGCAGGTACCGATGTATTTCCAGAAGCCTGACGCCCTTCCCCTCAATCCCGCACCCGGACATCATGCGACGCGGCCGGGTAAACTAAAGTGGCGCCTGGTCAAGCCGAAGCTTTCACCAGGATTATGCTTCGATTTGTCCATTCACTCCCCTGACCGAACAGCCTGGTCAGATCGATATGTAAATCTGCTTCAGGATAGAACCCGAGCACATCGATCACGACCAGCTAGCACTTGTGCTGGGACGTGTTCAGGCGCCGGTATGTCTTCCTCGGTGAAGCCATTTCAAAAAAAAGTGTAGTAGCCCACACGGCTTAGCATCCACTTCTTGCAGCCACTTATACCAGTCCCTGACAATCCCATTCTACCCACTACCCTGCCCACTTTTGGTGAATTCGCAGCCGAGAGCTCCGATAGCCAGGCATCCAATGGTGTCCGCCCGCTAACGCGTCTTACACTCGTTTACAGGCGTTAAATCCGCCCCAAATCCTTCCTTCCACTCACCTATAGGGGCGAGACTCATGCGAACCCAAGTGTAGCGGAGTTTTGAAAACGCCTTGTCAAATCCCACAAGGCGACCTCGGCATTCGCCAGCCGCCAGCCGCCTATTCGGTGGTAGAGCATGCACCAAGGAGCTTTTCGAACCCCTTCGAACGCCTCAAGGTTATTGGCGAATAAAACATCAGTATGCCATAAGCTAAAGGGCCACACCGACTGACTCAATGCCTATCATTACCTGCCCGGAAACAACAAACCGAGCTAATGGGTCTGAAAACAGTACGATGTTGTACAGCACAGGTATTCTATGCCGATATTAGACTAGATGGAGGCGAGTGTTGGATTGCTTCCTGCGAGTATTTGAAGGCACATGCAGCCTCAAAACTTTGGACAGGGCATCGCCACGTTTTGCTCACGCCTCTTTCATCTCCTAATATTAATACAGTAATCGCTAGCTTGTGTTGGCCTTTCATCCGGAACCTTATTCAACGTCCTCGACCGTTTCAGTCTCTTGCTCGTCTTCATCCTTCACAAGCCTCTCTAGACCTTCGATCACCCATCTTTAACCGGTTCGAAACGCCATCATGCGTACTGCTGCATTCCTTTGGCTCGCTCCTGCAGCACTAGCCAGCGCCATCCCTTCCTTCGAAGAGGCTTCTCCCGCCATCTCATTCGACAAGAGGCAGAATGTGTCTCCCAACGTCCTCGGGGGCAAGATCCTGCAGGCTGATTTGTACGCTGGTGTTGCTGCCATCAACCAGCAGATCTATCAGGCTACCCAGAAGCCTGACCAGTTCAAGAAGTGCAATCCCCTGAACCTAATTGTTCGCAAGGAATGGTAAGGCGCCAGCAACCGAGATGTGGATTGTACGCTAATAGACTTAGGGCAACCTTTACTACACCGGAGAAGAACGACTATGTCAAAGCCGTCCAGTGCATCTCCAAGCTGCCTCCTAAGACGCCCAAGTCTGAGTGCCCGGGCTGCAAGAACAGATACGGTAAGTTATGACTTTACGAAATGCATGTGAGACATACTCTGACTTCGCATCTCCACATCTGTAGACGACTTTGTGGCAACACATATCAAGCAAACATTTGCCATCCACAACACTGGCAACTTCCTCCCATGGCATCGTTACTTCACCTACGCTTACGAGCAAACCCTCCGTAACGAGTGCGGTTACAAGGGCTATCAGCCATACTACAACTGGCCCCGATGGGCTGACAACCCGATGAAGAGCCCTACTTTGGATGGCTCTGCCACCTCTATGGGCGGTAACGGTGACGCTGGATGCAGCAACCAGACCTTCTACGGTATCCCCACCAATGATGCTCCTCTGATCAAGATCCCCAAGGGAACTGGTGGAGGTTGTGTAACGTCTGGCCCATTCAAGGATTGGTCTGTCAACCTTGGTCCTGTCTTCACCGACTCTCTCTGCACGCCTCCCAACCCGATCGTCGACTTTACAGACCCCAACATGGGACTTGGGTACAACCCTCGCTGTCTGAAGCGTGACATCTCTGCCTGGACTTCCAGGCAGTGGACCAACGATGAGATGGTTGTGAAGCTGCTCAACAGCCCTGACATGAAGACCTTCTGGTACGACATGCAAGGTGGTGACCCAGCTTTCACCGAATTCATGGGTGTGCATACGTAAGTTGTATTCAAGGAAGACGTATTCAAGACATGCTAATATTCTACTAGGGCTGGTCACTTCACTGTTGGTGCTGACCCTGGTTCTGACTTCTTCACTTCGCCTGGTATGTTCTCTTACGTCAGCTTCACAAAGACGTTCGGCTAACAACGAAACAGGTGACCCATACTTCTACTTCCACCACGCCCAAATCGACCGCGTGTGGTGGTCGTGGCAGAACTTGAACCCTGCCAACAGGACCAATGCCATCTACGGAACGATTGCCCTGGGTGACCCTACCGCCCCTGCCACCAAGCTCACCGACACCATGACTCTCGGACATGCCTACCCTGGCAACATCACTGTTGGTGATGCGATGAGCACTATGGGAGGACCTTTCTGCTACACGTACATCTAGAGACGGACCCTCGACTTTACTTCGACCTTCTTGTATATACTTGACCTGTACATATTCATCCGGATTGGTGGACTGTAGTCGATTTGCTGTTGAGCTCAAAAATAGACCAAGCACGCGTACCCTGTGCGATGGAAGTAGACTAGCAACCCAGAACATCCATGGCCATTTTTCTGAGTGAGCGCGTGATGACTGCAAGCCTTGCCTGGATCGCCTGAGCATGATGAATCAGAAAAACCCAAGCATAGCGAATGTCGATATCAGAGTAGAAAGTGGAAACTAGCACGATCTAACGCATGTTCCGCAGCGCTAAGCGGTCACCATACCTGGGCTGCATATGTCCCGCAACGAATATGAATGGGCGGGGTCTCTCCATCCAAAAGCGCGGAGACCCTGCAGTGCCAACGCATCACCGCTGAAGAAGAATCGAGGGCAGTCATGTCCTCCAATCCCTCCGACCACGCCGGTTTCAAACGCTGTTTGAGATCACAGCCACCCTGAATCGGAGCGCCCCTCGAACATTATTGGCATCTTAGAGTCAGCATTGGAGGATTCGCGATTCGAGTGAACCCTTACCCCGCTAAGATTCTAGCTCCCCCGACTTTCTGGATCCAGGGGACGACGAATGTTGCAACAACCATCGCAAGACATCCCCAACATAGCAGAGAGCATTGCCAAACAGTAGAAAACTTGTGCAGAGCACAATAATCCCTCCATCATGAACGTCGACCCTCTGACTGGCAAACCGCTCCCTTCGACCGCCATCCAACGCATCCTCTACCTCGCGCCCAAAGTCCACATTTACCAGATCCCACCTGCGACGTCTACAAAAGGCTACCAGGCCTCGACCTGGACAGCCGACAACAACAAGCTCCAAATCTTCACGGCTCGACTACGCGTCGTCGAGACGTCAATACCGTCGAATGAGGAGCAACAAAGCAACGACGATGCAGAGGAGAAGGTCACAACAACACTCCTATTGGAAGACCCAAAAACGGGGGACCTGTTCGCCGCAGCGCCATACACAAGTGAGAGGACGGTAGAGCAAGCATTGGACAGTAGCCGCTTCTTCGCCATCACCGTCGTGGGCGAGGGCAGGAAGGCGATCCTGGGTATGGGCTTCGAGGAACGCAGCGAAGCCTTTGATTTTAGCATTGCGCTGCAAGACGCCCGTCGCGTACTTGGCTTTGAACAAAACCCCGTTGCGACATCATCATCCCGCTCCTCCAAATCCGCACAAACGCCCGTCGCCGAAGAACCAAAACGCGATTTCAGTCTCAAGGCCGGCGAAACGATATCGATAAATCTGGGAGGCTTGAAGGGACGCAGGTCAAGATCACATGAGGGAGGCGAGAAGAGTGAGGAAGGTGATCGCAAGAGCGAACAAGATGCGCTGTTCAGTATAAAGCCGCCACCGGGAAGTGGGGGTGGGGGTCCCGGATTCCTGCCACCGCCACCAAGTGCGAAGAGTGTCAAGGAGGAAAGGAGGAGAAGTCGGCAGAACTTTGATGCTGCCAGCTTTCAATCGCCCAAACAGACGGCGGAGGATTTGGGCTTCGACGATGGCGAGTTTGGCGAGTTCCAATGAGAGGGGGCTACAAATAAGTGGGAGGTATTTTGTGCATGTTTAGCATTGGAGTTATTGTTTGCACTGGTTTAGGTCCTCCGCGCATGGGAGGCGTTTTGAAATCAAGACATAGCAAGTTTCAAGGAGACGCGAGTTTTGCTGAGTGTATAGGTGCGTGTCGTCGAGTGAAAGCGAGGTGTGTTGGGTATATCAATCTACAAATGCCGATCCTATGTGCCCGGAAAGAATATTTCAATCGCCGCTCATGAATATGTCCAACCCTGCGCCTCATCGTACAGTCTTTCAATGTCGCGAATCAGATCCTCTGGCTTTTCTCCACCCTCGCAGTCCTTGAACTTGCCTCCATCGGTAACACAGCGCACTTTGTCGTCCAATCTCACGGTACAGCTGGTGGTCACGCCTACATCGCTACTATGCTGCACGCTATCTCGCAAGAGACCCATGCCATATGCGCCGTTCTCCTTGCTCATGCAATCGTTCAGCACGCCAAAGTCCAGGCCATGCTCCAGTGCGCAGTCTTCGATGAGGGAGCGGGCGGGTATCTCGGAATAATCGTTTGTAAGGCAGTTGGTGAAGCCAAGGTAGAGTTTAGGATCGGGGTACTCGGATGCGGCGCACAGCATGACAATGTCGCCTAGACATTCTGTTTGGCCGTGTTTGCATTCAACGCCGTCGTCTGCTGTCAGGCTGCATGTGTGTCAGCTACGTCGGCTGCTTGCGCGGGGACGATGCAACGTACCTTCCTATCATGCTCAAGCGGAAGTCTACCTTGTCCGACACGTTGGCCATGGCGGGCAAGACGAGCTTCTTCAGGCAGTCGCGCGCATCCGGACACTTTGACATGATGTGTACATCGACCGGTACCTTGGTGTCGGCCTCGTCGTGCATGTCTGTACATGTGAAGGTGCGTGCCAGCCAGAACAGACTGAAGAGCAACACAAACGCCGCCATCTGGAGTCGCGTCCTCCTTGTCTTGCGGGATGGCATTGTCTCGTCGGGTGGCGGCGCCTTAATGTGCTCGTGCGTGTCCGGGAGGAGGGGCGCCTTCTCTTCCATTGCGTGGGACGGTGTCGGGGCCGACGCGAGGTTTTTATCTATGGCTTCGTATAGGCGTAATGGGCGGGTGGTCTGGACGCTGCGGTGCTGAGCTAGAAGTGTTGGGCTGGTCTGCTAGATGCGATGGGCTTGTGTGATGTGATGGACATGGTCAAATGGGGAAAGATGGTCTGATAGGCGTTCGGGCTTATTGCTGATAGCGTGGCTGACTAGGGCTTTGAGCGGCAGATCTAGGTACCAGCAAAAGCAAAACAATCTAAACTCTGTATTTAGTGAGCGTTGCACACGTCGAGAAGCCACATTCCCGTATGACGTGATGCCCTATTCACACTCCTCGCAACGCGTGCACTTCCCAAACACGTGAAAAGAGCCGAGGAGGACAGCACGGCGGAACAATTGGCCGTCGTGCCCGTCGTGCTGTAGCCGTGTGGCGTTCTACACGCATGTAACACCGAGCTTCGGAGGGGCTACACGAATCCTACCTCACGAACCATTCATCTGCTGCGCGCGTAAAGCCTGCCAATCCCACGCCTCTCTTTTCCTTTTCGCTTCTTTGCTCATGATGAGATGACTTTTTGCCTTGTTGACATTCTTCTTATCCTGCTCAGACATTGAATTGTTCTGCAATCCGCGAGGCTGATCCCCCCCTTTCCATCTGGCCGCCTTCCACTTCCAGATTCGATAACACATGCGGCAGCCCTGCATCACTTCCCCTAGATCCGTTCCTGAAGCCCGGCACCAACCCGAAACATGGCGTCGGATGATCAACAAGACGCTGCATCGGCTGCGATTCAAGCATTGACCGGCTTTATCAATACGAGCACTTTGCTTCCTCTAGCCCAGCAATTTTCGGCAACTTACAGTCATCTGGCCAAGTCTTCCACCGAGCACTTTCTAGTCACTCCCGTCACGGCACTACCCACGGGGAAAGAGAAGGGTAAATTCTTGAGCATCGATGTTGGTGGCACGAATCTAAGAGTCGGATTTGTTGAGCTAATCGGAGAGCCAGATGGCGCCGCAGAGGATGAGCGGACACGGAGTAGCACGGTTGGCGAAAACGTGTTTGCTCGCATCAAGAGGAGCCACGACAGAGACTGGCCCATTGGAGATCACCTGAAGATGGACCAAGCTGAAGACTTGTTTGCCTGGATTGGTGACTGTATCGCCGAGGTTGTCAAGAGTGCTCTTGAAGAGCAAGAGACCATGAAAGATATTACATCTCCTCTGGGCGATGAGATTCTGCTTGGCATCACCTTCAGCTTCCCGATGGCGTAAGTCTAAATCCACCCGTAGATTGTAACACCTTACTAAAGCATAGTGCAGACAAGATCGTCTTTCAGAAGCGACTCTGCTACCAATGGGCAAAGGATTCGCCATAACTTCGGATCTGAACCTGGGCAAGATGCTTCTCGCTGGATATGCGCGATACTGCCACACCAATGATGCAGTAAGCCAGCTCAACCATTCCAAGTCACAATTACCAAGGATACGGGTAGCGGCCATCACAAACGACACAGTAGCAACATTCGCATCCCTTGCCTATGCAGCCAAAGCAGCACCCAACAGCCGCGTTGCCATGGGCCTCATCGTCGGTACTGGTACCAACGCAACCGTACCAATGAAGCCAGAGAGTCTTCATCCTGATAAGAGAAGTGCACTCTCAAACCCTGATGCCGTCGAAACCGTCGTCATCAACACAGAGTGGACGATTCGTGGCACGGACAAGCCCTTGGTCGACTTGAACATCAAGACGTCCTGGGACATGACACTCGACGCCAACAGCGATGCACCGGGCTTCCAACCATTCGAGTACATGACCTCTGGGCGGTATCTTGGCGAGATTGTACGATTAGTGTTTGTCGATGTTGTGTCAAAAGAAGAAAGTGTGCACGTACCATCATCACTGATGCTTAAGAACGCCCTACCAACCCGCTTCCTGTCGGAAGTCGTCGCGCGAAAGGGGGGTCGCATCGTACAGGAAGAGCTCGAGAGCAGGTACCCAGATCCTGAAGATTCGGACGATTTCTTCTGGACTGTCGACAAGGTGGAGTTGATACGGGACATTGCCGAAGCTGTCCAGCAGCGCTCTTCAGCTCTCATCGCGGCTGCTTGCGTTGGACTGTTGAACTGTGTGGGTGACGTCGCACTAGACAAGCAACAGGCCTCAAGTAACGGTGCTCATGCAAAGGGGAAACGCGAGATAGAAGAGCTGGTAATAGCATACGCCGGAGGAACGATATCACAATACCCCAAGTGGCTACAGACATGTCAGCAATGGATAGATATCCTGGTCGAGGAGGGTTCTTCGTCGAACAAAAACAAGCAAATCACGCTCAAGGAGGCCAAAGATGGAGGTATTGTCGGCGCCGGAGTACTCGCAGGCATGACAGATGAGATAGTATAAGATTAGGCGAAGAGTTCCCTCAAGGCACTATCAAAGACCACGAGTCGTACAGCCAGTGACAGTGCCACATCGACATTAAACACATTTCAAGTAGCCAGAAACAAAGCACATGATACCCTAAATCCCATCTCCTCCTATCTACCTTACTGGTAGCTGTGCCTGCCACTCAGGATCAACCTTACTCTGCTTGAAGAAACTCTTGCCCCTCAACCACTGCCTATACGCCTTATACCTCTTCTTCGCCGTATCCTCTTCCTCTACATCCAGCGGGTTCTCCTTGACGCGCAAGAATTCTTCAAACTCCTCAATGTCCTCTTCTGGGGTCTGAAACTTGCTTCCGGTAGACTGTGGCTGTGGGGGCGGCTGCTGGACATCAGAGTAGACGTGTGGGTGTAGATTGTACGTTTGCGGGTACGAGTAGGAGGGCGCGTGGGAGAAGGGCGTGCTTACTGACTGTGAGGTCATGGGGCGGGCGAAGGAGTGGTGAGACGAGAGATCCGTGTCTAGGCGAGGTAGATCAGAGAGCGTGATCTGAACGCCATCTTCGTCAAAGTCTTTTGGTGCTGGGATGCTGCCTTCGGTCATGGAAAGGTAATCGTAGAATTCCATGGCGCTGGGGTCGTCAGCGCTGGGCATTTCGCTGCTGACTACGAGGGGCAGATTGAGTGGATGCTCAATATAGCGGGCATATTCTTCTTCTTCGCCGTGGGATACAGATGGATTCATGCTGTTTTCGTAGAATTGCGTTAATGTCCACTGATGGACTAGGGCTTTATCAGCTGGTTTAAAGCCGGGCTTGACTGTAGATGAGAGGCCAGTCGAAGTTGACGTTGAATTAGTCAGAGACTGATATGCTGATGGTGGTGGAGCTGGTGGATGTGTCTCAAAGTGCGAATCTCGGAGAATCGAATGTCGGACAGATGAATCAACGCTAAGATGCAAATCTCTACCGCGAATACCTGGGATACGATTTGGTTTTGCCTCTGTCTCGCTGGACGGATCAAGTATAGTGACGCCTTTTCGAGGGCCTTTCTTTCCGTCTCTTCCTTGTGCGTCGTGGTCTTGTTGCTTGGTGCGAGGGACGAACGGGGACATGTTTTCCTTGCGAGTTGGAAATGTTCCATCGCGGCTATCGCGACCTGGTCGTGGCTTAGCTAGACGGAAGGCAAAGATTTTGAGATACGAAGAGATAGCTAGTGGTCTGTAGTATTCGAGCCAGTAGTCATCACGGAAGCTGATGAAGTCAAACGCAGTTTCCTCGGTTGGCTGGGCTGGCATGACTGAGGGTGGTAATCTGCGCTGTTGAAGATGCGAGAGTGTGTACCATTGAACATAATCGCGTCGTGTGCGCTCAAGGAATGCTTTCGGATCTTGATGATGGAGGTAATAGTCTGTCGACAAGTCCCATAACATTGGTTGGCCTTGACGGTAGGTATAGTTACCCAAGAACAAGTTGTAGGCCTCTTGACGCTGGGAGTCGAGGAATGAGTTGTGGTAGTAGCGCTTGAAGCTCTCAACCATATCGCGTGAACTACTCTGCCATTGATTGATTTTCCGATACGTAGCCATCGTGTTGACCAGATGTGAGCCACCATACTGGATCGCAATGGTGTCACCGTGCCCGTGAAACATCTGCGTGAAGAGCTCAACGCAGTCGGAGTCGTACTCTACTGTGTTGCCAGATATGACACCCAGCGCTTGCAGCTGTCGACCTAGTGCTCGCTTCCCAATGACGAATTGAGCAGCATTGGTTCTATCCAGGCAGTCGATACAATTGGTTCGCGCTACTCCGTTTTGAACTTGAGGCGTATCGAACTCGTTATCGCCGTTGCGAAAAAATCCAGTCTTACGCAACACCTTCTCAGCCAGATTTTCCAAAGTGCCAATGACGTCTTGACCTCTCGTCTTGGCCGCCCTTGACATGTCGAACGCTTCGTATATTATCTTTTTGTCATTCGGCAAGGATTGATTGAGGTAGTCGATGGCGTGTTTGTATTCATAGAGCAACTTCGATTCTCTCGGGGTTCTCTCGCGCGCCTTGATGAGGTTGAGAACGTATACTGGAGCACCATATCGATCGAACAAGTTGTCAAAGTGTAGTCCTGCCGCACTGTAGAAGGGGTCTACAAGGCTTAGGTCGATGTCGGGCTTTGGCGTTACGCCAGTATTGTCTTGGGTCCAATATAACGGTATGCTACCACGATGCTGCACGTAGGATGTGTAGGATGGATTTGCATACAATCGTGGTCCAGGGGCATGAAAAGACGTGGTAGTCTGCTCAGACACAATCTGTTCTGTCTCAACATCATTGGCGACATATCCGAGGTCGTTCGTTCCGCGCTTGAGAAAGCGAGCACCAGCGAAATATCTGGATCGCCGAGCAATAATGGTAAGGTACACTCGTCGCCCGAATATATCCAGAGAAGACTGGTCCACGTATCCGTGTATCACAGGGTGGCACCAGTCGTACACATTCTTCAATGCATCCCGCGCAGGGTTCAGAAGATGATGGTTCCAGACAAACATGTCTTGGAAATCGCGCTCGGGGTTGGAGATACCTTCACTAAGCGCAGTCCGTTGATGGATGATGTTCTGTTGCAAGCTTCTCGTCACGTTGTAGGAATAGCTAAAGTAAAAGGATCGGTTCAGGTCCATGTTGTTGAGAATAGACAAGAATCTCGCCTCTTCCGGATTGCGGTCTTTCTGGTACCTTGACGTTGATCCAGTCGTCAGTGGAACCATGTCTGTGCCATCGACTTGGTAAATGTAATGGCCGCCCAACATGGCCACCTGTGATCTTTTCGATATCAGAAGCATGTAATATGCCTCAGTGAATCGGATGAAGCCCAACAGACCCCAAGTGCTGCACTTCAACCTCATACCTCCCGTGGCTTTGTTACCATCAGCTATAGTATCCAAAAGCTGGTGCATCTCTCGCCGGTTGTACACAATGTCATCTTCGAAGATGTTCAAGTGCCCAGGTGCAGCAGTCCGGTCAATCTTCAGCACGCGAAACTGCCTGTCCGTGATATCGGCACCAATGAGGTAGAAGCGAGTACTGGTTTCGTAGAGTGAGAATTTGTGCATTCTCTTAATTCCGCTCTCGCCGACATTTTGGTACGTGGAGCCCTTGAGTTTGTGAACAGTAGACGGAGTAGATGGTCTGTGAAACGATACGTTGACATTTGGATTCTCTTCTTCACCACCAAACTTGGTAGATTCTGACTCTCTGCGCGGCTTTCCATGACCAGGGAGTTTCCCAAGATCCGCTTCGGGCTTGAATATGCTATCGTGTTCAAGTGGAGAGGTTTGCGGGCTTCCGACAGCAGTTGATGCTTTTTCAATATCGTCTAGCTTTTCCTGACTGCTGGCACGGGATGCCGTAGCCCTTGACGCCACAGAACTGGCTCGCTCTGGAGAACTCAACCTTGACTTGGATCTTTCCATGATGGGCGTTAGTGGTTGAGATGGGGTTCATGAACGAATGCGAGAAGATAGAACTTGTCACGCGGTCACAACGTGGTTGTCGGAAGCTCCCAAGGTCGGTATTGGCGCGTGCGGATGACACAAGACAACTACTGGCCCAGACCTAGTGCTTCCTTTTGCACACTGTTTCAAGATGCGAAGGTACAAGGAGAGCTACAAGAAGAAGGACACTTAGTTCTCTAGAAAGGGCCGTGTTGTGAGCCGAATGGGCACAGGCGCCGTAGCTTCCTGGTCCGAGCCCCACTTGGCCATGTCAGTGCTTGGCGTACGTCAGTACAACTAGCAGCTCACTGGTGACTGCGAACCACAACTTCCAGAAACATGAGCGGAGGGACGTTTTTTTATTATAGATATATAAATTGAATGGCTTTAGGCACGAACCAGAATGGGTCTTTCCCTAGCAACCTATGATGTCGGACTTACAGGCAGACTGTGTAGCTCTTGTCGTAGTCCTGAAGCATCAAACAGACCATCGAACGCTTCACGCTGTCTTGTAGCATGGCGGATACTACTTAACGCTCCAGTACACAATATTTAAATTCAAATACCATTAGTCAACTACTTAACTAAAAGCAAGAAAAAAATGTATTGCTCTTGCAGTATATTGGTCATCCCTCTTGAACCCAAGTTTACTAATAGCCTCGCCTTCGAAGTCATGGTGAGCGACAAATCGTACGTCTTCACCATCATAGGAGCTATGCTATCAGTATCCGCTATAGTTGTCAGCATCATATGCGTGGTTGTTCTGCAGAGGAGAAGGTCGGCTGAAGAGAAGAAGGTTGCATTGTAGACGTAGCATTGGGAATTCGACGCGGCACCTAGTGAGCCTGGGCCAGTGAGCACTCGTCCAAAGCCGCTGCGACGGGCTGTATAGAACACGGGACTCGCTTGTTTGCTTAGACGAGCGTCTCAGTGTGGTCTTAGGAGACCGATGATAACCGGATGAGACTCTAGGCTGTATTCGACTATGATGAGTACCAGAAAGTTCATTCGATGATACTTTGTTATTACTGCAAGTGCAGTCTTCGCGTCGCCTCTTCATGTGATGCTACGTGACGCGACGTGACGCGTGCACGAGTCAGTGTGAGCATTGTTTATCGCGGCACAGCAACCCTCAAGTTGTCTCCAACGTATGAGGAGCAAGGATGTTCGGTCTCAATATTCGCTGATGACGAAGGGTAACCTAGTAGATATTCGGCTGCTCCCGGGTCTTAGATAGATTATGTGGTGTGTGCGTTATTCTCCGAAAGTCCCAGCTTACGGGAGGGGCGATAGTCGCGTAGTAAACAGCATAAGCATGGAGGTGGAAGAGAAGAAACAACATGAACATGTATAATTAAGATGCGCCTAAACATGGCCAAAGCAAATGCTGATCGGTTCTTTTGGGGATATGCATGAGCAAACATGAGTCAAGACAAGCCTGTGCATGAGGACCTGCAGCTGAACGGGCGTACATGTTCAAGCAGACAGTCGCGCAACGCAGCCGCAGAAGTAGACGATAGGCGGAAGGTTTGACGCTGGCAAATGAACAGAAGGCGAGGAAACGCGGGATGTCCAGAAGAGGCGTTTCTTGTTGGTATAAAAAAGAGGATATGCGAGGGGTTAAAGTTCACGGGGGGCTCAACTGAGACTAGCTCGTGGCCCCTGCCGCTGCAAACCACGGCATCGCGTATCCCTGAGGAGGTTCAATTCGCCTCGGGCGCCCGCTGCCCGATGTGCAATTAAACACAGGCGTCCCATCTCTTCGGCGAGTTTTTTGTCTTTCTGGTATCTTTCTGGATATCTGGACGCTCTCGACGTCTTTGCAGTTTTCAAGTCTCGTTTTGCTACTGACAGGCACCGGCTGAAGTTGGACGCGCATGGTTACCGGGCCCGGGGACTCTGCATGCCAATCATGCACTGATCATCAACTCTGCAGCATTCCAGACACAGTGACATAGACGGCATACCAATCTGGAATACGGCCTGCTCTCGTGCAGCACGCGGCGGAAATGGATTCCCAGCAACCCGTTCGCTCTTCCCCCACCGACAACGGTGCAGCAGCCACTGGAGCCCCGGCGAAGTCGCGACGGCGCGATTCTCTCCCATCGTCTGTCAAAACAACGGATGCCCGACCAAGCAAGCGCACGCCTAATTATATACGCACCACGGCCGCATCGCCCCAGGTTATCTCGTCCCTGATCGACCAGCTGTCCGCCATATCCATCCCAGCGCATAACCATTTCGAGAACCTCCTCGTCGGCTACGACAACGGCCTGTCTGCATCCGCTGCGCCCAGCGTACGCACCCACTCGGAGAAGAACTCGATCGCAGGACACGATGGAGTTTCGGTGGACCATGGCAACTACCACAACTCAATAAGAGACCAGAACGACGTCTACCCCGACGACGCATGCGAGCCGCCTGTCATCCGAACCTCGAAGCCGCCATCCGGCCTCTCCCCCCTTACCGCGCCCAAGAAACCAAGCAAAGCGCATTCGCTCAGCAGCTACATCGGACGAAGCGGCGGCAGCTCGTGCTCTCTGCAGTCTACCCATTCCAACCGGTCAGGGAGCAGTTTCGGCAACATCAGCGTTGAGGCAGGTGTGCCGCGCCCGTCAGTCGGCAGTGCGAGGTCGTCGGTAGAGAGCAAGAGAAGCGCAAAGGGGCACAAGAGCTTGATGTACATGAGCTCACGCGAGCGACTACGACAAAAGGAGACCGAACGCAAGCGCGTGACTGTACACAACCTCGACGATATCCCCACTGGCTCCCCTTCCAAGAAGATCGCCCACCAACTCTTCCCTTACGAAGACACCATCAGCGAAGAGCCCTCCTCTGCCAAGGACGAACAACGCTCACTCGAGACAGTGGCTGAGTCGTCGAGATTCGCCCAGCGGCATCCCAGCAGGAACAACAGTCCACGCCGACTGCGCCTGAACCTAGTCGATGCCCATCATCTCGAAAGCCCCTCAGACAGCGGACTAATCCCCGAGCGCGGGTCATCCTTGAAGCACACAGGCAGCCCCGCGCGCAAGAGCAAGAAGCGCCGACCGGGGGACAAGAGCCGTCCAAAGTCTCGCAAGACCGACATGGTCCCAGAAGAGGAGGAAAAGATGGACCCCGAAGCACAGAGGAAGAAGAAGATCTTGGAAGAACTGGAACAGGAGGAGAATGAGGTCGCTCAAAGAATCCGAGAACTCAGAGACCAGAAACTGCGAAGAGATAAATTAGCCGGAAAGATGCCTGTTGATGCACACGCAGGGGCGACACCACCCAGCGTGCCTCGCGTTTCATCCATTCCTAGTCCCGAGTCGTCGCCCATCTCGTCTGTTTCAAGCGTGTCAGAGGACGAAAGGAGGGTGCAGAACTCGACAAAGGCGCATAGAGTGCTTGGGATATCGCAGGAAACCGCCCTAGCGGCCGAGAAGCTAACGGAAAGGCCGATGGATAAGCCGGCTGAAAAAGCAGAAGGTGATAAGTCTAACCTCTCGGTACCACTACAACCACGCAATCTGCGCCACTCGCGGCACCGCAGTCTGACACTGAATGACGGTGATGAACTTACCCCACTTCCGATCGATTATACGCTTGCGCTCCAAAGTCTGGACGAGTCTGCGCCGACGCCGACCATACTAGACCCACGGTTGTCAAGATCGCCCGGTGCAGCAAGCATCATCTCAAAGGCAACCAAGTCAAGTAGCGAATCTTCTGTTCCCCAACGAGCAAACTCACTACTGTGCGTCGGCGGGAGATCTGCGCTCGGGCGTCGAGCGGCGACTAGTTCGATCATCATGGGCCAGTCCTCAAAACACAGACACTCCTCCAGTGTAACCGAGGATTCACCCAACAGACTGGCACCACCCTCTCGAGCGGCCAGTGAAGAGCCTATTACTCGACACCGTTCAATGCATGTTATTTCTCCTCCGCCAGAGTCTCACAGTATGCAACTACAACGTAAGCGCACAAGTAGCAGCAAGAGGTGGTCGCACCCCGATCTGCCAGCAAAGGCAGAGAAAGAGCACAATGACAGAGTCGATCGGAATGAGCAAAAGTCCAGAGCGGCCGCAGTACAAAGTCCACCACACCCGATCATCGAGGAGCGACCTGCAAGTCTAGATTCCATCGACCTGGACGTGCACCAATACCTAGAATCATCACGTCTCTCACAGAAGATCCGGCATCCACAAACTGGGAGACTCATTTCATTCTCAGAAGTCGGTGACCCCAACGGCTTCGCTGTCTTTGTCTGTGTAGGCATGGGATTGACTAGATATGTGATGGCATTTTACGATCAGCTCGCTGCGACTTTGAAGCTGCGTTTGATTACGCCAGATCGCCCTGGTATTGGAGGCAGTCAATCCGACCCGACCGGGACGCCTCTCAGCTGGCCTGGTATGAGAAGTGCCCATCATTGCAATAGAGATTCTCGGCTAACATGTATTAGATGATGTACTCGTGATATGCCAATCTTTGAAAATTAACAAGTTTTCCATGCTCGCGCACTCTGCCGGCGCCGTCTACGCATTAGCAACATCTTTACGAATGCCACAGCATATCCGCGGTCGCGTACACCTCCTTGCGCCTTGGATACCGCCATCGCAAATGGCACCCATTGGCATCAGCCAGGACTCACCACCTACCCAGCAACTTCCGCGATCGCAACGATTCCTCCGCGCTTTGCCCCCGTCCTTACTCAAGGTTGCAAACTCCACCTTCCTCAGCGCAACAAGCGCCAGCCTTCAGCGTACCGGACCCAAAACGTCACCCAAGACTAGACGGAAGAGCATGGCCCCGTCGCCAGTGCCGCCACAGCAATCAGCAACCCGCCCATCTCTGAAGGATACTCACCGACATTCGATGATGATGATGGATCAAGTCTTGCCGAATGCAAGCACACTGACCTTGTCGAGCCCAGACGCCAGTAACGAAGAATCACAACGCATGCAGGAAATGCTCAGTATGGCCGAGGTCGAACGCCAACGCGCTTTTGACGAACGGCTTACTTTCGCCATCTGGGACCGCGCAACGGCAAACGCAAACCCTGCAACTGACCTGATCGTCTGTCTTGAGACTAAGCAAACCATTGGATTCCGATACGAAGACATCAATAGACCTGTTGTCATCCACCACGGATCCAAAGACTCGCGTGTACCAGTCGACAACGTCCGATGGCTTGGCAAGCTGATGCGCAAGTGCGAAGTGCGGATTCTAGAGGGCGAGCAACATGGACTCATGGCCAGTGCACAGGTCATGGGCAACGTGCTCACAGAGATGGCTTCTGATTGGGAAGACTGGACGAACCTTGCTCAGGGAACAGGCGAACAGCGCTCTGTTTCGAGGAGGAGAACTACTGAGAAGTTGAGAAGCCAAATGAGCTTCACCGGCTGAGCCCAAACGCAACACGATAAGCGCTGGAGCCTCTTGACCCAGATGACAATTGTTATTGGATAATGTGCGACGGTCTGGATCTTTTTGAAAGCAAGCGGTTGTGTTCTTCATTTTGTTTTGGCCATGGCACGACCTGAAATACCCCATACTAATTACTCAGTTGTTTTGTACATTGTTTAATCGCTTGTTTACTTTCTCTGCTTTATTTTATTTTGGTTTCTTTGGATACCCATTAGGTCTGGAGCGTTTTGGCACGGATTGGATGCATTTGGCTGGATGTTTGACGTAGATAGGAGGGGAATACTAGATGACAAGGAATTCTTGTGATATAAGCGGCTCTAATGAAATCGTTTTACATCGCCCGCCGAACATCTCGCAGGCTGCCCTTTTACAACACTTCGATGATGAGAAGCAGGTTGATGAGACAGCGACTGATATCATCCTTTGAAACCACTTCAACCAACAGTGTACGCCTCCACCCCTTTACCAAAGAGCAAATGTGGCTTCCTTTGCGCCAAATCCAACACGGTCTGCGCAAAGACCGAATTCGCCCATGCAAACCAACTGCGTGTATACGACTTCCCAGACTGCACATTTACACTCTCATGCACCAGACCCAAGCTACTCACATTCTTGACCGCAGCAAGGCATGTCATGATCTCTTCGTCATCGTCTGAGGTCATGGCTTGCACAAGGACAGCCATAGGCCAAGCATTTCGTACACCAACGTGAGGGCCGCCAATACCCGCAAAGTCGGAACCGGTGAGGTAATATGGGTTGCCGTTCTTTTCGAGTATCATCTTACGGGTGTTTTTGTAGATTTTATTGTCTGCATCCGTGAAGCCGAGGAGAGGTAGAGCGAGTAGAGAGGGCAGGTTGGCATCGTCCATCAAGATGGAAGACCCGTAGCCGTCGACTTCAAAGGCAAAAACCTCGCCATACTTCTTGTGCGTCACGACGCCGTGTTCCCATACACCTTTCTGGATTCTCTCGCCCCAAGTCTGCACTTCTGCTGCAATGTGTTTCTTTCCTGCTTTCTTGAGAATGGCAGCTGTGCGCAGTAGTTCCACGGCGATCATGGCATTGGCGGGAATGAAGAAGCCAAGGATTGTGGCATCGTCGCTGGGACGAAAAGCAGAGCGGACGAGCCCTGTACCGCCATTGAGTGGGTTGCCGAGACCGCTTAAGCTGAGTGTTTCGGTACCGATGTTGGTTTGGCGCTGCCATGTATATTCGTTGCCTTGGTATGCGCCTGTCTCCTCGTTGAAGGTAGGCTTCGACTGCTGCTGGAGCACGTTGAGCAAAGTGTCAAGAGCGAGCAGCCAGCGGCCGTTGATGAATTCTGTGGAGTCGGTGTGGTTGTGGAATTGATTGGACAAGGAGAGGAAATGCGCAAGCGAATCGAGTTCGTACTTGCATTCGAAGACGAACGACTGTTCGTAGTTTGGATGTACGTTGTCGCCATCGCCTTGGAAGGTCGGTTTCAGCCCACTCGGCGGAGGGGGCTGGAAGGCATTGCAGTAGGGTGAGCCAATGACGTACTCTGCCTGTGTATTGATGGCTCCCAAAATGAGCTGGTGTATGTCCTTGTCTTTCTTGGCCAGCAGCTGATACTGCGCTAGTTGGTTTGTAGAGTCGCGCAACCACTCGGCGTTGATATCTCCTGTGACAATGAAGCTTTGCGCACCCTTCCACGCTGCTGGGTCCCAGCTTCGTCTCGAGGACTTGTGCTTAACAGTCCCGTCAACGTGCCAGCGTACCGTTGTGTCCAATGTGTTGGGGAAGGCATTTTCGAACAGACGAGCAAGGTCCTTGTCGACTATCTTTTCATTCATGTCATCGATGACCTTCTCGACGAGAGGCGATTCGAAGGTTCGGCAGTACTTGGATGGCCGTTGGAAGGGTAGTTCCATGGGACCTGCGCTATACGGTGGGCTGTCGCATGAATTAGCGTGTGTCGTCTCTTATATATGGGGTTCACGTACTGTGGTCGCATCGCATAGTTCTTGTAGTCGGGACATGCTGCCTTGTACTTGAGCGGGTCGATGGGGGGTCTTAGAGGCTCTTGCTCTCCAACATTATTCAGTCCAGCGAAGGCCGATGGCAAGGTAAACAGAGCCCCCAAGGACAAGGATGCTAGTGGAGACTTCATGGTCTATCGAAAGAGTCTGAGTGTCACGCCGAGCTCTTGCGAATCCGACAAAGCCCAGATGTGTAATCGTTGTCGGGAATCGCGGAAGACTAATGTAGATGTGGCGCAAATGGAAAGGCTCTCAGCCGGGAATGTTGCACATGACTTGGCACGACTCGAGCTCCGTGTCGTGGAAAGATAGATGAAAGGACGTCGAGGTTCAATTGCAGTTTAGATTGGCGACTCTGGGACTGATAGCGTGGCATGCATGGGGAAAGCATCCCCCAGCACCTCCGCCAATAAGCTCGTGTTAAGTCCGCAGGGCCCGAGCTCCAGCTCCAGCACGCTTCCTCGATGTGATGGCGCTGCGACTGCGGCGCGACTTCTCCACTCGAAAACTATCAACTGACTTGCCTCACTGACTTTTATAATTCTAGGTACGCGATACACCATCACGTTGAAGTCGCGCGAGTCGACGGAACCCAAGTCTGCCTAAAATACAGGATTCACACCTTCTGTCGCGTTCGAGTAACACCGCGTCAGCTTTCTCTACATTGCCGTATCCAACATGATCTCTCTGCCAGGCCTCAACCTTTCCTCGCAGCCTGCCGAGACGCAAAATGGCCCTACTTCGACGGCCACACGAACGCAGGAGCTCGCCGCCAACACCGAATACCGCTTCGAAGTATCCTTCTCCCGAACACTCACGGTCAAGTTGCAGTCGGGCACTGCAGAGTTCTTTGGTACCGAGCTGGCACCCTCCACCACATACACCTTCCAGGGCACAAAGGGCGCCATCTTCACATGGCACGGCTGCAAGCTCGACATCGGCGGAGAGGTTGAGTCGGACTATATCGCTGAAGAGACACCCATGATGAGTTGTGCAAACCTACATTTCGCCCTAGAAAACTTGCGCGACAGGAGCATCGCCAGCGGCAGTGTCGAGATGGGCCCAAGAGTGCTTGTCGTAGGGCCGGAGAACTCGGGCAAGACATCACTCGTCAAAACCCTCACGTCCTATGCTGTCAAGACTAGCAGGCAGCCAATGGTCATAAACCTGGATCCGCGCCAGGGTATGCTCAGTGTGCCCGGTTCCTTCTCAGCAGCTGTATACTCGTCCATCGTAGACATTGAAGAAGGCTGGGGAAGCAGTCCAATCTCGGGGCCCAGCCCTATTCCGGTGAAGATGCCGCTGGTATATCACTACGGTCTTAAAGACCCGGAGGAGGGCAAGGTGTTCAAGCCGTTGGTAACGCGCATGGCACTTGCTGTCACAAGTAGATTGGAGGAAGACAAGCTCAGCAAGCAGGCTGGCTTCATCATTGATAGCTCAGGCGCCATCAGCCAAGGGAGGAATGGCGTCTACGACAACATAGAACATATTGTTTCTGAGTTCTCTAGTACGTGTGATGTCTTGAATATTACTTCTGCCTTCTCCCCTCCAGCATTGCCCATGCCTACAAGTACACAGATTCCGGAATCCAACGTCCTGGAAGATAGGCAATCAGTTGTATGTACCAGCACAGGAAGATCATGCGACTAACACCACTCCAGTCAACGTCCTCATAACCCTCGGCTCCGAACGCCTCTACTCCGACCTCTCCCGAAAGTTCTCAGCCCGAACCGGCAGCGATCCTTCCGAGACCGTCTTCGTAATCCGTCTCGACAAGTCCGGCGGTTGTGTAGATCGAAGTGAAGAATACATGGAAGCACTCCGCCACGCCCAAATCAAAGAGTACTTCTTCGGCAAAGGCGACGAGACACTTGCCCCTAGTAGCCAAATGGCCGATGCTGCCGACCTCAACATCTTCCGCGTCATCGAAGGAGACGTGAACGGTGGGGTTGACGAATACGGCATGACTGTCGAGCGACAAATCTTCGAAAAGGTTACACCGTCCGAGGCAATGCAAAATCAACTACTGGCCATCACTACAGCTAGTCCCAATGATCCACAGGCTGTCATCCGTGACAGCAGTATCAGGGGATATATCTATGTCGCGGACGTGGATGAGGCGAAAAAGAAGGTCAAGCTCCTCAGCCCACTACCAGGAGCGACACCAGGGAACGCCATGATCTTAGGCAAATGGCCAGAAACTGTCGAGGGTCTAGTTAACTAGACGTTTCTAACATGGATTGGACAGTATGAAAAAGAAGCAGTGAGGATATTGAAGGAGGATACATTGGCACTGAAGGCGTTCAAGAGGATCGGAATAGTAGTGGAGGTAGGAGGCTACAACATAAGGTTCAAGTTGTGAAAATCTTTGAAGAGATCTGTGCAGAAGGCAAGCTTATCTACCCTTTCTAAATGTGTCTCTGTAGTACTACGAATGATGTCCTCTCTTACATTGCGTCCGACTTTTGTAACGACCTTGAAGGTACGTACCCTGAACACTAAAACTCTACCCTAGATATATACATTGTCGCTTGTCTACTGGATCTGTTACTTGGACTCATGCGCATAGCTTCATGCCATATAACAAGTAGATTGGTACAATATGTGAAACCGAGCTTCTTCGTGCTACTCCGCCGTATTATGTGCGTAAATACACGTCTAATCGGATTGACTGGTAGAAACTTGACGTCTATACTGAATTAGCTGGTCACCGTCTGGCAGCAGGTCCTTCTACTTCTACCTCTTAGGTTCTCTCAATCGTTGTTTGGTCACGGAAACCCTAATTCTGCCACCCCATTCCACTCCATATTGTCATCTCCTTTCGTCTATCTACCACCGCTTTCCACGTTCAGTTCGCGGCAATATCCTAGAAGTGTCCTCCAATAGACGTGCGATGAATACGGCTCACAGAGTTTGGACCAGACGTATCAGCAGACCAAATCTAAACCGATACGATGGGAGCCCATAATCTTATCATATGTGTGTGTGTATTTTTGCGAGCGTTCGAATACTGGGTTCATAAGTGTAGGTAGCTCTTGCAAAGACGCCATGAGTATCTAGAGATACTCGAACCTTATGTCGAACCCTGGTGTGGCGACTATTTTTCGCTTTCTAGGCTACGCTTGACATGTGTCAAGTTCCAACCTTCCCACTACATCTCGTCATCGCGTTCTTGCATCTCCTCCCTTTCAGCTACCTCAGCCATTCGTTCTCTCACGCTTTCGTCCATATCCCAAACTTTCCATCCCATGTGTGGTTTAAGAGCGTTAGCCCCTGGTCTTGGTGGCGAAGTTACAAACGGACGCTCGGCGGTTCCATCGCCATACAAAAAGTCGTCCACCTCCTCATTGACAAGCTGTGAGTATTGACGAGACAGGGGTGCCAGAACTGTAAAGCTTGGTTTGCTAACATTGACTTCGCCGTGGTAATAATCTCGTAGTTGCTTAAAGAGCCACGGCCAATTACATCCTGGACGCATCCGCTGAAAACAATCATGTAATGTGACGTTTTGTAAGTTTGGCGACGTGGTAAACATGTCTCTGAGGTCCTCCTCTGACAGCTTCACATTCCGCAGGGTGAGACACCGCAAGCGCGATCTCATGGCCTCAGGGATGGGATTGAATCGTAGAAAGAAGCGCCAAGACCGGCCTGATCTACTATCGTTGAAGCCAAGATCAAGATATTCGAGGTACTGTAGTTCTACCAGTAGAGACTTGAGATTGTTCAAGCCTTCTGGACTCATAAGATAGTCATTTGGAGGAGTGAAAATCATTTTTAGGCGCTTCAAGCGTGTCCGCTGGAACATTTGTTTCGTAAGTCGGTAATTCTGTGAAGTTTCGGTGAGGAAGCAGTGGTAATAGGACCTTGCTTGGTGTTCAGATTCGACTATGAACTCTTCGATGTGCGGATCTGGCATGGCGAGTATAGCAGACACCACAACGCCGTAGTTCCTGTGTTCCGCTGGCAAGGGCTTTGCGTTCTTGGGCGGGTTGGCAGCACTAGGGTGCCACTGAGCAAACATATCCTCTGACTCCTGGTCGGACCGAAGCCATGGCCAGACAGCTGGTTTGCGGAAACCTAGAGGTAACGAACGATGATAGGGGGTATTGTATCGAGGCACGACATTACATGCGGGCCAAGTGTCAGTCGTTAGCGTTATTCTTCTCACATTTGGAAAGCCATTCAGGGCTTGATGCAGTGCCATCGCATCGATTTGCTGTTCCACAAGCTCTTGTTCCTGGCGATACAGTTCCTGATATAACGCGTAGCTGTCTTCAATGCTCATCATTGTGGCATTCCTAGCAAGAACATCTCTTGAGAACTGATCATCGTATCGCAGAAGGATTTCCTTCGCAGCCTCAGTCAATCGACCATCCTGAAGTAAGTCTTCCATTTCCAATGGTCGGTAATCGGGATCACTATCACCATAGATCTCCATGGCTTCCTCAAGTCGACGTTCAATGGCTCTGGTAGTCTCTCTTTCGTCGGCGATGATTGCGGCACGGAATCCCTCCAACGTCGAATACTCTTTGAGCAAAGCATCGTCCCAAACAATCTCGCGCACACGGCCAGGGTATGTAGGATGGGCCAGAATCTGATGTAGATAGTCCAGATTAGCTCGATTAGGCGAGACGTAGATGCGATCTATGCGTAGATACACGCTGGATGCGAAGTGCTTGCTCACGAGCCGCAATCGCTTGATGTCGAGCTTAGAGATATGTTCGCATACGATTTCGAGTAGCTCTGCCGGCAAGTCTGTGATGGTCTTCTTGTTCCGAGCCCCGCTCCCAAAAGCTTCGGGAAACTCATCGCCAAACAACCCCTCCATGAAGCTCATCGAGGGCACATTGCTGGCACTCACGGCTGACACAGTCGAAACCCTGCGCTTTGTAACGCCAGCGCGGATGGATAAGCTAGGCTTGCGGCGTCGGGTCTTGGCAGGTGCAGGTCGTATCTGGAGGTTTGCGAACATCGCATTGATGTCTTTCTAGCTTGATAGATGGCTATCACAAGATGGCATATGCAGGCGGATCTTGATGTTTTTGGCCCGTTGTGACGCTGGGTAAGGTTGGTGTGGTCTTCTCCTAGGTTGTGCGCATGAAACTTGAATCTGTACCAAGTATGCAGAGGTTTGAAATTGTATACAGAAATGCACATGCGATGTACAAGGAAGAGAAACGGGTTTTAATGATGCTCAAAGTACGGTGTCGGAAGACAAAGGTTTATGCTAAGGGTAGTGAAACGCCAGCGCTTGCAGCGCTACCAATGCAAGGCTACCTGCTCTCCGATTCGAGTGCAGCGGAGCGGGCACTATAGACAACTTTGCGCGTTGCGCGTGCTGTCTTTACAGAAGCGACAACCATTTGAACCACTTCATGAGCCAGGCGCGGTTTATGGGCCATGGAGGAAGTCATTTCAATCCGCGGGAACCCGCAACGTGCCTTCGCTTACAGGCAGCGTGGTGGAGAGCTGCCCGTAGTGGGGTGGGTCCCCAGCCAACGTCAGAAGCTTCACATCAACACCATAGCAAGATTCAAGAGGATCATTCACGATAGTCAGGTCTTCTCATTATGTCAGGTGCTTTTCAGCAACCCGAAAGAGTGCCCGAGAGCATACATGAGCAGATACTGCCTTTCCAGCGAGCATCCCGCGAACGGTTCCACGACGCATATCCACCACTCGATAGCCACAGCAAGTACACCGTCTGCCAATGCAGGCATACAGTATACCAGCCACGCCATCACAGCAGACGCGCTCGCTCTTCCCATATCGATATGAAGATTGACCAGCACCCTAGTGCATATCCATACCCCGCACATACCGTTGCCGAAGCACAGAAGTATGACTGAGGCTGTGTGTAGAAGTCGAAGTCAGGGAAGGGGGCGAGTCGTTCATTTAGGAACCCTCCTCTCCCTCGGCCTTGTTCTTCTTCTTCTTCTTGCTTGAGCCGAAATCGTTCTTTACCGTCGGGACGGCCGACTGGTGGACGATAAAGCGGGTGTAGCACTCTTCTGGGTCCCACTCGAAGCCCATGAGGTACGGCTTTTCGAACTCGTCATCTGCCTACAGGAGAGGGTCAGCTATGCTTCGACACACGGTAACCCTAGATGGTGCGGGGTATGAGAGGATCGGCAACGATGCTCGATGGTAAGATACAATGGATGGGGATACTTACGCGCTTCTTGAACTGCTTGTGGATGGCATCTAGTGCATCCTTGATGGTGACACCTTTCATGTTCCGTGCGGTGACTTCTAGGCCTAGCGGGAAGTGCAGGGCGATGGACTTGAGCTTGGGCTCGGTGAGTGGCATTTTCAAGACTGATGGGTCTTCGACAGTGGATGGTGACTTGTTCAGCTTCCTAGAGGTATTGTGTTAGTACGATGCAAGGTATCAGGGCTGACCGGGGCCATCCGGATGACGATGAGCCGCTGGACGTTGTTGTCGGATGGTTCGCATTAACGAAACAGGAAGATTCACTTACCAATTCAGCTTCTGGGTTTCGATTGCGATCTCAATCTTCTTGCCTTCCTTTTCTGTGCTTCTGTCAGCTCGCCTGCCCCTCACGCACGACCCCTCATCTGGGCCATTGTCACAGGAGCACTCACCTAGATCCTCGATCCGGTAGACATCAGCAGCCATGGAGCTGACTCTGCGGTGGCCCTTCTTAGCGGCGCCATCTTGGTGGTCAGTCAAAGAGTCGACCTTCTGAAGCGTGTTTTCTGTCTCTGCGGCCATTGTGGTGATATGCAGTTGCAGCTGAGCTACTGGGAGATTGGGAAGAGTTGTAGATGATGAAAGAGCTTGGGAAGCTGTATGGGAATTGCTTAGAGCTATGGATAAGGGGTGAGAGTCTGAAGCACAGTGGAGGCTGTGAGGAAGAGCAAGAAGGGAGGGAGGGCGCAGCTTATGAGGGGCTCAGTCTGTCGCCGGCAGGCACAGGAGACGGTCACTTGATCGATCACCACATTGTGGTCCAATCGAACCGGCGTGAGACGTGAATGGTCGAGCCAATGCGGGGAAGGGGAGCATCGCCCAGAATGCGGGGAAGGAACAAACGCCAACGGACGAAGCGTGCGTGTACACCAGGTAGCATTGGCTCACAGCACAAGATATACTTTGAAAGCTAGCAATTGAGCCTCCTTCTTCGCACTTCGCCTACTCCAGCTATCTGCTTTCGTTGTGCGGCTGTTCCGGAAGATCAGGTACGGTGGTGAGATAGATCGCGTGACCGACGTCATTGCGCTCGGCGACATTGACAAAGCGCGCATCGACGCGTATCATCTCAGCTTCGGGCCCTAACGCGGACCGAGTGTATCAGAGGTCCACTTGATTACTGCAAGGGCTCATGGTCCACGCGGAGGTACATGTCAACATCCGACTGGACTATCCGCCCCTCGCAAGACCATGTGAGGCTGCGTACATGAGGCGCATGCAGCCGAATATTCAACTCTAAAATGAGTCAACTTGAAAAAGCAACATGGAAGGTCGAAATAGCTCAACATCTCGTGTAATAGTGCGCATCATTGTCTTGCTAGTCACTTGCGTGTACTCGTTCAGAGCTCATCGCGTGACTTCTCTATGAATGTCCAACAATCCTAACGGGCTCGTAAAGCTCTTCGAGGTACTTCTCCTCTTCCTCAGTCAACTCCTTGCCCCTTGCTGCAAGTGCCTCATCCATCCTGTCTACACTGGAGAAACCGATGATGGGACTCGCAACACGCTTGTTGATCCATGCTAGCGCAACATGGCTCATCTTCCAGTCATGCTTCTTTGCAATCTCTTCGACACGGCCGATGATCTTCTTGTCACGCTCGTTGTTACCAGAGGTCTGATTGCCAGCCTTCTGTTCCCCTTCTGAACGAGTGGTCGAGCCGAATGCCGAGGGAGGGCGAGCGAGATGGCCACGGCATAGTGGTGCCCACTATCGGCTGTTAGTGAAGGAATGACTTGATGCTCGAAAATGGTAGCATACCGGAATAAGACCAACGCCAGTGTCATTGCAGAATCGATTCATCTCACGCTCTTCCTCGCGATATAGCAGGTTGTAATGGTTCTGCATGCTGATGAATTTGGTCCAACCATTCTTCTCAGCAGTAAACTGCATTTGCGCAAACTGGACTGCCCACATGGAGCTGGCACCTATGTACCTGACTTTTCCACTCTTGACCAGATCGTGCAGTGCCTCCATGGTTTCCTCGAGAGGTGTATTTGGATCGTAGCGATGGATTTGTAGAAGATCGATATACTCCAGATCGAGACGCTTGAGCGATGCATTGACGGCGTTGAAGATTGCTTGCCGTGACAGACCACCTTGATTCACGTAGTCTTTCAACTGAGGCAGCTCCGTGCCATACTGGATCGTACGTAGACCTGGATCTTCGCCAACGTAACCAAAGCACTTCGTGAGGATGACGAGCTTCTCACGAGGCAAGTCGTACTTCTTGATTGCTTTGCCAACGAGCTCTTCGGAGACGCCATTGGAATAGACATTGGCTTTGCAAGATATCAGTGAACTACGGCAACCGAGCGGACAGCCTATCGGACATACCGGTATCCCAAGTCGTAAGACCGCGATCGTACGCAGCTTTCAGTAGCGGTAGCGACTCTTCTTCTTCAATGACCCAGGGCTGCCATTTAGAGGAACCAATGCTCATGGCACCCAGGATAGGTACTGAGACCTTCAGGCCACTCTTTCCTAGGCGTTTGTATTCAGCCTTGGACTCCTGGAGGAGACCCTGCACATCGAGCTTATCCGGCATGATCGCAAATCAGTGGATCGCTTGCGGATTGGTGTTTAGTGGGGTACTTGGGTTTCGCAAGGCTGTGGTGGGGCGAGCAACAGAGAGGCGTGAATGAACCACCACATTGTAAGGCGGCACGCACTTCATATACTCTGCAACGACGGCATTTTCTCCGTGTCTGCACCACATACTTCCCAATCGAGTACATAGCCGTCAAGGTCGGGCTTTGCGGCGATAGCTTCATCATTATCCCGGTGGTAGATACTGCAACGAGCCACGATGCGGGGTTCAGGCACGACGAGCCGCCGTGTACGTCATGTGTAAATATCACATCCGCGGACTATCCAGCTGCCGAAAGAAGGAAGGATGTGCTTGTCGGTACGTGTATATCAAAGGGTGGTTACAACGGTCATCACACCCATCCCGAGTTCAAAATGTGGGGCATGTTGTTTGCACAGGCAAAGCACTAGAAAGAGGCTAGGGGTTCTGAGATGAGCATTCAGCACAGATTTGATTCGTCACCAAGTGCATGATAAGCCAAAGCTCGCCGTGGTGTTGAAGTTCAGATCGTTCATGTCTCTTGGCAAGTACTGATCTTATTGACTTCTCATCACCTCACACTTCATCGTGAATGTGCCGGCGCGATTCCATCAAGTCATGGTGGTATTGTTTGAACATCGTTTTTGATCTTAGACCCCCAGGCGCCAACCGCATATGATGCAGAGAAGTTCATAGATGCTCATTGCCCGTAAAGAAACCCGTACTCCCCAGAACCGTTTACGCGTCCTCGACGATGTTGCCGCGCTCCGACACGTACAGACCGTCCAAGAACTTTCGGATATCCTTGTTGCGGACCTTGCAGATTTGCTGAATGTCGGCGGCACCTTGGGAGACGTCCTCGAGCGACTGGATGATGTTAGCATTGGTTGAATTGGTTGTTGCACCGCAGTTCTTACGTTTCCGGACAGCTCGAGCTGATCCTTCTGGTTCTTCGACGCCTCAACCTCAACACCGGGCCTCATGACAACCCTTCGTACGAGCTTCTCGCCGATGAAGTTTCGGATCTCCACCTCCCAGCAGTCGGTCTCCTTGTTCTTCTCCAGGTTGACGTTGATGGGGAAACTGGGTGTGATGTTAGTCATATCCAGCAATGTGCGCTTGACGCTCAGCATAAGCATATCCATCCTAGTGCTCCCAGCATCTCAACCAGGAGTCCTGCGTTGATTTGTTGGGGAGCCTGGAGAGCAGCGTCGGATGGGATATGCTCTGCGACGGGTTCGGGAGGGATGTGCGGCTGGTGTAACATACTGGGCATATACGTAGCGCATCTTGTACTTGTATCCCTTGGTGACACCGATGATCAAGTTGTTCTATTCCCAGTCAGCCCAGTCCTCCCATGTTTACCAGTGTGGGAATTCGAGGATGCGCGCGACGTACAATCAGGGTGCGGACAGTTCGGAGAGTAGCGACGCTCTTGCGGGAGCCGTGGTGGAGCTCGATCTTGATGACATTCTTCTTAGGGTGCGTGAAGCTGACCGCCAAGTGGCCGAGAGACTTTGTGAGCTTGCCCTGTAGAGTGTAAGAATCGGTTCGAGGTGGTCGAGGCTATCGCGATTGGCTTACTCGGGGACCTGTTGGAGATGTCAGTGTTGGATTCCTTATGCGTCTTCTATCGTGCGCACTCACCCTCAACAAGAACGTTCCTGTTCTTGATGGCGACCTTGACGCCCTCGGGGATGGCGAGCTCTTCCTCAGAGTGGCTGTTTCGCACTTGTCAGCAAAAGTCCTGGATTCTGATGTTTGCTCGTGGTGGAATCTGCTATCGAGGCGCCCATTGACCGGTCGGAAGCGGGAAAATCGTGCGATGCGGCGGTTTGACAGTCGTGTGCTCGGGGATAAACGTACATGTACTTCATCTTGACGGTTGCTGCGGGTTAGCGGTGTTGTCGAGAAGCTGAGGTCGAATTGTTCGAAATTGTGTGGGAGGCAGCGGAACAAAACGATAGCCGAGCCACCGGTCTAGCCCGCTTTTGTGCGCGCTAGCGCCGCCGTCTTCCTCGTCATGGCAAGAACACCAACTTCATGCATTCCGAGGAGCTGCGACTTTAGCCATCGTAGTTTCCAGTGAGACTTGCAAGACTTGGAAATAATTCGTCGCGACAAGTCTACGGCCAGCATGGCACACGGAGACACACACATCGCCCAAACCCTGCTGCACCGCGCCTTCTCCCCTTCGACCGCAGAATCGCATTATCACGAGCGCGTGCTGAAGCGGCCCCTTCACATTCGCGCAACCTCGCCTACACCCTCTGCACGCGCGGTCCGCCGTCGCGCCCTTAACGAGATCAAACAGACTGCTCGGAAGCGCAGCAAGAACAAGCCTCGTCCATTGTCCGCTGCGAAAAAGCGTGCACTCTGCCTGAACGAGATTCCCAAGGAGCAGCAAAACTACGCCCTCTATGAGGGGTTGCACAACTTGTGGGCTGGCTACATGAGGGACGTGCTAGGCCTGAGCGATACTGCGCGGAGTGTCCTTGTCACGCCGAATTCGAGTGGACAACTGCTTGCGACTGCCGACATGCACGGGGCGCTCGTGACTGTAGTGCGAAGCCGATGTGTAAGTCGCGTAGGCTTGGAGGGTATCATCGTTCGTGACACAAGGTTCACATTCGAGATCATCACCAAGAACAACTCTGTGAAATGTAAGTCTAGCAAGCAAGACTTAGGTAAGTGGTAAGTATCTGACAAATTCAGCTGTCCCCAAAGAGCACACGATCCTCCGGTTTGAGGTACCGCTTCCTGAGCAAGATGGGAAGACTCCCATGAAGCCACTTGTGTTTGAACTCAACGCGGAGCAGTTCCAGACAAGAGCGGCTGATCGCGCGAACAAGAAGTTCAGGATGCACTATCAGCCTGACATATGAAGGAGAACACACAACACTTTCTGGCCAACATCTCCCTTCTAGAGGGTATAAGCACTCCATCTGATATCCTAGAGATCTCGAAGCTGGCCCTGGCAACGATGACTGAAACTGCAACACCGCTCGAGACTCGGGTAGCAAGCCAGGCAGGGCTGTGCGTCATAGACTGCATCTTGTTGCGCGTACGTTCTCAGTAACTGAGGAAGGTTTTTAATGAGAAGGAGCACTGGGATGCGAACAAGAGTTGATTGACAAGAACAGCTCTAGTGTTTACGAAGAAGCACAGGTCAAAAGATCTAATTGGAGTAGGCATACAGGTGTATCATTGAGCATGGTATCATTCCGATGAACCCTCAAAACGCCATCCCGCTAAATGCAATGGTATCATAAACAGCAACCCTTTCCGTCTCATGTCAAATTTCTATACGTTCGTCGCAGCCCTCTCAGATTGGAAATCCTCAGGTTTGAAGTTTCTCAACTCGGTGTCATGTCCACCGTTACCCCCATTCATCGAACTGATCTCATCCTTCTCTTTGACAGCCCTGCCTTTGTCCAACTTGCATCCCGTATAGCTTCTGGGTAGATAACGACCCGGATGCCACACAGCAAACACGACTAGCACAGCGAGTACTGGGGCGGCGTCAAACACCCAGAAGCACCATTCGTGGCTCTGCAGGTACAACAACCCATAGTTGCGATCATGGGGTATCTCGATAGTACGGTAGAGCGCTCGTAAGGCGATCAGGACCGAGGAGAGGTTTATCGTATATCCCAACTTGCGCCAAAGGTGCAGGTCTCCCAAGTCATGAGCAGCCCAGTGCCGGCTAATGTAAAAGTACCGCATACTGATGATAGAGAAACTGAGGAAACACAGCACCTGCAGCACCAGCCCCAAAATCAGGATAATCCTGCCAGGTAGTGCTTGCCGTTCCGACGAAGCGATAGTACGGTTCCCTTGCGTATCTTGGTCGTATTGCCGGCTGATTTGACTCGCGCCCACAAGTTGAATGATGAAGCTGAAAAGGTCAAAGGACACAAAAGTGGCGGTGATGTATCTGGGAAAGCACCACAGCGTCTTGAAGTTGAGTGCGTAGGTTGGGCAGGAAAACCACACAACACGACTGAATGCAGTATAACACGCTGCAGCGAGGAAACTGGGCGCGAGCAGGATCATGAGCCAGGAGGCAAGGAAGGGCGACTCTTTGTGCTCGTCATAGGCAGATACCAGACGGCATATGAACCCCAGGTCGAGCATGACAATGGCGATGATTGCTGCCCAGAAGAAATACGCCTTGAGGCGGATGTACTGATAAAGAGAATATGCAGAGACCAACAGTACGAGAATCGCCCCTGTTATGGCGAGAGGGTAAGACGGGTCATATATGTAAGGATTCAGGAAGTTTTGCGCTGTCATGAAAGTCAGCCGCCATGTTGTGCCATGTTGTCTAGTCGCGAAAACTGGAGACGAACATACCATGTTGAGCCCGATTCGGCAACCCCATGATTGATCGCGCTTCCAAGGCGGCGCTCGTAACTTGCATCCTAGCAGACATGTTCCGCTCCGCTCTGGTCCACCTCTTTTTAAATTCCGACCCAAAATGGTTTGTCGATCACAACAACCCGCAGCAGTGATAGTTTTCGCTCTTTCGCAATGCCGAACCTTTGTCACTCATATCCTAGTCGCAGTAATGGAGCAAACACCACAACGTCGTTGTAAAGCAGCACCCTCGTCGCAAAGGCGCATAGTCGAATAGCCAGAAAACGAACCCAGCGGGAAAAGGCGAAGCCAGAAAAATCAAAAGCCCGGCGGCGGTAACGCACGTTTTACCCAGCAGCCCACCTGCGTTCTCCGCTTGCTAAGAGCACTCAAGGCTCTTGGCAGTCCCTTGCCCTTTCCACTCCGCACGCGCGTGTAGCAATCAACCTTTGCTGCGCGTCCCTTTTCCTTGTCATCATCTCCCACGCCCCCATCTCGTCTCACATGTGTTGGCTAGGTACAGCCGGGTAACTTGCGACAGATCAGTCTCTTATGCGAGACAGGAACGGGTAAACCGGTGCACTGCACCATGCAATCCGTTTGTGCAGCCAATATTTACCCGCCATACGCGTACCTGCCTCTGGCATGTGTAGTACAGTACGCAGGCCTACTTCCCTCTTTCACTCTCTGGGTTGCTTGTGGGAGGACCGCGTCACGAATCCACGCACATCATCCGGCGGCGTGGCCTTGGCAAACCAACGAAAGCCATGGCATGTGTCTCTGCCAAGATGTTGGCAATAGGCTCGCTCGCCGAAGTATCCGCATATCGGGGTATCGCGTCTTACCATATCGTAGAGCGTGCACTGGGTGTGGTGTTGAAATATCGCCCAAGTGTCTTCGTGGTGTTTAGTCGTTGCCAGCCAAGAGTCACCCCGACGCAGGTATAAGCCGTGGCATTGCTTCGTTGCGCGATATTGTTATCGGATATTTCGGCCTCGACACTGTATGCTTTAGTTGGTCTTTGCGATGTTATCCTTGTCAATGGCCTGCAGGACGCTGGTATGAAACTGAGGCGTGGGAATGTGGCGCAGGCGCTTGTCAAACATAGCGTACAGGCGCGTCCTAGCAGCCTGCGCAAGCGGAAGAAGATACCCCCCTTCGCGATCGTTGCAACTTGTCGCGCACTGAGGACGCAATGAATTTGAAGTAGCTTCTTAGTATGTTCTCATTGAAACTGCAGTTTTTCGCTGACCCTGGGATACATGCGTCCACGGCAAATCTTACCATGTTTGGAAATACATCGTGACTCTCCCTTTCTGAAATCTTACTTCCCAAACCAAAACATTGTCAATTTTCCATTGTCCTAGACGGCTCGGCACGAGATCAGACCACGACATTCTGGACTACTGTTTCATCAAAGTCCTGCCACGAAAACATATCGGCTCGTCCCTCGACTACTTTTCTACTCGTCGTCGAAATCGTCATCGGAAGCATCTTTATCCGCGCTCGCCTTGTTCCCTCCAAGGATCTCAACCTCGTCCTCGTCCTCGTCAAGACCCAAGCCCTTCTTTAACCATCGCACCTCCTTTGGCTTCCTCTCCATCCACAGCTCGTTTGGGATCCAAGTGTAGAAGCTACACATAGTTTCCTTGATGTCGTCGAGAATGGTGAGACCACCAGAAAGGAGCAGGATAGTGGCATCCATCTTCAGGCCCACGAAGCAGTCCTCAAGAATGCTCTCCTCGATCCAAAACTCGTACTCTTTGCCATTGCCAGCTTTCCGTGGCTTACCGTTGGGGTACTTGGTTTTATCCTTGGGTAGATCGTAGTCGTCGCAGTCGTCCGTGTGCCAGGTCTTGCAGGAAAGCTTACCGAGGGGTCCAAGCTGTCCAAGCTTATGTTTGAAGGCCTCGCTCTGCTCTGCGTATGCAGACTTGGTATCGTTGTCGGGAAGATTGATGGCAGTGACCTCAAGGTAGGCAGTGTCCTTGCCGAGAACTTTTAGCTGCCCAGACTCAAACATGTCATATTGCGCCTCCGAACCCAGAACAGCGATGCCAGTGCCGAACTTGATCCTGGCTTCTTCGTCCCGGATACCAATTTCCACAACCGCCAGGCCTTCCTTCTTCAGATCCTCCGCCCAGGACTTGTTACCAGTATACATACCAGCCTGGGCACCACCGAATAAGACGCTAGCAGATTTGTTGAAATCTCCGGGCAGGGCAAGACCTAGAGAGTTGACTTTTGGAAGCTCCTGCTCAGCCTGATCGCAGATTTGAAGTGCAGTGGCAAGCTGGTCATCGAATTCGGGACAGACACGGTGAAAGCGAAGATACCCGAGGAAGGAGCGGGGAACTTGGCAAGCATTTTTGATAGCATACGACGCATAGCCATAGTGGGCGGGATACCAAGATGATCTATTCCAGTCAGTATCGTGTCAGTGGAGCAAAGGGTAAGATGAACCTACAGGAAGGCTTTGCAGAGAGCTACAAAATCTACGACCCACTTGTTCTCATTAGAGCGGTCCCAGGGTACATTGTGGACAGCGAGAGCCCTTGCAAGTTCCTCAGGACCCATCTCATTCATCTCGTGCTTGGAAAGCCCTTGATACATGCGAGGACCAGACTCTACTCCGCCAAAGCGCATGAGCTTGTTGAAGACATGTGCATACATTTCATGCATGCGACGCTTTTGCTTGAAGCGCTGGATGGCGATCTCGATACGTTCGACAAACGGTTTGGTCAGAGCGTACATCTCTTCTTCCTCGGCAGCTTCCACAGGGGTGAGAACAGGCTCAATGTAGGCCTTCTCGAACCCAGTAGCTTTGAGCATATTCTTAGACACCCCTTCGGGATACTTTGCCTTTGTTTGGGGCAGTAGTGGTACTGGATACTGAGCCGGCTGCTGCGCTTTCGCCTTTCGAGAACCCGGGGCGTAGGCAATATCGTCGTCATCTTCGGCATCGAAGTAATCTGGATCGAGGATATTCTTTCCAGTCAAAGGTACCTTACGCTTGATGGTCTTTCCGTCAGCAGACACTTCCAGAAAGGCGCTCAAGCGGAGAGCTGCAGTAACGAGGGTCTTGGGCTTGTATTGGCGCATCCTCTGGAAACCGCGAATGCGACTGATCGAGACGGGGAGATTCTCGCGTCCACCACAGCACTGTAGTAGGTGTTTGTCTGTGGGAAGGTTTTCGTCGGAGAAGTAGAACTCCACCTTGGAGGGAGATTAGTGTGACCGCATGACTGACCAAAAGATCGGAGACTGGTAAACGTACTTGACGACGAATCTCTGCACCATCTGGATGGTCTTCAATGGCAGAGGTAGCAGTACTGTTGCTAGAGGCTTCATCGGTAGGTCCTGCATCCACAATGGGTGCTGTGATCGCGGTCGCCATATCTGCTGCTTTCTGCACTGGGTATTGGGAAAGATGGAATTGATGTGCTTAGAGAGGAGAAAGGGGTGCAATGGGCAAGGATCGTGTGTAGAGAGTTGATGCCGTGGTGAGGCGACAACAAACAGTGCCTTCCGAGATGGTGGGTAACTGCGTTTGCATCTTGAGGTAAGAGCGCACGACTACTTAAGACTGGCCGTCGCAACTTCCGGTTCCGGGTATCTCGTACTCTCACGCGCTTTCACGGTGAGTCCATGCCCAGTAATTTGATACTTGCGCATTGAAGACTAAGTCAAGGTGAGATGCTGGTTCTTGCTAGCGGCGATGAAGGACAATCGGTCGAGGCACATAGCGATGGTATCTGTTGCAGTAACTTTCATGATGGGCCTCTAAATGGGGAATAATAAGAACAAAATCTGGATGGCATAAGACATAATCTTGAAGTCGTACAAAACCAATGGATTGTGCTGGATTAGCGCGAATCGTGATACCCTGGATGACGGCATTGGCTGACTCGCAAAGGACCCTGAAACACATGTCGTGGGGCCTGCAGCCTGCATACCATGTATCTTCCACCTGAACACCAACCACGCGTACGAAGACGTTCATAACATAGCAAGACTCGCTATACAATCCGAAAACCATGGCAACCAAAGCATATGACGCGTCTAATCTGAAAGCATATGGCAGTGCTGCTGCTGGTCAGTAAGTGCCTTGTTGCCTGCCGCCTGTCAGCCTCCCCACCCATACTAACACCACAACCCAGCGATGGTGTCCTCAGCGACGAGTCTGGTGGTGTAGTAGTAAAGCCCTGCACCCTTGCAGAGATCAACTTCTACGAGTCCCTCACCGACCACCCGGACCTCGCGCGTCACCTCCCCACCTTCATGGGCCAACTCTCCCTCTCAGCCGACCAAGCCGCCGCTACCGAGTCTGTCGAAAGCGGCACCATACAAACGGCCGACGGTACAATTGAGCGTTTGCATGGCAAGAAACTCGCTACAGATCTTCACATCGTGCTAGAGAATATTACACATGGGTTCAAGAAACCGAATGTTCTGGATCTGAAGCTTGGCGCGCAGCTGTGGGATGAGGCTGCGAAGCCGGAGAAAAGAGCGCGTCTAGATGCCGTAAGCAAGGAGACCACAAGCGGCAGTCTAGGGTTTAGGATAGCGGGTATGCGCACGTACAAGGGTAGTGATGTACCCGACATCCCCGAAGACCTGAAGGAGTATGTGGAAACGGACAAGGAAGACGGATATTGGGTGTACAACAAGATGTATGGACGCAAATTCAGCGCTGAGAACGTGAGTGAAGGCTTCACAGACTACATCTTCCCTGGTGCAAAGTCAGAAGCAGAGCTCGATCGGGCGAGGGAGGTGCTCGCCTACTTTCTGGGAGAGGTCAAGGACATCCAAGAGGTTTTTGAAAGCAAAGAGAGCAGGATGTACAGCGCAAGCATACTACTGGTATATGAGGGTGACGTAGACGAGTACGCAAATACCAAGCAGAAGCTACGATCTGCACATCTGGAAGATGAGGATGAAGACGATGAAGAGACTCTGCCTAAATTGGCCGAAGTCAAGATGATTGACTTTGCGCACGCGACATGGACACCGGGGCAAGGGCCGGATGAGAATGCGCTGCAAGGTATGAGGAGCACGGCAAAGATATTGAAAGAGCTGTTGGACAAGGCGCAGCATGACTAGGGGCAGATGAATAGTTCATTTGGTGGAAGTGCAATGTATAGACGAAGCATATCTGTGAGTACAGCTTCGACGTTATGGTCAATCGAACCATTGCCCGTCGACCTCTTATTGTTTCAACGGTTTTGATTTTTGAGCATACCACCTAGAAAGCCAGCGCACTGTCGCTGAGGATGATGATTGAACACGTGGCACTTATACTATCATAATCCCTCTCCATGTAGAAGCAGATGTGGAACATGTGTCACAGACACGATAATTGATAGAGGCAATCAGATCCCCAGTAGTGTCTCTTCCCAATCACCCACTCCCTTCATCAACGAATCAAAGAACGCCGCATCTACACCCTGGAACGCCCAGTCATTCGTTCCTGCGGTCAGTCCAGGATAGTGTTGTGGCGTATTGAAGATTGTATCAGAGGATGTCAATCCAGACTGTAGGGTCTGAAAGTTCTGTGTGTTGGGCTGTGCTGCAAGGAGGTCGGATGATATATTATCGCTAATGTCCCGACCAAAGGTGGAAAAGACATTATTCTCGACAGCCATCAGGTTTGAGGACGACGGACCAACAAGCATGTCCACACCAGGAGCCTGCTGACTAGGCCCTTCTTTCGTGATGCCTTTTGTACAAATCTTGATAATTCCAAAATATGGTATCGAGAGCTGAAACTGCTCGCCGCAGCCCTCCTCAAGCCGATCGACAGTGCTCTCACCAGTATGACTCGACCCACGTGCAGCGTCGCTTTCAATCTCGAGCAAGCTCCGAAGCTGCTCAGCACTTTTGCCTGTGAGGGGTTCGTTCGTCTGCGTCGAAACCAGTTCCAATTTTTCGACAAGCTGCTCGACCATGGCGCGGTCGCCGGGTCGTTGATGTACTAGAAAACTATGATCTTTCCAGCGACAGCTGTCTATGTGCGCGATCAAAATCGTCATCCCGGCCATGAGCGCGAAGAAGTCCGCTGTGTGACATGACTGGGTCGAGATTGGTCGAAAATTTTGGAACGCGACAAATCTTGTAAGAACGTCTCTGGCCGCATTGATACAGGTTATCTTGGCGTACATATGAAAATCTGAATCCTTGCCGCAATGTAAGAGGAAAGGCAGGTGCAGAAGATGAAGCAAATTGTACTGGTAAAGCTGATCTCGAAGCCGCATTAGCTCCTCAAAGGCCTCCTTCGTGCTTGGTTGCAGCCTAGTGAAACTTGGTGCAAGCCAGTATTTGTCAGGAAGGGATTTTGTCACGTTCTGGAGGTCGCGATCCAGTTTGCGGGTAGCCTCAATGTTTTGAAGCGGATCTCCTCGGTTGCGGTCAACGATACCACGTGCGATGAGGGTATGTGCTCGATCGATTTTGCAGCTCAGGCTCTCTCCAGGGACAGGGACCTCCATGTTCGTAGTCTGGCCTCCATGGGGCAGACCGAGCATCAGGCTCAGATAGCTGTCCATATGAACAATTCGAAACCATAGGAATTTTGGGCCCACTCTGTGTTTATTTTCTAAGAACTTGATCGGTGGAGGGTTGGGTGTATCCAACCTCATCAACTGCGCAAATACCATGGCTCTTCTGAAAGCTATCCACGATCGCCGAAGGTTGCCGGCGTTGGATTGGAAGATGGCTTCGTATATTATACACTCCAGTCCTTCGATACAGCCTACTAGTTGATCGTTGGTGATGACCATGCGAACAGCCGTATCCACCATGCGCACGGCGAGAGCATTCGGGTCTCCAGATAGGCGATCGGCTCCGTTACACCGAAAGTACTGCAGCATGAGGGCTAGAATAAGCATATGCCTGGCCATAAGAACTGGGGGTGTAGTAGAGGCGTCGGGAACCGTGGCCAATTCGTCGGCAATGTCGAACGATTCGTGCTCTAAGAGGTTGCTGGATCCCGTGAGACATTTGTAGCTATACAAGGTCGCGCTGCGGTCCGATCTGCATATGAGATCGAGGTCTCGCTGAGCAGGAAACGTTTGACGTAGGCCGATCGAGATGTTTTCACCGTCTTCTGCCTGCAGAAAGTTTTGTTCCGGTGTCAGTGCAGCAGAGCCGGGTGTCGGAAGTTGCACAAAGTCGATTGCTGCTGAGTCGTGTCTTAAGTCTTCCGATTGCGCAAGTAATGTTTCGGCTTTTCGCAGGCGCTCAAGGAGTTGTTCATAAGAGAGAGCAGGAGCTGGATAGGTCCTGTTGACCCCATCGCCTGAACGCAGCGATGTTAATGACGGGCTGCTATCGTCCTCCTGAAGAAGGACTTCATCCGGCTGGTCCTGGCGAACACATGGCGCGTTTCGACGACGACAAGCTACACATATTGTATCTGATGTTGCATCGAATGTGCATTTCACTTTCCGCTTTTTGCAGTCCCAACAGCTTGTCGTGCCCTTTCGAAGTTTGCGCCGCTTGCTGGGAGGCTCAAAGCTGCTCACGTTGGTGTCATTGACAGCCGGCCCCATGGCAACCAACGCTAGCCTGATTCGGTGGCACGTACGATTCCTCCACTCAAGGAGAGTAATCCGAAGTTTGGCAGAAGTACGCTAGTGAGGGTGTGATGAATCTTGCGATGGAATCGAATGCGAAATTGTTCATACGAGACGAGTTTGACACCTAGGTAGTACGGGGGACAGTGACCGAGCCACCTGCAGCTCGGCGGAAGAAGCCTCGGACTCCGAACATGTCGCTAAGAGGCCAGCGAGAATGGGAAATGTGCCTCTGGGTCTGGAGGCCTGATTTGTACGGCAACGGTCATTGGTCGCTGAAAGGCCAATCACACAGCAGCACAAGGTCTACCATGCAAACGAGTCAACGCAGACATGGGCGTATTTTTGGCTGTACGAAAAGGCCTCAGTGGCGTTTTGTGAATCGATCGACATCTAAACTCTATGAGACTAATCTTAGAAGGTTGTAAACATTACAAATGACACACAAGTGCAGGGGGACGCTACCTGCCCATGTAGCTAGGATGGTGAACCTCCTTGAAATACAATCTATGTTCCTCGATAGGCAACGAAGTACTAAACAAATGCCATCAACGTGTCCTTCGACCCTAGCAAGCCCCCGTGCTTGAAGATTACGCAGCTCCGGCCTGAACCTTCTCCATGTTGAGCTTCTTGAAGGGTGTAAGTGCGGCAGCTAGGACCGCTACACCCGCCAAAGCGATCGCAATAGCGAGTGCGACTTTTGTTCCTGCCATGTATGCCACCACAATGCCCGGTATATCTTCGGTACTGAATGTCTGTCGAAGCTGAGTAGCTCCAGTTCCGATTACCGCTTGCGGATCCACGTTTGGTGCTGTGATCGCAAGCGTGGTAATCATGCGATTTACGAAGCCGGACTGGGCAGCGGTCAATGAGAATGCGCCGCCGATGGTTTGAAAAACTACAACACGTTAGTTCTTTCCATTGGTATATGTTTTTCGGGCATACAAAAGACTGTTGCCGTCGCCGAGGACATGTCCTTTATCGTTGCGTTGGCCTGAGCTGTATTGATGGCCATCTGAAAGCCCAAGCCCACTGCGATACCATAAAGAGCCTGGTATCCTATCCATTTGCCTAGTCCAGTGCCGATGTCAAACGTATACATCAGACCAGTAGCGATAGTCGCTAGGATAGCACCTGCATTCATGAAAGGCGCAGCGTAGCCCGTCTTCGATACAACACCGCCACTAATGATGCTGCCTATCACCATTGCGAGGACCAAAGGAAGGTTGAGTACACCCGAGTTGATTGCGCTTCGGTTGTCAACGCTCTGGAAGTAGATCGGCAGATAGTACAGTAGTACAAGATACGCTGACGAATAGAAGAAGATGAAAGCGGATGGCTGCCATAGGGTGCGCTCGCGGAGAAGACGGGGTGGAAGCATCGAGCGCTCGCCATTGAAGATCTCCCATACGATGAAGGTGACGAGAATGGCCACGAAGCCTACCTAACATACGGATATACAAAGTCAGTATATGTCTCAAATTCAGTTTGTACAGTAACAACTTACCAATAGGCCGATGACAAGACTGCTGCCCCAAGGCTTCTTCTGGCCACCGTTCTCGAGTGCCAGGATGTACGCGACGATGCCACCCATGACAAGTGCGATGCCGAGAGGATCCATTTGCAAAAACTTCTCTTTCCAAGTCGCTTTGACGACGACGACTTGCGGTGGGGTCTTGTAGGTGAACAATATAAGGGCTCCAGAGGCCCCGCCGATAGGAAGGTTTATGTAAAAGCTATGCCATCATCAGCTGGTGAGTAGAACATCTATGGTAACGTGCCTACATACCACCATCGCCAGCTCACCGTGTCTGCAAAGACACCTCCCAAAAGCGGACCGACGACGCTAGATAGACCGTATACTGCACCAACAAGGCCCATAAGAGCTGGTCGTCGTTTTGGCTCGGCAGACAATGCAGCCATAGTGAACGCACCCGTTACTACAGCGGCAGAGCCGACACCAGCGATTGCGCGACCCACGACGAACGTTGTAGAGTTCTGAGCCACGGCACAGACCAAGCTTCCAATCTCAAAGACGAAGATGGCCCCGAGGAACGACCACTTAAGCGGAAAGTAACGGTAGAATTTACCAGATGCGGATTGGAAACCACCAAATGTCATGAAGTACGCGGAGCCATACTAGAGTAAGTTAGAACCATGGAATTCGAATCCATATCACTAGAGTATTAAACTCACCCAAGAGACCATGTTGAGGCCCTGGAATTCATCGGTGATCTTGGGAATAGCAGTGCCAATGATGGTCATGTCCAGAGCAGTAAGGAATACTGCACATAGTACAGCGATCAAGATGGGAACTAGCCGCATGCCACTAGGATACTCCTCTTGAATTTTGTTGGTTGCATCGTCGTGAGTAGATCTGACCTCCTCCATATCCTGTTTGTACTGCTGCTGTTCCTTCTCTTCCGCGAAAACATCCGGTGTGGTAACACCACTAGCACACTGCGTAGCTGTATCAGACGCAGCTGATGTTTTGGTTCTATGCGAGTCCATTATATGTGTTCGTGGTAGTTGAGTTTGCGGAGTATAGTCAATATCTGTATTAGAAATGAAAAGGTGTCGTGGTAACAGCCGCCTGGAAGATGATAAACAATGTATGCGAACTCCTCATACATATACCATCCTATAGAGGAAAGCATCCGTAATATCTGTGACCGATCCGAGGTCTTGGCACGCTCTTCCTCCGAGCGCTTCGGAGGATGGAGGTCAGTATTCTTCATTCCGCCGAGATGCGCCAAACAATCCCAATTTCGAATATGGGTTGTATTCGGAGAACGCGTCTTTGCACCGCGCAGAACAGCGGCCAATACCACGTGGTAAGAGCAACATGCGACTGGTGGATGGAGGCGATTAGTCAGCACTCCATTGGGTCCGGAAGAGACACTTGTTCCACTTCGCACCACCCTCATTCCGATAGCCATGTCGCAATTCTCTCAATCAAAGGTGCTCCTCCCACTGTACATTTACCCACAAGTCGGCGCATGGGATCCTCTTTACACAGCGTAGCTTCCCCCTGCTATTAACCTTTTTCTCACTGATCTCTCTCAGCGTTGCCGCAAATCCGTGTGTTCGATTTGTCGTCATCATCAATCCGAATAGTGGGCCAGGTGCAGCACCGTGGTGGCCGAATGAGGACTATGTTCGGGAAATAGCACGGCTAAATGCATTGCCGAATGTTACGACCCTGGGCTATGTACGGGTAGCCTATTGCAGACGACCGGTTCAAGACGTTCTAGAGGACATCGAAACATACCGTAGAAGAGCCAGAGAGGATGACCGTTTGAGGGTCGAAGGTATCTTCGTCGATGAGACGGTGAATTTGTACTCAGAAGAGGCTAAGAAGTACCTCGATGCTATCGATCGCAGAGCGCGAACTCTTATTGGTGTCGTCGAGAACAAAATGGCAAGTCTGAACATTTTCTTAAACGAGACCGAGCAATCCGAGCTGATAACGCCCAAGATGATTCATAATCCTGGTACAGCAGTAAGCGCTGAGCTTGCAGCACCTGGACCCGAGATCACGGTGGTTGTAGAAACATCCTACGAGGAATTTATGACTGAAGGATACCAGGAGTGGCTTTCTACTTCGCCGTACAAGCGTGCTCGAACTGCGTACATAGTACATTCTGTTCCACAAGGAGAAGTGAAGGCTCTAACGATAGCGCTTTGCGAGCGAGCAGAGTATCTGTTTGTAACAAGTGCGTTCTGCGGCTTCTACGAGAGTTTCGCTGGAAGCTGGCATGACTTTGTCGCATCGCTAGCGGAGCGGCGAAAGTAAACACATTGGACATCTTGGACATCTGTAGAGTTGTGGAGCGATAGTACTGAGAAACTGTAAGTGGAACATAAAGCTCCACAAATCCTCTTCTCGTGAGTAGATGCCCTATGCTGTCGAAATGGTCTCACAACACGAATTCGTCTGGTGCCGCGGTATCGGGGGCTTTTCGTAAATCTGGAGAATTTCAGGACCCCATTCTTGGATGTGTTTCGTCAGCGCTGTGATGCTCTACACTGGAGCGTGGTGTCTTGCTCCTGTAGGGCCTCCTCAATAGTAGCCCAGATCCTACATCGGTTCCAAAAGCCGTCAGGTACATCAAGTAGGCGGTCGTCGCATCCACTTATCGAAAAGCGTTTCGTCGCAAGAAGCTTTGCAGCAACTTTCCAATCCCAGGATGCAGTCGGATCTAAAAGCGCTGCATTAGGATCAGATAGATGGTGCTCGATCCACTTCGTGTCTAGATCCCAAATATGCGGATGGAGACTTCCGTCCCGAAGACTATTTCGCCAGAACACAGAGTCGAGCGGAATCCGCAGAGCGAGTGCTTTCGATGTGCGATGTAGTACGATGACGGATTGTATTGGTAGATAGCTGCAGATAGCGTCCATCATTTCTGTAGGAAGGCGCTCCAGTCTCTGGGGTTCACGTGTTGCTTTCAACACGTACTCTGGCTCGTCTCTTCTACGTGGCGAGCTTTGCAATACCCTTTGAACAAAGGATGCAGTACCTTTCCCTTCGATGGGGTCGGTATAAAATTTCTATATATCATCAGTAGTCTGCTTCAGAAACGTACTGTTGCACCTTACATCATATTTCCCACCCCACCAATCCAGTCTGCTCAAGGCTAACACGCTTCTAGCACCATATTCCGAAGAGGAGGAGCATAGATCGAAGATGTCGTTTGATGTCTCGTTTGGTTCGTCTGTGCAGCATTTCCGTTGGTCGAAGCGAGTACTTAGTAGTCGATACAATATCTTGAGAGTGGGTTCTAGTCCAACCTCCCTTCTTGTCGAATACCGATGCTCTATAACTCTACAACTCGTTACGATGCATCCTTCATGCAACGGAAACAATGTTCCATGGTCGCCTGTGTAAGAAAGAGCGTCGAACCAGATATCATCTTGTCCAGCGTCGTCGACAATCCGAAAGTAGCCCGAACCAGTCAAGCTGAAGGATGCGACTTCTGAGAGATAAATATCGGGCAGTTCGGAAACGTTGACCGGGCTTCTCGGAACTTTAGCTGAAGAAGAGAAAGAATGAGCGTGGCCCCTTCTTACATCGACCCCTCGCTGGCTACCATGTGTTCGGCCACGTCGGCCATGCTACCAAGCAGACGAAGGTTGTTCAACCACTGTGTTTTGTATTGAATTAATATTTTGCAACAGCTTCCTCGGGGGATGCTTTACCTGAAACCGGATGTCTTTGGGATCGATGTTGTATACATCGCCTTCGATATGGAACGGGCTGCCACATATAACGCAAAAGGTTCCTGCCTCCATGGCATGTCGAGCGTCGCTCTTCCAGACCTCTTCGACCTTCGAAGAATGTAGACCGCCCATGTTAGCACCGTGCGATCGGATTGTAGCAGGTGCGGATCTAGAGGGCGGCCGAGGTTATTGATCCGCAAAATGATAACGCCCCGTTCCGTTCACCTAATCTAGTCTGACAGGAGGCTGCTTTCGCGTCCCGTTGAACGAATGCTGTCGAAGCAGATGTGAGACGCCAGATTGGATGTGTGACACTGGATAGGTCCGTCGCGATGGATCGATGACGGTAGTCCATTCCGCCGTAACCTAAGGAGGTATAGCGCTTCTATAGCGCTCCCCACCACTTCCGAAGCGGCCTGAGATGGCTGACTAGTGGTGTTCTTGTCCTACAAATAGAGGGATGTTTGTCATATGCGCGTTTGTGTGAACGTTCATTATTGGTTTGGTTTCGCAACCAAGAACGTTCATCTTTATCAACGATGGCGTGTGCACGGAGCTCGGAATTCCGACAAGCACATCCGAAGCGGCGGAACACCGCTTATCATGCGACTTGTACGATTAGGCAGTCTCTATGAACTCGACTCATTCTTTGTACATCATATACTCGCGACCATAGTCTTCCTCCTCCGCGGACAGGTCAGAAATGTCGTCCATTACTAACTGAGTGCTATTCCCGATCAGTCCTGTTAACCAAGGATACATCTCTGGCGATCTTATCTCGTTCGCCTCTGCGTGGTGGAATTCAGACACGGACCTCTCGCCTGGCTCAAGCACATACTTATGCCCAGCCCAACGTATGCGAGGCTTTTCAACGTATGGACGCCAACCATGGGATGTAGTCTTTATGGGATCAGGTATCTCTGTAACAGATTCAGTTCTGATGAGGAGTGTATCCTCCATATCTGATCGATCGTCCTCTATTACTGGGTCAAGCGCCATCCGCACAAGCTTCTGAGGACCCTCATCCTGAAGGGCGTTTCAGAAAACTTTCAGTGCAGGTAGTGCCTGCTTTTGAGGCAAGACCAAATCTCTGGCTTGTTTATAATTCGGCATCGGGAATCAGGTACCAGCGGCTTCCTCTGGTTACCTCAAGAGTTTGAAGCGAGGTATTGTTGATGACGTGTGTCTGTCAAAGAGGATGTAGGCCATGGCATATCCTCGTTATAGGTCACTGTAAGTATGGTCAATTTGGAGAGTACGTGTGAACGCAAATGCCAAGGTAGTAGGCTTTTGTACAAGTCCATCGGAATGCTATGCAGTTGCCAATGCGAAGGTACCAAGTCAGCGTATGTCTCACATGCATCTCGAGCTGTCACGATCTACCGCAAGTATGCGAAGATTGGGCAGTAGGTCTAGCATAAGTGCGACTAGTGCATCTTCATATCCAGCACGTATGTTCTCGCACAAGATAAGTTCGTGCGGGCGCGCCCCAGAACTTGACCTTTTCTTGACGAATTCTTTGTACCAACTTTGCTCATGCCTGTTGGAGATTGTAGCCGTTTAGTGTTATGGCTCCGAGAGGGGGGTTTCGGTCCGATTGGTAAGGCATGAGGGTTGGAGAGCACTACCTGGACCCTAAATCAGTACAAACTTGACTACTCCATGCATTTGGAGATGCTTATAGCCTTGTCTTTAAATTGTCTTGTGTCTGTAAGAGAAACTTCCATGACGCGTTGCTGATTTCATGCTAGCGTGGCATTCTCGCGTCCCGACGCTTCGGCAGCCGAGATGACTGCGCGTCATCAAGCTTCAGCTTATCGTCTTCACAGGCGGAGGTCCAGGGAACAACGTCGCAATACATCACGGCAATTGTCTGCTATCAGCTTGAATTTTTTTTTTCATTTCTTATCTTCTGTTTCGAGCCACCTTATGTGTCTTCCTCCAACCTTCCATCGCCCAACACTCGCGGAAACAATTCGCAATCGAGAGTATGTGTATGAGGTCCAATAACCTTCATGTCCCACCGCCAGGATGACAGCCACAGAAACCCAACGTGATCCAAGAATGCATAAAGCTACCCGAGGCCGAAGGACCAGCACAACTATCGCGTGGCGTTTTGATGGCAACACCCTCTTAGATCCATTTCTCGAAGCTGCGGCGGTCATCAGGCGCATGCATTCCATGATATCTCTCGTGGTATCGTGTATCACTTCCTGCAGTCGTGTTCTGCACGCCCTGGCCATCTGTCGCTCTGCTGAAGTCATCCATCTCGCAGGAACCACCGGGTGCATCCCTCTTCTTTTCCGCACCAACCCGACCTCCTACCGGCGTTCCCTTGCGCTCCTCTCTACGTGGAAATAGATTTGCGTTGTACGTCTGTAGCCTGGTACCGCCAGGGCTCGCGGTTCTTTTGCGTCCTGGCAAAAACGATACGGGAGGCGGCTGAGTCAAATCTTCGGCTGAGCTGTTCAGGGAGTTATGTCTGAGTACGGAGCGAATATTTTCTTTCGAAACGATACGGGCTATATTGCGATCGGACTCATCGCGCACAAGTTGCTGAGGACGGAAACCGCTGACATAATCCCGGGTACTATTCTGTCGCACGGAACTCTCAGAGGGAACGGATGGAATAAGCTCGTCCATCCCCGGCCATGCTGTTGCTTTAGGCGGAGAAGTGCCTGGCCAAGGGAGAGGCTTAGGCATCTCCCTGAGATGGCTGTCCTTTACACCAACACGAAGATCGCCAGAATACGGAGCTGGTTTGATGGGAACGGGTAGCCTTGTAGCTGGCTTTGCAGGCTGAATGCGTTGCGATTTATCAGTAGCGCCTTCACGTACAGTGTGAAGCTTCGTCAACGAGATCTCGTCATCCCAACCGCTGCCTTCATAGCTGGGCACCCGCACATCTGCGTAGGCCCTGCTTCCTAACACCTGTGGTGCAGCCCGCTCGTCATGTTGGTACTGACGGGGTAATGGTTGAGGTGCGGCACCCATCTGGCCCTTGGACGAGAACTCTGACACATCCGTATCATGGTGTGTTTGTCCGGTCTGGGGATTGTGTGACAGGCTAGAAGAATCTAAGTGATGGGTTGAAGTGAAGATGTTTTGCTTGGATGGCTTGTGCTCTGGATGGGGGCGTGGCCATGGTGTGACTATGGTCGTATCGGAAGATTCCAATGAAGCAAGACTCATGCAACTCTCACCTAACGAGAGGTCTCGGGCGCTAGACGCACGGCGAATTGGACCTTCACCAGGGATATGGATTTGCCGTGTCACACCGTGCAACGGACTCTTCGGCTCTTCCTTTGACGCCGTTCTGGACACGCCACGAGACAGCGAGCGACGAATACTATCCGAGTATCTTTTGATCGGGCTTTCGTTACCGTCTCTGTTTCGTTTGTTGTGGTATTCGGTGGGAGAGCCCTTCTTTATAGGGCTCCGACTACCGTGCCGGTTCACCATCTGGGGCTGGAAACTCTTCACTTCACCATTGGTCTCCGCGGCCTTCCTACGGTCTGCTCGTGCTCGTTGCTCATTCAACCACTCCTCCATCTTGTGTTTGAACTTGGGTCGCTCAACCAAACCGCCGTACTGAGGATACACGTCGCGAAGCTCCTTCTCGGTGTCGTCGTAGTGCTTTCGTGTAAGCATGCCGGCCCCTTCAACACGCTTTTGGAATGTAGCGCTATCATCGCCGATGACTTTCTTCGGTAAAGAAATGATGCGGTACGGAGTGGGCGATATCAGGCTTCCCTCAGGTACTATCACATTGCCCTTTGGGAATGCAAGACCAGATGGGCATCGTTCTTCGATGTAGAGTGCAAGGCGACCGTAGTGTCGTCGGCCTCTGATGCTGTAGGAAGTACGGACTGCGTCAATGATCGGTACGAAGACCGCTTCCCAGGCAATGCAGATGTTGCGAAGCTCAAAGTAGTCAAAGCCCCATGGGTTGCGTGATTTACCAACCTTGAATACCTGCAGCAGCCAAGCGAAGAGATGCTTCTCGTACGCCTGCACATTCCAGTTGCTCTTGTCGATCGCACCATAAATACTGGAGTCAGTTGTGTACTCCCCACTGTACTTGTTCGCACGTGGATCGTAGCGGCGTATCCCTTCATCGAACTGTGTATAAAACCACAATAGGTCTGTGCGCGAGATGCCATCCCCCCGGTCTTCTCTAGCTATCGTTGTCGCACGAGGCATTGCATCCGGTCGCAACAGGAAGATCGAATCGCGGAACACAGCCCACGGCTCTAGAAATGCAGCAGTTGCGAGAAAGCGCTCTTCGAGGCTGTCGAGGCCGGATAGTTGCAACAACGACAGTGCTTGTTTGAGCTCCGGAGAGATCTTTTCCCTATCGCCGCGTGCAAAGAAGTCGCGTACGTTTTTGATCCCTGAGTTGGACGGAGAGTGCGCCATCTCGACTTCGATTATGAGCGCGTCAATCACGGCTTTTGGTCGTGGTGATGGTCAATCTGCGTTGCTGCTGTTTGGTAGAAAGTAATATCTCTAGCGCCGTTCTCCTGCCGAGAACAAGATCTTTAGCCCTCTATTACGCCTCAGTGAATGCGACTAGATGCGGAGTATACTCAAGTGACGATAGTATGAAATCTGGTGGCAGCCTCACCTTCACTACGATCCGACAGCCCACCGTCGCTCCACTCAAACCACCACTGATACTGTGCTCAGTCCAGTGATTGGAGGATCACATACGGGAGCCTTGCGCAACCAACAACTATTTCGTACTAGCAAGCCTCTTTCACGTGTAGGATCACTACAGCTCACAACAAGTACGAGTATGGTCAATGCGCATAGAACAAACACTGTACTATCTTTCTACGACTCTGATTATATGCTTGCCTCTGTTTCCACTGGCTTAAAGTCTTTTACATCTTGCTTCACGCTTCTGTTCCTATGAATACCTCCTCAACCGTACGTATGACAACCAGGATGAGTCTCATATACCTCCCAATCTTCGCGGCAGCTGCCATGCAGGTCCTAGGGGTGGTTGTTCCTCAACAACCACCTATCTTCTCAGGCCCATGCGCCGTCCTACCCCCGTCTAACAAGACTGAAACTCCAAGCTATGATGGGGTAAAATCAGGCGCCTCATCTATCTGGGGTCACGAGGGCAGCGGCGGACCGAAGAAATGGACAGACCTCTACGTCAAGGGTCTCACCGTCATACCATATTGCTTTCCGTAAGTTTTCCTGCATGCTGACTGGCAGCCTGTCGTCCGAGAGAATCGTTCCACCGAAACCCTATGAAAATTAGGATTAGTTCAAGATACCCTGCGTCATCAGTTTTCCTGCACAGACTGCATGTGAGACACACACTGACTTGGCATGCCTACATTTAGTACTGAAGAACATCGCAAAGCCAACATCGCGAAAGTGGAAGCAGCCACCGAACTTTGGATCACAGCGCTTGGTGGTAAGGCTTCGGAGGCTAGTGGTCATAAGATCATGTTCTCTGAATGGATTGATCCTCGGAAGAAACCCATGTACTGCATCGACGTGAACAGTCCAGTTGATAGTAAGTGGAACATGGCTGTTCCATACAAAACAGTCGCTATCTGGAAGGATGATCGTGCGGGAAAACGCGCCGCATCATCTACTGTGGGAATGGGTGATTCTCCTGGAAAGCCATGGGATTTGGACATGTGGCTTGGTGAAGAGGCTAGCGTTCAGACCATTGCACATGAATTCGGCCATGTCATGGGTACGTAAACAGCCATCCAAAATTTTAAGGTCGTGAAGCTAAAACACTGAAGGAATGATGCACGAGCAACAGTAGGTGTCTCTGTACGAACCGCGCGTGAGACATATACTGACTTCGTACACCCACAAATAGACGATCCGACCGCGACACATATGTACGCTACGACTGCATGAAGGTAGATTCCGACTATTTAAGATGCATGGAGATATATGCTAACTCCGTACTTCCACCACTACAGCTCACAGATTACTCCACCGCTCTCGCACGTGCTCGCGAATCCGACCCTAGTGTGACGACTGCAGAGCTTTGTAATGACGTCAACATAGCTGCCAAATATGAATTTAGCGGTCGCTCCTTCACCAAATCCGTTCTCTATGGGAAATCCAACGACGGATGGATGCTGAATCTCGATACGCCGTACGATGTCAACAGTAGGTATCTCCTAGTCAAAAGCTTATGTGAGTCATTTGCTGACCTCGTACATCGAATTTAGGGCATTATGCACTATAATAGCTACATCATGGGTAATGATAAGTGTCAGAGAGGCAATCAAGCTGAGTGCCCAGTAGCGGTGTACAGGGATAGCACGATCCATGACAAGGGGTTTGAGATGATTCCGTTGTGGTTCAAACCGAGTCAATGGGATGCTGCATGGGTTAAGGTGCAGTATGGGTGGTCGGGGTGCTGTGATAGCGCTGAGACAAAAGGTGTAGTGGATGGCGGTGAGGTTGGGAACACTGAATTAGATGAGCTGCTTTGGCAGGCGCGAGAAGAGTATGTCAAAGGACAGTTGTAGCTTGCATTGTCAACTTTCATACTTGACTTCCTACGAGGCTATACTGGGACATAAGACATGTTAGGCAGTGCAGCGAGACATGTATCATGAGAGACATAAAGGAAGACGAGCGAAGCAGACTTGGCATAACTTTGAGCGGCGTGAAGTCAAACTATCATGAATCATTCTTACAATGGTAATCTTCGGAACGATTATGGGTTCTAGGTCATGTATTTGGGCAGATCTGAAATGTCATCAGCAAAGGCTTGTTCTCCGCATCGAAGTAACGCAAAAGACCATTGCCTCACACACTATATTTCGTCTACGAAGAGTATCCCAAATCATCGAATTCGTCAGCTGAATTCGAACAATGAGCGGTGAATCTGCTAGCGCGTTTGAGAGCAAACACTCCACGTCCAAGGACTCATATCGCTTACAAGAACCACAAAATCGCACACTGCTTTTATTCGTCAGCAGAATGAGTCTCGAAAACACTCCCGCCACAATGGCAGCTTTTACTGTCGACGAAACGAGTGCGCCCACTAGTATCGAAGACAGCAACCACCAGCAAAACGGTAAAGCTGAATATACCACAGCCACCAATCTTATCGACGCTACTAATCTCAGTGTTCAAGGAATCGTTGTCGCTGCCGGCTACCCAAGACATCTTACGCTTGACGTTGGTGGGCGCAAGTTCAAAGTCTCGTGTGACACGCTGAAGTCTGAGTCTGGCTGGTTTAAGAGGCAGCTCTCCGGACGTTTCGGTCCATGGGAGCCTGAGCTGGATGGCTCATACTTCATGGACACTGACCCTGATCTCTTTGAGTATCTTCTTCGCTTCATGCGCCGTCCCGAAGTCTTTCCTCTTTTCTACAGCAAGATGAACGGCTTTGACTATGACCTATACAATCGCCTGCAAGCAGAGGCGCTTTACTTTCAGACGGACACGCTATACGAGTGGATAAAAGACAAGGCATGCTGCATGCGTCAATCAAATTCGAACAGTACTAACTCATATCTAGAGATACCTCAACGCTATCAAAGTCAAAACTTCGAGCCTAGATATCCGCGTAGTTCATAGCCTCGATTATGTACAGCAAGAGATTCTTCCAGTCCACAAGACCGAAGAGTTGCATGTCGTTCCGCGAACACGCAAAGTTTACCTTTGTCCTCGCCAGATCGCGGGTCACAAAGGCCATCCTGAACTTTGCGGTGCGGCATGTCATAAGAGGCAGGCGGATAATGCGGTAGAATACGAGGACGTGGGTTTTCTGCAGGTAGTCAGCCTACAAAAGGAGATTGTCTTCGACGAAAAGGTCTGTAGAGACGACTGATAATATCGACGTTCCGGGAAGTGAAGGGACAGCGTTTGTATGTCACGCAGATGAGCACACGGAGTGGACCCAATGGCTTGGTGGGAGTGGTATCTCGTGGAATTTGTGCTATACGGCTAATGTGCGATGATTCTCCTATTCCATCACTTCCCCAAACCTGATCCGTGGACCTCAAGGCTTCTAATTGGTGTACGCTTTCATTGTAATGGGCTTAGCTGGAAAATACCTAGCGACAGAATCTAATCAGGCGAATAGCTCGCATACTTGAGATCATCTCAGAGTGTCAGAACTACGGTATTGAATCAACAATGCACCGAGATAATCTCTAGAGTGCTGCTTGTCTTCGACACCCGGTGGACATGCATCGTCACTCGTTCTGTCCCGGTTGCTAAACCAGGGTAATCTCCAGGACAGAGCAGTCGAGCCGCCTCTTCTGCAAGAGGCCAATTGATGCGCGTACTGCACATCGGCATCTGCAGCTTCAATGCCAACTCAATCGCATCAAGAGACTGATTCTCCATCGCTCTTGCAATCCTTGTTCCTTATCCCGGTAGCTCCGTGTCCGTCACGTCAGCGTCTGTGCGTCTCAACCTCGTCGTCACTGTCCCCGCCTTTCTTGAGGTTCGACAAATTGTCGCGAATCACAGTCCCGGAGGCACCCTTGGTATGATGTTCTTCTTCCACAGGGAACCTCGCTTATCGGCAGGATGCGTGTCGTACTTGAGAGCCTCGCACCATACATATGGTTGTGCGTAGAAAGCCGGTCTGCTTAGATTTGTACATTTCCTCTGGGCGACAAGCTTTCCACTTGTACAACTTCGGATGATCCATCGTCTTGATCTCCTGGATGATAGGCAGCAGTGTACGGACTGTGTATTTCTTGCGAAACTAGGTCAACAAAGCCTATAGGCATCGGCTGTCGTAGCGGGGGACTGTGCTCCGCATACACAGCCTTTCGCGGAAAAGTCGAATTACGTGAATGTTGGCTCATGGAGTTGAACAGATCAGTATGTTCTATCCATACTCATGCTCGATTGAAGTGGAGGTGGCATCGACGGGTCGGCGGCTGAGGACGGGTACGTGGAAGGGGCAGACATGGATCTATCGTGCCACTCTTCGTGTTCTTCTTCTGGCGACGAAAGCTCAAGCAACTTCTGTGGCGACCCAGCGGATAGCCCAAGCATGGTGAGCTTGTCTTGCAATATGCTGATAACAGCAGGGTTGCCACCACGAAAGGAAGCGAGCACTTGCGCTAGTGAGTGGATCAGATCCCTAGGACCAACGTTGAAATGAGACTCGTGGTTAAGCGAGGGCATGATCATCATAACGTCAGCAAGCGAGTTGGCGACGTCGAAGAGCTTGGACTCCTACAATTATGTCAGTGATGTCCTGTGCCACCCAGGGAGATGTTGCGTACCATGCCTGGACCATGCGCCTCGACGCTTTCCCGCGAGAGGCTACTTAGATTACTGAGAACGTTTTGGGCGACCTTAGCGGGGAAACGGAACGAGAATTCCTCATCCTGACTGGCGCGACTGCTCAAGTTCGTTACATTGAGAGCATGCTGCCACAAGAAGATACGCATCCACTGCTGAGTCATTGTGATATCTGCGCGCTGGAGCTCATTCTCAAGACTGCGAGGGTCTTCGTCACTGCTAAGTTGTTGCTGAGCTAATGCAAGAGCGTGGCGCGCAGCTGCAGGTTCAGCTGTTATGGTGACATCTAGGATATTGAACAGCCGACAAAGTTGGACGAACGCAGGTGTAACTGATCCATCATGTAAGTCTTCTAGCCTGGGAAGATTGGGAGCTCGCTTCAATGTCGTTGGCACATCGTGCTGCAAGGAGTGCGCTCGCTCTGTGATGAAGAGAAGCCAGTAGACCCTCAAAGCATACTGTATTTGCTCGGCGGTCATGAGCTCGTAGTGTGTCGGTTTATGTAAGCCTATGATGTGTGCCTTGAAAATGGCCTCGCCGAGGAGGACCGTGGAAGCGTTCATTCGCCCAACGTTTGCTGAATAAACGTGTAGGAAGAAGCTACTTAGCAAGGAGAATATAGTCACATTCTCCAAGTGATCGGACTCGTTCCTTGCTTTCTTTGCTTCCGATTCGAACGTGCCGCTTGGAACGCGATAGTGGCCCTCGAGTGGACTGCCTGGCTCGGCATCTATAGAGAATTGGCTGACTATGGCAGCACATATCGCAGTGGCTAGTGCGTAGGCTTCCAAATCGTCGGGATGAGTCAAAAGCCGTGCAGTGAGTGCTTCGGCATCGACGACTGGCCATATGCCATATCCACGTGCTTGGTAGATGTCCAGGTAATGCGATAGACAGGCAGTCGATATTCTGTGGGGCTCTTGGGGGATGGCGGACAGTGTTGGGCTTAAAATATCCGGCCAGGCTTTGGGGTCAACATCGGAATCGCTCATCAAGGGTATCGGGTCCAAATAAGGCAAATCGGTAGTCCTCGGGCTTCCAGCATCAAAGCTCGTCTCGCTGTTGCTTCTTGACCCATCATCATGGGTCCCCTTGCTGCGTTCTTGCAGTCTCCTAATGGCGGCTTCTGTAGTCCGACGTGGTCCTTTTGGTCCGCTTTTCCCATGCGTCTTCAAGTAGGTGCAGTCCCAGCTAGCAGCTTCGCATCTGGAACATGGCTGGTTGCCATCACATCGCACTTTTCCTAGAAGAGAGGCAATGTCAGTTGTGTCACGATAGTTGACCTGCATCCAACACTTACTGACAGAACAAGGGTCACACGCTCGTCGCGTTCCTTTCCGTGGGGCCATGGCCATTCTGGGGCCAAGGTACTAGCCTCTTTGGATAGACGGTATTTACGAGACGCGGGATATCGTCATCTCGTCATGACACGGATGGGTCGGGTTTCACGCACCAGCAGAATGGTGGCGTTTGTGGAGAGTTTATCGGAAGTAGACGACAATCAAACGAAGTACAGAAATATAAAGTCCATACAGAATGATGTCGTGGGAATGGATGCGGCTGATGCTGGGAACAAAAGGTGGAGATGCGGCTGCAGGTCGGTTGATCCTGCCTACTGGAGGTGCCGGCGCCGACCAATCATGGCTGAGTGCCGCCGTTGACCGCCGGCGGTCCCTGACGCCAGCTAGTCTGCCCGAAAAACTTCACGGCGCTAGAAGCTCCGTGGAAGAAAGCTGCTTCTATGGAAAGACCGGCTGTGCTCGGTATAGATAAGCGAACAGTTATATGATTCGATTACTGACATTCTAGAAGCTTACCGGGCGTGTCGTAGCGAACTTCCTTTCGGGCATGGTGTTGCACACGGGCCCTGGTGTAGTGAAAATTTGTGTTGAGAGTGCAGTGCAATGCGCTGTTCGAGCAAATCGACCAGGAATATCTTTAATAGCGCATCCATGTTTGGCAACGGTGACGCTGGCCACCCTGTTGTAACCCACAGCCTTACGGCTACGTCCGGTGTTGTCAGGAGAGCTACGTGAGGCTGACTTCCTGGCCAAATGCGCGTACGTGACGTACTGCGCGATTTTTAGCGTGTCCGACAGCGGGCGCACCAAACCTCGGATCAGTGCACCGATGTTTGAACTATTTTGGTGCGACTGCCGTCGTCTACAAGACAGCGGCACATCCCTTTAGTAGCTCTTCCAACTTTTGGTCGCTGCAATCGCACTCAGCGCGGCGGAACCGCTGGTCAACTAGGGCCCCCAAGCCCCTCGAGGAACACGTCGAGCTGAGACAGATGATTGAGCTGCGCCTCTGAACGAGCTGGCGTTCCAGACTCACAGACGACATGACGGCATTTGCTGGAAACCAAACCCAGGGGACGAGTACAGACATGGGCCTCACCATCTCGAGTCGCCTCCGACTTGTATCTGTCAAAGGGCTAGACCGATGGTGGCGCACTGTGTTCCTGTGATGCAACATCATCACGCCGCACATTGGAGGCAACGGCCATGTCGAATCCCAATCAGGCAGTAAAGTCAGAAACAAAAGCACCGCGCTGTTACTAGTCAATCCGGGGATCGAAGATGCAAAAAACACTAGCCAATGAATATGGAGTAGTTCATTCTGGATTGAATACTTGGCAATTTTTGTGTTACACTGTGGTTTGACACAGTAACCGGATCCCGGGAGCGAGCGTGAAGCAGGGGTCCAACGTGGCGAGAATCTGGACTTGCAGCTGTAACTATCACTGACATCCTCGGTCCCTCCGCCTCGACAGAATCGTAGTTAAGGCAAGATAATAGAGTCTAGCGCCACGAGATACAGCGACGTCATAGGTATCTAGTATCCTGGTCATAAACGACAGTACGAACTCCTTCATATGGCAGAATGTCTAGCTCGCATGTGGGGCCTTATCATACGTCCTGGGGAATACGAGAATCCGGGGAAGATATATTGATCTTCTCGCTAAGAGCTGCGATGCAATTTACGCATATGAGCGCTATCGCGAGGTTCACAGGTGGAAGCTCACATTGGCCCAGAGTATAACCTGATGATATGTCTGCTAGAGATACGCAAAACAAAATGTGACGACTAGTGGTCATGGAACTGCCTGGATTGGTCAGATCTTGGGATCTTGTATTTGGTCGTGTAGGCTCAGCTAATTTTGGTCTTTACTGCAGATGAAGTGAAGCACTATTGTGTTCTACAGCTATGTCAGCGGCGTCGCAAATACGGTTTTGTTGTATATATAAACCGTCGGGTTTCGTAACAACAAGAGCCGTCACATACCAAGTTGTCGACATACTTACCTCTACACATCTTTGCGAGGCATCACCACCAACATCTCCACGAAAAACAGTGCACCAACGGTTATCGCATTTCAGAATGAAGCTTCTCATAATCATGGCTGCGATCACGTCTCTCGCCCTTGGTGCGCCAAAAGATCCGTACCCAGCGCCTTGTGGAAGATCAGATCCATCTGGTATCTGCACGACCAAAGCGACTTGCTACAAGAAGGGCGGCTTCTATGTTCAGCGCGACTGCACTTTCTACAACGTGCTCGACATCGGTTGCTGCTACTCCATTCCCGACGAGAAGAAATGAGGACGACTCGAAGTGGTAGCGAGCAGACGAGATTGGTATCATCGTGATATTGGAACATCAGAACTAGAGCAAGGAGGCTTGCGACGTTTTCAACGAGAGAATCTCGAATCAATAGTGAAATTAGATGAGGAGACGGAATCAATCAACTACTGCTCCATCCAAGCACCTCTACCGTGATGGGGAATCATTGACTAAAGGTTTAGGCGGACTAATGGCTTTTTTCGTGAAGTCATTGTCTTGAGTGAATGCAACCAGAAAAAGAAGTGTTGAGATGTAGCATCGCGTAAACATATACTGCAGACTAACTCGCAAGATGCTATATCTGCGAACAGCATGCGGTGAGATGGGGGCAAGCAGCACTGAAGAGGTAGTACACGATTGTCGTGATGTATCGCTTATTGGAAAATGGGTGAGAGGAACGGGAAGAAGCAATCACCGAGGCACTATTATGTCATCGCCGCTCATTCGTCAATCGGCCATCATCGGAACATTGTCCCGTAATTCTCCGGCACCGCACTTTTCATTTCACGATGCACAAAATAGAAGAGACTAAGGACATTTCCATCTTCTTTCATGCTCAACGAGGCGCCTTGCTTCACAAGTACAAGCCCCACTTTACTGCTAAGCGTTGGTAACACTGCGCCATTTTCAACTTCTTCCCGTTCGTGCAGCTTCTCCACAACATCGTCACCTACACAACGCCAAGATGGACCCAGATCTGGACATTGTAGGCTGCTAAGCGCTATCGGAAGCGCGGAAGGCTATATACACGCTGTAGCGTGTGAGACAAGTACGTCGCCTTGAGATGCGTTTCCCGTCGTCGTGCGGACTTGCCCGTACTCATGAGCCGGTACTCTCACTCCGGATTTGCTGGCCCACGATGACTTCAACATAAACTCTACTATCCTTGTTGTCCCCGCTCATTGTTCTTCAGAAGTAACAAGATTTCATCCGCTCCCTGGTCATTGGGCCAACACGTATCAACCGGTAGGACGACGGAAGTAGAGAACATCTAGAAACAAGACTATCACAACTCAAAGACTATGGAGACGCTGAAGCGTAAGAGGCCAGGGTGCAAGCTAATAGAGGCCCACAAGAAGACCCGGAACAATAGTCCGGCCGAGTCCAGACAAAGGTGTCCAATCATGGAGGTCTTCCACCAGTATGGCTTACTGGAAATGATCGTATCCAGCCTATATCCAGACGACTTACTGGCGCTGTTATTATGCTCAAGATCCACCCATGAAGCGATCTTACCACAACCTGGTAGCCTAGAAAATTTGCTAGGGAAGCTCAAATGCTCCGGTCGAGGTGTACATGTCCGCAACAAGCGTCACAAGAAGTCTACTTTCTTCTACGCTTATGATTGTACTGAAACCATAAAGTGTGGAGCAAAAGAGTCTACCACAGAGTGCCGGCCCTGTGCCAGATGTAAAGTCAGCACTTGCGACGAATGCCGCATTCACTGCGTCTACCAGAGCATATACGAAACACCTTGCGATGAGGATGAACTGCCCAACTTCAGCGGCTTCATTCTGCTGTCACCTCTCGAGGTGCCAATCCTCAGCCCACATCACATGGATAGTGACGAAGCTGGGTCGCAGTGGCAGGATCCTTCAAACAGTCTGCAAGCACCATATCATGATCAAGGCTTCATCGACGTTCCGTTTGAGGAAGATAGCTTTGGTCTACCTGAAAGCGTCGAAGATCTTCTAGAAATGGATCTCGGTAGCCACACGTTGGCTGCATCAGCGTCTTCGAGCGTCGCTCATCCTTCGCCGGTCCTTCGAGCTTTATACCAAACGACGGAGCAGCGGAAACGATGGTTCTGCGATGAATGCCGGCCATCCATCGCGACCCAGGGTCAAGAGATTCCTCAAGCTTCTCAATGCCAGTGCACTTTACGCAATCACTTTCTTGACCGGTGGTTGTGCCTGCGCTGCTACGAAACGGAAGAACATGATCTTGACGCATCCTTTGTTGACCAAAAAGAGCGTTGCGCATGCGGACGACAAGATGGAACTAAGACATGTTTGTGGTGCTGGGGAGAAGTGGTACATCCGATGTTCGAATTTGAAGAAGTACACAACGGAGACCGCACCGAAAATACCAATCAGCCATAGCGTGCCACTTTGGGCTCTGTTTCTTTTGCTCCGGCAGCATTCTGTACTTCGAACTGTTGACTTCTGTATCCTAATACCTGTAAAATCACCCTGTATACATCTATAATCTCAACCTTTTGGTCCTGGCCGTTTACTCAGCCCGTCCCGTTCTGCTCGTCGAGGTTGACGATATACTTCCTCTTATGAACAATGGTGCGTTGATGAAGTCCATAACGAGCTGTGTTTGCAATTCACTCGTGTCTTTTTATTATATCTGCCGCAACTCGTGGTTCTTAAAGCAGCTCAAGGTCCAATTGAACTAAGCACAATACGCTTCGTGTTGCGATCCACAGCAAGCATGTTTCGGCCAGCTACACTATCGACGCAGACAGAGCACTGTTCTCTCCTTACTCATATGCATTCCCACGTTGTTCAACTGCCTCTTCGCTACGATCGACCCAGTCCCCGCAATCAACTTCAATTTCTTCTCCTCTTCTTTGATTTCTCTCTCCTTTTTTCGCTTTACGTCTCTGTACAGTACCAATTCCTCTTGCGCCTTTTCCAGCTCTTCCACAAGGTATCGGAGGCTCGGTTCATCGCGCTCGCGTCGCACGCTGATCTCGAGGTCGACGACAGTGTTCATAAGACTGTTGATGCGGTCGCCGCAAGATTTATAGGCTGATACGAGGCTGACTTGATAGACGGTGAGAAAGGTGGGCGGAGGAGAAGGCAGATTTGAGGGTGAGAGGAAGGATGAGCGAACTGATGTTATGCTGATATCGGTATCGCTTGATACTTCGTCCATTGCTGTAGCGGTATACAGAATTGTATGTTGGTACCGAGGTCTTAGTGACGATGATGATCTGCGAGGAGCTGTAGAAATTTATTTGAGTTGCTGCTCTCGTTCTTGCGTCTCTCACGGTTCAGAGTTTGCTGTGGTCTGTGAGTCAACTGCGCGAGCTTCGAAGTGAATCAGGCTAAGTCGCCAAGGTGATGTCGAAATGACTTTGGTGAGAAGTATGATGAATCTTTTGCCTCGCCCGAAAGCGGCTTCACAGATATCTGTGATTACCTTGCAGTTTCCGTCGCTCATGTTGTCGTAGCTCTCGTGGATACTGACACCCTCCTTTCATACCTACCGTCTCCTGAACGACTTACTCCGCTACACACTACAATGGGAAGGTCTCTATAAGCAAGATGCGACTTGAAAAGTGAAGTAAGAGGCCAAGCATTGATACGACCTACTGTCGAGGAGCCCATCAACATAAGGAACCACAGCGTTGGATATACTCGAGCAGGCCATAAGCGCTCACCAGAGGGGATCATGAGGCTCGACACAATCGCGGCGCTACTGCACTTTCTGGTGGATCGATTCAATGAATGTGCTTGTGATATTTCTTTATTACTTTTGAGCTTTAAGAACGTATTGTCGTGGGATGTGTGTAGGGGCACACGTCGACGTTACGGAGAAGCCACTATGACGGCACGAGTGGGACGGGCCTTGGCGCGTTCGAAGACGCGTCTCCATGGTGGTATCAAGGCACACACCACTTCACATCCCACGCTTCGCACCGCGCGCCTCTTTTTCTCCTCAATCGACCCACTCTCGACGCAACGCTTGGCCATGGCTTCGAACGTCAACGTCATAAGAATCGACACTCCACACGGCCCGCACGCTTCTCCGCAGCCCACAACCGTCGTCTACCCTCGGCCCACCGATCTTCCCTGAACCGACCGCATCCGTCAATATCTTACCCACAAGCTCATTCCCTCTCGATGCCGATCCCGAAATCTGGCCAACGTTATTCGCGCATAGTTTGGCGTATACAATCTGAAAGATCCTCATGCGTAAGAAGTTGTGGGCTATCTTAGTAGGGCATAGATGTCCACGGAATCATCTGTCTGATGGCGACGTCAATATTGTATGTTGGCGCCTTGTCCCCTCAATCGAACTCTCGCGAGCGAACCTTACAGGAACTAGGAGTGAGTCACCACTAGTATTGTTACCGTGTTTGAGTATATCGAGTATCTACCGGAAAGATGTGTACATGGCTACACTGAACCTGAGGATGAGATCTACTCGGTGAGCATAGAGCATAGGGCAATACTCAATCTCGCCACGCAACAGTCACACATGCGCAGAGGCTAGCATGTATATGAAGAAGACGTTCATAACGTGGCTTCTAGGGCTCATTTTCGCTTCGCACTGAGCAGCGTATGGTGCCTTCAACGGTCTCATAACCTCGACATAATGAGTTGGCACATGCTGCACCAGATATATGGAGATATAAAGCGACCAATAGCTTATGCAGCATTTTTTATAGTAGTGCGCAAGTACAATAGACATGAGTAGCGATAGACAGAAGAGTGTTGCGCGCCAGTGCCGGATTGTGTGTCTGTGTTGAACACACCAAATCAAACATGTTGTAACGAGGACCCAAGCTTGCCGTAGTCAAAGGCACGTACGTATAAGCTTGAACCGCAACTTTCGTATCCAAGCCAACCCCACCAGTGTAGATTTGCTTCGCAGTCTTTACTCTACGTTGTTCTTTCCAAGTCAAAATTGAGATGCCTTGGGTAGATCCTCCGAAGGTGAAAGTAATTCGCCCGTATCGTCATCGCGGCTAACAGATCAACCCAAAAACCACATTGAGAGATTGCTGACTACCAAGAGTGTATGCAGGCGCCAAAAGAGTTCCAAGCAATAGGTCAGACCTTGTTGTTGAGGCTAAGGCTTGTGTTCACCTCACTCACGTCTCGCTTCCGATGTCGCTGGCGCATGACTAGCAAGGGTGCGATCCTGCGGCGGTACGCGGAACGAGCACGCAAGGCAACAGTGGCTCAAAATTCCGCCCGTATATATTCAAGCCCCCCTATACATTAGCGTGATTGAGGAGAGTCGTCTTCGATGCAGCGAAACATGATGTGGCGCACGATCAGCATAAGACGAAAAGTAGGCATATGAGGTAAGTGAAAGACTCGTATATTAATTAGCTTCCAGTCTGGAAGTCAAATAGGTATCATCGATCATAACAGATCCACAGGTAAAGCCACCCTCAGTAGCCACCCTCGTAAACATCAACGTATCGCATCATGCTGCGCACGATCACAACCTAAGTGCGCACATGCGCCTCGATGTTGTGTCCAGCAATACCCTCCTCAACACTGTGTCTTCGGTCCTTGCCAATGTAGTTCGAGTCCGGAAGCATGTTGAGGATGTCCTCCTGCTTATCCGTCTTGCGCTGGTGGAACCAGAAGAGGATACCACCGATGAATGCCAAGATGGCAACAGTCGTGTAGTTCCAAACCAACAACGGGTCTTCGGATAGCGACACGAACGCCTGGCCAAGCGCGTTGGAGAAGGCAGACATGAAATGCCAGTAAGAGGTGACCAGCGAACGCATGTTCTTGGGGGCTTTTGTAAAGGCAAACTCGAGTCCAGTAATAGATGTGAAGATCTCGGAGAATCCGACGAGAACGTACGGAACGGCTTGGGTCCAGACGTTAAGTGGGGCTGGGTCGTCGCAGCTGTTCATGTACTTTCCGCAGGGGCCCTCGGCATAGATGTAGTGCTGGATAACGGCAGCGGAGACCATGGCGAAAGACGCAAGGATGAAACCGAAAGCGATACGCTTGATAGGAGTGAAGCGAATGTTTGCCTTGCGGAGAGCGGGGTAGAGGAAGTTGTCTACGATAGGGATGAAGATGACGAGAGAGATGGGGTTAAGATTGGTGATGACATCGTTGGGGACACCGTTACGTGTCATTGTGGCGGCTTGCGAGGTAAGGTTGTTGTTCATCTGGTTGTATGACAGCCAGTAGAGCGGGATCCAGGTAAAGCAAGAGCACGCACGCAGACCACGAGCAACCTGGTCAACCCAAGCGTCGTCGAACTGCATCCAACCAGGCTTGTTCGCACCGAGATGGCTGGGCTTGACGTCCTCCCAGAAACGCTCGCTCTTGAAGTTCTTGCGCGTGGTAACGGGGTTGATAGACCACTTGCCCTTGGTGGCAAGCTTCAGGACCTTGATGGCGCGGATGAGGACGGAACCAGTGGGGGGAGTGCGGTGGTACTTATTCCTGCAGGTCCAAAGAACCACGGGGCAGAAGCAGAACATGATGGTGGGTAGCAGCCACGCGCACCAGAAACCAACGTACTTCTCGACGTACACCATGGACAGTTGTCCAGTGAGGGAACCAATGTTGATGAACATGTAGAAGTCTGAGGTATGTTAGTGGGCTGGTCCTTGTGTGCCAGCGGGTGATGACTTACACAAGAAGATACGGGAGAGTGTGATGTTGGGGTCAGAGATGACACGCTCGCCAGTCTTGGGATCCTTGATGACACGCGGCTTGGTCTGGCGGTATTGTTCAGCAATCAGTGGGGAGATGTTGGCCTTGAATGCTCCAGTTCCGAAACCAAGGGTGATGACACCCAGGATGAAAGGTCCAATTGCATTGCCGCTAGTGAGCACAGGGGGAATGGCGGAGATGATGAGCAAGATATGGCCCAAGATAGAGAAGGCAATGGCGATGAAGATGGTGTTGAAACGACCGAGGTATTCGTCGGCGATGATAGCACCAATAATGGGAGTGGTGTACGCCCAGAAAGAGTTGAACTGTCCGATACCGAAGGAAGCACGCTGACCCATGCCAAGCGCACCTGGTTGACCCTCTTCACGTGGATCGCGACCAGTGGATTGTACGACGCCATCGATCACAGGAAGGTCCTGTTGAATGAAGTTGGTGTCTTGGAAAGAAGTCAGCGCTTTGGTTAGAGTATGTTCATGGGCAATGACGTACACAACACCTGGCAACCGTAGTATCCGAAACGCTCGCAAAGCTCGACGAACGCAATGGTGAAGGCAGTCCACGGAATCTTTCCGGATACACGACGGAGTGTCTTCAAGTCTTCCTCCGTGGGTTCCTCGCCTTCCAAGTCTGCATCAAAGACATCGGGGTCATGGGGCTGATGGCTGAGAGTCGATGGCGTGCGTTCATCCGAGAGGGCACGCTTCTCATCGACCTCGTACAGAGGCATAGCAGCCTTGGCGGGCTCGTTGGACATGGCCATGTCCACGGCGTTGGATGCAGCGTTCGTCGTCATGACTAGCAGACAGGGATGAGGTTGAGCGGGGAAAAAGAATGAGCTGCTGCTGAACAGCAGGGAAACGGGCAGTCGACTGCAATTATAGTCGTAGCCCGCACTTCCTGTAACACACGAGCGGCAAATGTGCTCTTTTCAAGCGCCGTCTTGGTATTCCTTGACTGTCTCTCTTTCGAGCAGGTGTCTGGTGTGGGTACACTCCACCACTTTGCCAGGGATTCAACTAGTTGCCCCAGGCCGGCGGTCGACCCATACAGATTCGAGAGGCCATTTCGCGAAGCCCGTCTTATCACCAGCCGGTGACTGGGCAAAGTCTGGGCGGTTGGGCGATGCCGAAAGCAAGACTACAGTTTAGAGCTTAGTACCCGTCTTTGCAGGGCTTCGGCTGGCCAAGCTCCATGGGAAATGGGTATTTCGGCGCATGCGACAACATCGATTGAGTGCTTCGGTACTTGGCAGCGTTGCTGATCACGCTTTGCATTGACGATTCCAACCATTCACACGGGTGATACCCCTAGCTCTTTCTTATCTGGACGACATGCTGTGCCATGACACCACGCCGCAGGGCGATGCGGAAGCGCACATGCGCACACAGGCTTACATACGCGGAGTGACAGGCCGTGAAAAAGTCATACATGGTCTTTACATGGAAGACACTGGTATCGACGACGAAGGAAGAGGTCGGTCCGTCCATTTTGTCGAGAAAAGGCATGTGTCATCACTTCCATCACCGCCGAAGACTGCTGCCGCTCCGCCATGGCGCCCAGCCTTCCGTCCCGCTGGGCGTTTTCTCGCCTCGGCTGCTCCCCACACCATGAAACAGACTTCGTTTGCATGCGATGTAACTCCACCAAACCCGAACAGGCAGCTCAACGACGCGGCAGCATATTTCCGTAGAGCTTTACATGAGCACACCAATCAAGTATCGCGTTATGCTTCCCACCTTAACCTAGCGCAGACGCCCCATCGCTTTCTCGAAGACATGGCACCAGCATTGGCATAACCATACCCATACGCTTATCTCCTAGGCTAGATGAAAACGTGACGAAAGAAGACAAGAGCACCGAAGAAACCCATATGCTGGTTGGCGCAAGGCTTCGCTTCTATCAGCGGAAGCTTTACCTCGCCCAGCAGCATGGCACATTTTGGCATCTCATCCCAACCTTGTAAACATTCCACCGTTAATGACCCGCTGTTTTCCGTTCCCCTTGGCATGGGCTGTTTGTCAGAAGGAATCACCTGGCGATCCTTCCACGCACATACACACACCAACACATCGAGGCGTAGTAGGATCTCTCGATAATTACAGAACAGTCGAGGATGCGGCTTGGCAGGGTGGCAATGGCGGCTGCTTATCTCTCCTCGCCCCTCATACAGCAGTAGACTTCACGAGGAAAGCTTCTGGAATCTTGATGTAGGTGTTGAATCGAACGATGCACACGCGGTGGGATAACCGAGTCATTTTGTTGGTGTATCAGCATATTGTCGAGACACACTCATTGGCGCAGCATGCAGTTGTTGCCGGGAACCGAAAGCATATCAGAATGCCAAGATAGGGCCAGCAGCCTGCGCATGCCCCGCCCGGGAATAGGTACGTACCTGGACAGACGCGGTTATTCCTGGGTAGTAGAGCCGCTGGATACCAGCCACCGGGTAGTGGGAGCGACGCTTGATGCCTAGAGTCCATGCTCTTGCGTATGTAGCACCAACGCTCACACATGTTGCGCGACCATGTCAGTTCGGATAGTATGATCGTTAGCCAAGTATATCGATAACCATGAGCTACTAAAATTACTCGGATATCAGGAGCGCATACCACTACTCCGCACAGCTATCAAGGTTGACAACCTTATCCGGTGGGCTAGGTAGGTGCAGATGGACTTTGATCTTTCCCATACATCGGTAGTATGCATGCTGGGAGGCCTGTAGCTTGCAAGGTACCACTTTGGCTCGAAACTAGTATACGACTTCAATCACGATGCTGGAAGATGGACCCACCAGGTAGAGGAACTCGTGAATCCACAACTCAAGACACAGGCGCAAATTCACTGTAGTGTTTGGGAAAGTAGAATTTGTTAATAATATATTATCATTAATCGTTCATCAATGGGTATTCATTAATGCTACAAGAGCAAAGCCGCCTTCGCAACTTTCCCTTGTTCCACCAGTCGCACAAAGATAACCATCTTAGTTACCGATTGGCAGGTCGTCCAAAGGCTCACCCTTGGACCAGTGGTTGATCCAGTTGAAGATCTCAGTGTGCCAGAACAAGCTGTTCTCCTGCTTGAGCACCCAGTGGTTCTCGTCAGGGAAGTTGAGGAACCTAGATGGGATACCGCGGGCTTGGAGGATGTTGAACAAGCTCAGACCGTCGCTCTCAGGCAGGCGGTAGTCAAGAGTGTTGTGGATGACAAACTGTGGAGTGGACCAGTTGGCAATGTGGTTCTGGGGGTTCCACTCGCGGTACGCGCCAGAGTCCCAGATGCTGCCGTTGTAGTCGTGGCGGATGAACCAGAGTTCCTCAGAAGCCCATGCTCCCTCAGTGTTGGAAATACCGTCGTGGGTGACAAGGCACTTGAACTCGTTGCCGAGGTCGTTAGCCTGGATCCAGTTGGTCATGTAACCACCGTAAGAAGCACCGGCCGCGATACCGTTCTTGGTGTCGATCCATGGCATGCTGGTGTTGACATAATTCCAAGCGTTAACCAAATCGTGGTATGGCCAGTTACCCCATTGGCCCTGGATAGAGTCGGTAAGGAACTGTCCGAAACCGGTAGATCCAGTTGGGTTGGGGGCGACGATGATGTAGCCCTGGTCAGCCCAGACCTGAGGGTTCCAGCGGTTGGACCAGCTGTTGCCCCAGTTACCTTGGGGACCACCGTGAATGTAGAAGGCGAGCGGGTACGTTACGTTCTCCTGGTAGAAGGTGGGCTTGACGACGTAGGCGTGGAGCTGTTGCTTGAGCTCGGGGTTGGAGCCGTTGAAAAAGATCTCGGAAACGGTGTGCGATCCGAGACCAGCAAGGTTGGGGTCAACCTGAGACGCGTCGAGGAGAGTGGTCTTCTTTCCGTCAGCGAGGATGTACCACTCGTTGGGAGTCCAGATGGCGGTGGCGGCGACAAACAGCGAACCGTCGGGAAGGAGCGCGAAAGTCGAGACAGAGGTGTTGGAGGTCATGGGCTCAGGAACGAAGCTCTCGTCAGCGGTAATGGGGAAGTTGAAGATCTTGACGCGAGCGTAGTCATCGGCTGTGGCGTAGATGGACGAGTCGTCGTGAGCCCAGGTAATGGGTCCCTGAACCCAGCGGTCGAAACCAGCACTCAAAGACTTCCAGTTGCTGACAGCGACACCAGTACCTTCGACAGCAACGTCGACGGTGTACAGAATCCACCTGTCGGACTCGTAGTAGTCCTCGTCCTGCTGCACGTAGGCGAGCTTGCTGCTGTCGGTGGAGAAGGAAGGAAGACCAGAAGCACCCTGGTGGCCAGCCTTAGCGGCCTCGGAGTCGGGACCGTTGAAAGCGACGGGAGCGTCAGAAGACGCAAAAGCACCAACATAGGTGTATGAGGCAGTGTAGTTGGCCTTGTTGAGCTGAGGAGCCTTGCTCACGAAAGCGTACATGGAACCATCAGGGCTGATGTCGTAGTCGCTGGAGTCACCAAACGGCTGGATGGGAGTCTCGGGCTGAGTGGTGGTGAAGTTGATGCCCTTTTGCACATTCCTCATTCCAGCACCGGACAGGGCGTAGCTGGCGTTTGCGGAAAGGGTTCCGGCAAAGAGGTTGTAGCGGTTCTTGGTTAGCCAAGTGTCCCAATGACGGACGTAGATGTCCGAGTAGTAGCGAGCAGTAGTCACTGGGGTGACTTCAGTCTCTGGGTTGACAGCTGTGCCGTTGGGGTAAGCCATGCAGTTGACCAAGAAATGCATGTCTCCGGTCGAGGTCTTTGCAACCTTGAGACCGTTGTATGGCGCATCCAGAGAAGCGACCATAGTGCTCATGTTGGGGCTCTTGATATCACCAATCCACAGAGTGACACCACCTGGGACCTCCTCGTTGGTGCCATTGATGTAGATGATACCAGTCTCGCTGCCAGGGATCCAGGCGACTTCGTTGATCTCGCTGGCGTTCAAGCCAGACTTGGTGATCTCGCCGGTCTTGAGGTCGATCAAGTTCATGCCCGAGCCTGCGCTGCCATGCTCCTCAAAGGAGTACTGGGAGTACGAGAACAGAGCGACGGAGCCATCGGGACTTGGGTCGGCGGCGCCACGGCGGACGTTGCTGAGGAGTCCTCTATTTCTCTTGTTAGTTGATGCGCAGGAGAATCAATGCAATGATGAGCTTACTCAGGTGTCAAGGCACAGGCGCCGGTAGCAGCCAAAGCTGCGGCAACACTGAGGTAACGAGCCATATTGTATGCGACCAGCTTCGTAAAAGCTCAATTGGACACGGTCGGTGGTCAAGCAAAGCTCCAGAAGGGCATGCCGCTTATTTGTACGACGAACAGCTGAGTAGACCCTGGCCCGACGATATTTACCAGCGGGGTTCACGTTGCATTCGGGACTGGTACCTGGCAGTGACAGCGCTCCCAGTTGGCTGCGCACTCGGTGATGCCATCATGCTGGCCCTGCAATGCGGTAGCTGCTATACCAAACATGTGGGAAGATGGACGCTGTTCGCCATGTCTCCTTCCTCTTCGGGGCTAGAGCTGCGGGCGCACAAACAAGCTCGCCGTCGGTGGGTTCCTAAGAAAGCATGTTTCTGCTCGTCCTATCGCGACTCGGCCCACATGTCCCGCAGTCGTGGCTCAAGCTTGGCGGCCGTGTCCATGCAGCCCTCACGTGAAGCTCACCAAAGCCCCAGCAAAGCTCTCGCCCAGATTAGTGGCGGCCGTGCCAAGTCGCGCCGTCTCCACTGAACCGGTGGTGGCGGATAAAACGGCGCGCCGAAACAGGCAGGTCGATGAAAAGTCCAACACGATTGTCCTCTCTATTCTTACTCATCGATAGCCAGTTGCGGCCTTGCTGTGCCGCTTGTATGCTGCCTCACAAAAGAGAGAGGCTGGACGTGCTGGACTTGCACGGACTGCCTCGGTCTGCTTCGGGCCTGCCGGCGCGCCTGATGTTCTTCTATCTTCCGTGAGCAAATTGGCGATCTGCACCTGCCTTGCCTGGCTTAGATATGCATACTGCATCGATGCAGCTGCTTCTTCGCGTTGGCTGATGGCGCATGTCGTGATGGGTTGATAGCATCCAACGAATGAGCTGGAGGGCCGCCTCGTATCGCACCGTGCAGCCAACATGCTGGTATCTGTGCTTGATAGTACCTTGGTGTCCGCTCCTCACAAGCAGGAATTCCGATCGTCTTTGCAGATTTTCCCCGGTTCCATCTCTTTGCTTTCCAAGGACATGGACCGATATCTACGCGCGTACCAAAGAGGGTCGAACCACGACAATCCGGAAAACGATGTTAGCGCATCCACAGTCTCGGAAGCAATCCACAACGTTGTGATTGCCACGCTTCGTTCAAGGTCGAGTGGTAACTATCGTCCATCATGCTATGTGCAGACCAAGGAGGTTTGGAAGCTTGTTCACATTCTTAGCTCGCGCTTGCCCCGCGTCACCACGTGCCTGGGGCGCTTGCGCGAGCTGACATGAACAACCCTGGAAGTTGGGCGCACGTAATAGCGTCTTCGACATCTCACATCTACCTTTGAGCATTGCTGGGTAGCGCAAACATTTCCAAATCACAGGAAATAGCATCCAGCATGCCGCGATGGTAGCCCACTGGAGGTTCGTCCAACGATAGCAGCTTCCAAGGATGAGATGGTTTGCGACTCTTGTGATTCCTCCGGATGGCTCCAGCGAGTACCAGCATGAACTTCCTGAATCCCCAGAACTACAGAATAGACGAGCTTCGGATGGCTGCTGTTATGGCTTGTATATCAATCTGCTAACAATCGTCATCCTCCAGAAAACAGCAACCACTGACTACAGTCAACCACTAGATTACACTGAGAATCAACTTCCTTTAGTGTTGCATTCGCGATTTCTAAAAGCTCTCCAGAATGCCGGACATCAAGTATTCACAGCCACTGCCCACAGCTTCCGTCCTCCAAAGTTTTACCCCTACCATGCGCTACTACGACACTATGATAAACAGTTTTCAACGCCATCTCGCAATTGAACAAGATATAGTGGCAATGTTGCCAACAGAGCATGCAAGGAAGGTTGCATATGAACAAAAGATGGCCGTACTGGATACAGCCAAAGCAAAGCTACGAGAGCTGGTCGACTTCAGTACTGAGATTATGGAGAAGCAGATTGAGAAACCCAACACAGCGTTGGGCTTATCGGCCGAGAGGGCAAATGAGCAGATACAAAACGGACTAAAAGAAGTGGAAGACGCGATGGCTGAGTTGCGATATCTGATGTGGGAGATGTGAATTGTAAAGAGGAGGGTAAGTACATTTTCCAAGACCTTATGGAACCGACATCGGACGAAGGTTGGCATATCGGTACGTGGGAATGTCGAAGTCTTTTCTTCTGTGCGCGAGGTATGTGGCGGAAGAAGAAACGAGTCAAGAATGACATGCATCTTAAGAGGTTAATCACAAGCTATATTGACCATTATTGAACCGCTCGCTCAAGGAAGTGTGCGACTCCAGACACTCACCATACGCTAACAAGCCGTCGGGCATAATGTAAACATTCTAGCTTACATTCCTGCAATATCTGCTTGGCGACAACTGATTGGCTTACTTTTGGTAGTACAAACGCTTGTTGTACTGTATGGATGCTCCAGAAGGTATTCCCGTAGTTATTCATCACCTACCCGCATCATCATATATCTGTTATGGTAATGACGGATGATGAATCGGTGAAGGCTTGCGCCACTGAGCTATCTCGCCACAAAACTTCTCTTGACGCCGCACAAGCCATGGGAAATGCCAGCGATTTAGCTCAAGAAGATGCGCTAGGGTTACATAAGAACGGGAACATTTCATTTGTTCGTTTGACAAGTTGGAGAGACCCAATTAATTCCCTCATAGATAAAACTTCTCTCGAAGGGCCAGCATGATCACAGTAAGACTTTTGACAGCCACCTTCAGCTCGTCCATAGCATCCTCTACGTTTGGTGTTAAAAGATCCTCCTTCTTTAACGTGACCATGACATCCATCACACATGTCCAATCACTCAACTCCTTACTCGCGTCCTTGATTGAACCAGTGAATGCGTGTACAGCTGGAACGAGCACGGACTTTTCAAGCGTTGCTCTTACTTTTTCGATATCTCTCTCCTCTTCTTCCTCGCAAGGTTCTTCGTCCAAGGTTCTTTGCCATTCCAGTATTCTGTTGTGGAGGGAGACGATATCTTGGACAGTGCGGGTGTTGGTGTGAATGCTCGAGGTAGGGCGTGTTTCAGCCATAGCGTGAATTGTGATGAGACTGAGTCAAGGGAGATATTACTATAGATGCAGTGTGTTTGCTGTTCCCGCTTACTGTATCGGAGTACTTGTTTTATGGAGGTCAGTTTTTAGGGTACACAGTGAGCATGACAAAGCCGACGAGGTCAATGACGGTAGTTGCTCGACTCCTAGAATCGTGATTGCCTTGAAAGTGGAGATCCAATGTATGTACTCCGAAATGACTTTTCCTACCCAAAGCTAGCTTCAGGGAGACGTTACTGACCACTTCTGTACACAAAAGCAGGGTCGGAGGATATCGCCCGTACAGTCCAAATCTGGCTCGCAAAGAATACTTCCAGATGCCAACCAAATTCGCTATCCCAGCATTCGAAACCCTTATGAATGACCACGGCATGAATTTACTGCCCCAAACCAACCTGTTGGATGCTATAGTCTCCATAGTTTAGAGCAACCCTTCTCTCCTCTCTCGTTAAGGACTTGGATCGTCTAACGCTTTTCTTGCTCCCCTCATCTTTCGCTCAAGTCGTTCTACCTCCGCCTCCAGTACGTTCGTTCTCTTCTCAGCTTGTTCACAACGCAACTGGCTTTGTCGGAGTTGCTCGCGAAGACTCTCTCCGTTGTCGAGCGCGTTGGCGTGCTGCGTCTTTAGTTCATCGTATCGAGCTTGAATGCCGCGATATGCATTTTGGCCATACGAGTATTCGTCCTTGATTCGACTCACTTCGGCTTTGAGGCTAGTGATTTGTTCTTGAAACTGATGATTTGTTTAAACTCTTGCCTGGTTAACTTCCAGCGGTCTGGTCTGAGTAGCAATCGCTGCTTTCAGTAAATCGTTTTCTGCCTTACTGGTTCTAGGCTGGGCCTCCATACGTTTTGCCATGACCGGATTCTCTGGGCTAGACGACCTAGAGATGATGATGGGTCGTTGTATCTAGAGATAAGGTCAGCTTGGACTTGAAGCAAGCCATGGCCAGTACGTACTGTGTGACCGTAGTCGCGGCGCTTGATGTTGGCTAAGATAGATTAGTTCTAGTTCCTAGAGGTAAGGAAGATCCCGTAACTTACGTGGTGCCGAATCAGATCTTTCGTCACCTTTGCGCTTTTTGAATGCGACATCTTCAGATGTCGAAACAACCGCATTTGGGACTGGAACCAGCGCTGCGTTTAAAGCCGGTCGACTGTCTCCTCTCTGTACGTCCATCTGCAGCTTTGGTGGACTTCCCTTATTCGCAATCCACGCGCACGATTTTGTAAAATCCTGCCAGAAATCTCTGTAGTGGCCAAATCCCCTTATATGCCCAGCTTCTAAGAGATAATAAAGAATTATGGCCCGTAGTCTGTTACAAACTGTTTTTTGGCCAACGGTTTGGTCTCCAAGATCACAAAAGGGTTCCACGAAATCGATGTTCTGAAGTCCGGTGTGTGGTATCCGATACACGCTGAAGTCCTGCTTGATGAGGAAAAATCCAACTAGATTATGCTTCGATCCATGTACGAAGGCGTACACAGTCTGCCTCATGTATGGGAGGTTGTTGTCAAAGATGCCGATGGCAAGTGCCATTGGTGAGGTCTCTTGTGGCAAGTTGGCGAGGACCGTTGGGCCAAGAATTTCGCAGTGGCTGAACTCGAGTGTCTCAGATCTTGGTATCTTCTCGAATTGATCAGGTATACTTGAGCGTGCCTTCCTGGTGATCGCTTGCTTACACCAGCTGGATTCGCTCTCATTGTCAATGGTGATGGGACTTTTGGCGCTGTTACTGTCCATGATGGCGGAGTAGACGCCTTGATGTCCAGCAATTTGGGAACTAGTCGAGTTCCTAGGACACTGGATTACTTTAGTATTGTTCTGGCTTCCAATATATTTTGTTACACGTACTGAAGGTATCCTAGATGCAAGACCAATGTAAGAGGTGTTCCTTCGGTCGCATTCACTACAGTGAGGCTGCTGAAGGTAAGGAAACACTGTGACTGTGGTAGGATATGTGCCACTATAGATTGTAGGTGATTCGATATGTAAAAAGGTGATTGAGTGAGGTGGACGTATGAGCAGAATTATGAAGCAAAGAGTGCCTGTCGGTTACGTATTATGTGAACAAGCTGGTTATATACTCTGAAGGGCTGAAGACCGTAGGTATAGTGAAAGAGGCTGCCAAATCATAGCCATATATGGTGATAGAAGACGGGATAGAATATCGGTGAGGGATGTTACCATGCAGACCCTGCGTTTGGATACCTAGATAAGACAGAATGATGCTACGAGTGCTGAGCAGCCAAAGTACAATATAGAGTTTGTCTAATGGAAGTGAAATTGGTTTAATCTTCATTGAAGCTGCTGGTGAGCCTGTAAAGCGACATCGTCACAACCTGGATAGTTGTCTGGCGCCTGCTACGCTTCATGGCTTATGGCTGACTGCGGTACTGGCGTGTTTGTGATAATTAAGGCCGTGTAAGTGATGTGATTGCCAGTTTGCAGCATCTAAGCACCCTTTAAGTTCCTCTTTCGCAAATGGTCGGATACGAAGGGAATAGTTAATGGCATCGGAGTTGTTCTTGGACGTCCCTGAGCCATGTTCGTTCCTGCTAAAAACCTGTTATCATCACCTCACTCGTCGTCACCGAGAAAATGGATGCCGCCTTCGGAGCTGCTGCGGCCTGAGGTTTGGGGTTTGGGGTACGGTGTGATCATAATGGCTTCAGTTGTGTTTCGCTAGGAAGCCTAAGCCATCGTCGTCACCAACGTCAACATCGTCACATACCCTCTCGCACGAAAATCGAGTATGCACCGCTCTCGTCCACGCGTCCGTGATGATCAAGATGCGCTACTATCGGTTGTTTTTCGGTTCGGCGGATTTACTGAACCAATTGACGCCGATCATCTTCCAAACCCCGCCATTCCTCCCCACATTCAGCCAGCAAAGCTTGAGCCGCCCTCCGCACGCTTGACTGGTCTTGTGTCCGCGCCCAGCTTTTAGGCTGAAGTACGGTACAACCCTCCAACCTCGTCGCGCGTTCTCGGTGGGAGATATCACGACAATTGCTGCCGTAAGCATACTAGTGACGTCTTGATCATTCATCATAAAGAAAGTATGGCGATCTATAAAGTACCTTAGAAGGGCGCCGCCTAGTTGGATGACTGACTACCACCCGTGAGGTCTATCATGCGGCTAACACTTACAACACTACTCTGCGCTGTTGGCGTTGCTGTCGCTGAAGACGGCTCAAAAGGCTGGCTTCGCTACGCGCCAATACCAGACGGGCCAGCAGCGCAGTCAGTACCCTCCACGATCATCGCACTGAACAGCACGAGAGTGAGCCCCGTATTCACTGCTGGTCAAGAGCTTCAAAAAGGTGTTGATGGCATTACTGGAAAGAAACTCAATGTGAGTGCGGTCGCAGACCAGAGTTACTCTGCCATCATTGTCGGAACTAAAGACGCGTACACGGCGGCATTCGGTAACATTGATGAATGCGAGAATCTGGACGCCGATGGCTTTTTCCTCAGCACGACTACCCCAGGCAAAGTCATCATTGTAGGACAGAATGAACGTGGCGCTCTCTACGGCGCGTTCGAATATCTTTCTCAGCTCGCGCAAAACAATGTCACGTCGGGCTCCACAGTATTCAACCCACAGGTACCCATTCGATGGACGAATGAATGGGACAACATGGATGGCAGCATCGAGCGCGGTTACGCTGGCCCCTCACTGTTCTTCCGAGACGGTTTCGTGGTAGACAACACTACGCGAGTCGCTGAATATGCCCGCCTACTTGCATCAATCCGCGTCAATGGCGCAATCATCAATAACGTCAACGCGAACGCCACGTTACTCAATGACCGCAACGTAGAGGGTCTTGGTAGGCTTGCTGATGCGATGAGACCATATGGTAAGTTGTGACCACACGAAATGCATGGGAGACATCAACTAACTTGATACTTCCACACCTGTAGGAGTACAACTTGGCATATCGCTCAACTTCGCCTCTCCAAACGCTACACTAGGGTCATTCGATCCGCTAGACCCCCGAGTGGACGCATGGTGGGCGAACATCACTAACCAGATCTATTCCAAAGTTCCGGACATGGCAGGTTACCTCGTCAAAGCCAACAGTGAGGGTCAACCAGGACCGTTGACGTACAATCGAACACTCGCGGATGGCGCCAACATGTTCGCAAGAGCAGCGAAGCCGCATGGTGGCGTGGTTATGTTCCGTGCTTTCGTATACGACAACCACATCAACGAAACGAACTGGTACAACGACAGGGCGAATGCGCAGCTGGAATTCTTTCAACATCTTGACGGAAAGTTTGATGACAACGTCGTTGTTCAGATTAAATTCGGGCCCGTATGTTTACATGTACGCTCTTCACGAAAGACGTAGACTAACGCACGCCTACCTTTGTAGATTGATTTCCAGGTCCGCGAACCAGCATCGCCATTATTCGGATCCCTGCGCCAAACGAGCACTGCCATCGAACTCCAGATCACACCCGAATACCTTGGTCAAAACTGTCATCTGGTTTACCTAGCACCACAATGGAAAGAGATACTAGAGTTTGACATGAGGTCTGAGAACCAGTCATCCAAGGTCAAAGACATCATCACCGGCGAGCGTTTCAAGCGGCCTTTGGGAGGCTACGCAGGTGTGACAGGAGTGGGATCAAACGCGACGTGGCTGGGCTCACATCTAGCAATGTCTAACTTGTATGCTTATGGACGACTAGCCTGGGACGCCTCGGTGGACTCAGAGATGATCCTCCAAGACTGGATCCGACTGACGTTTGGTTTCGATGAGGATGTTCTTGACACTCTTACAGACATGTCCATGAGGTCGTGGCCCGCATACGAAAATTACAGCGGCAACCTCGGAATCCAGACACTGACAGACATCCTGTACACACACTTCGGTCCCAATCCTGCCTCGCAGGATGGCAACGGATGGGGCCAATGGACGCGCGCCGATGCATTCAGTATCGGCATGGACAGAACTGTAAAGAATGGCACTGGTAACGCTGGACAATACCCGCCGGAGGTCGCCCAGATCTATGAGAATATAGAGTCGACGCCAGATAACTTGCTGCTCTGGTTCCACCACGTACCATATACACAGCGATTGAAGTCTAACAAGACTGTCATTCAACATTTCTACGATGCGCATTATGAAGGTGCTGCTACCGCACAAGAATTTGTCGGACAGTGGGAATCCTTGAAGGGTAAAATCGACGATGAGCGATACGAACATGTGTTGTTCAGGCAGATCTTCCAGGCTGGTCATTCCATTGTGTGGCGCGATGCGATCAACGAGTTCTACCACAATCTTTCGCAAATACCGGATGAGACCAAGCGTGTTGGCAACCATCCATACCGGATTGAGGCGGAAGATATGATGCTCGACGGTTTCAAGACATATGCCGTAAGCCCCTTTGAGACGGCTTCCGGTTACACGGCTATCGTCACCACGTCAAACTCGACGACGGGCATCGCGACAGCCAACGTCACGTTCGCATCGGGAACATACGACGTCGCTGTCAACTATTATGATTTGATTGGGGGTAAAGCAAAATACGAACTGAAACTTGGCGATCGTACTGTGGGAGCGTGGACAGGGGATCTCGAAGATAAACTGGGGCACGCGCCATCTATTTACCTAGACGGGCACTCAGCGACACGCATAACGTTCAGAGATGTCGAGGTTCGGCAAGGGGACCAAGTGCGGCTCACAGGCCAAGCGGATGGCATCGAGCCCGCACCGATCGATTACCTCTCTTTCTTGCCACCTGGCATCGTCGATTGAATCATTGTGCGTAGAAAGTATGTACAAAAAAGCAAAGCGATGCGAAATTGATGTTCTCGCATTCGGAGGCGCGACAATCTAACGTTCCACTGCCCAGTCGGCTTCATTTCCACGGCAATCCACAGCCGGGATCCCCTGCAGGTCTCCCGCAGCGCCTAATCCACATTAGTCAATTGTCTCCTTTTCTGCCAGCCATGGCAACACACCACAGTTCAACCGTTGGTGGCTTTCAGACGGGAAATCTTATACTACATTCCCGCAATTTGAGATTCGTCTCTTGCATTAGCCACTGATCTGGGGATGCAAAGCCCAGCGACACCCAGCTCTTTCTCGAACGATGTGCTGCGTACTTCCTTCGTGAATTGATCGTGATTTGTGTCTTCACCCCTTTCTCGTCCAACGTCGTGGACCACCAAGTATCCGGTGGGCACGCAAGAGCTTGAGATCCGTGCCGTACGCCAGTACTTCACGATGTGACAAGCTTGTCAGCCTCGACCAACCCAGCACACCTTTCAAAAATCGCCGACAGGCACCGCCATCTCCAAAACAAACACGCCAGCGACGACAGCCCGGCAACGCCATCCACGTCTTCTTCAAAGTGCATATTAGCATCAACTTTGTTATCGCGCGCCCAAACTAATGTCGCGTCCTAGTACAGTCGCCGCACGATGCGCTGCGCTAGGGACTTCGATCGCGCAGGTGAGCAGAGCCGCTCCAGATGTTCGACTTTGCAGCTCCAGACGCTAACGCCCAAAAGGTTATTCCGGACATCAGCAGCTTTGCACGCAAATTCCGCGATGCGCGTCACGACTTGAACACCATTAATAGTGATCTGCTGGTGATCAAAACCGGGCTCGGTATTGCGCAAGACGACTTTTCGGCCAAGTGGTCCGAATTACCGGCGTCCCTCGTTGATGCTGTATCACGAGTGCTAGATTCATGCGATGACACCAGTGAGCGATTACATAAAGCCTTTCTCAAGCTTTCTTGTAGCAGCAAACCAAAGGATGATTGGCGTGCGCTCAAGGACGGACCTTTGGTAAACCTGCGGCATGATCTTGATGCATCGAAGGTCGTACTTGAGTTGAGTTTGGACTACGTCGCATTGTAAGTTGTACATGATGTATGTTACTTGGGCACAGCACGGGACTTACTTTTCTTAGATTTTGCCAACAAGATACCCTGGATTCCTTACTGCAAAACTATGTCAGCGATCTCATTACGCAGAGCGATGAGCTACTAAAAAGGACGGACACAGACGAGATCTACGTAAACCAAACAGCGCGAGATAGACTATCTTCGCTACTACAGGCTGTTCGTCTGCTTCGCTCATGTATTACAGCCATATCTCGCGAAGGCGCGCCATCATCATCACAACTAGCAAAGAGGACAACCCTTCCACGACCAGACTCCCTGGAGCCCGCCCTTGGCGAAACGCCCAGAAGCGGGAGGAAAAGCCCCAATGAACAAACCTCAACCCGAGCCAGCGCAAACGATGGCATCGGCACATGGCTCGCTAATGTTCCGTCCTTTGAAGACGCGCAGCCTCTCTCATATTCCGCAATCGAACAGACTACCATTCCAAGACGACTTCTGATACCGCCATCGCGGAACGACATGACGCCATCGCGCGGTACGTTCTACACTGACGATGGTACCGCATCCAGCCCTACCTTGGTACCGCCGGAATCACGACTCAAAAAGTCCTACAGCTGGTGTACCGACCTCTCGGGAAAGGCAAGCACTCGGTTACAACTTGCGTCTAGACACGCGTCGAAACAAGTGTCGAAGTATACATCAACGATGTCTAGCTCAGACGTCTCTATCTTTCAGAAGCAGATCACTTCAGACAGGATCGCTGTGACGAAAGGTAAGAGGAAAGAGTTGGAACCAAATCAGAGGGCTGCTGTAGATCGTATTCTAGCAAACATACCATCAGAAGCGACGGCTTCTGAGGTAGAAAGAGTTATCTGGGAAGGCGCGAACCCAATGGCTACACATCCAGAGTTTGGATACTTTTTCATCCGCGCAGCATACGAGATGTCGCCTGATGTCCTCACTCTCCTTATGGATTTCGGCGCAGACATCACCCGCAATAATCCTCCACCATCATCATATTACTCCGCCATGCACGCTGCAACCCTAGGACGACAGCTCGACACTGTCCGCTACCTTGCTGCTCTGGGTCACTCCATCGACAACCCCGACTATAGCGGAGAGACACCTCTCCATCTTGCTTGCAGGACGCCCGGTGCGTCTGCGATTGCAAAATACTTCATCGAAGCCGGCGTCGACGTGAATTCTGAAGCGAAGAACGGACGAACACCTTTGCAGTCCGCTCTCAAAGCGGCAAGGTTAGAGGGCAAGGAGAGAAGCATGTTGATCGAGCTTTTGCTCGCACATGGGGCGGAGGGCGAAGTAAAGAGAGATCTGGATTGTGGGAGAGGTAATGAGAAGGGCAGACATGTGCTTGGTCTAACATGAGCCTGTGGATTGACCAGGGAAAAAATGATCGTTCTTTCGTTACCTCTGCCATGATGGAGTTGGTCAGTTCGTAGCAGGAAGGCATGCACTTTGCATATTCGAATATCCACCATACGTACAGGGCAGAGCAATTCACTATGAGAGTCCGCTCTGTGCCCACTATAGAAATTTACTCATGCGCCGTTACGGCCAGTTGTCACAAGCGGGCACCACGAGATAGAACGATGTACCCAAAAATATTGTATTGTAATAATCGATCATGTCAAAATCCTTCACTGAACACTAATAACGCTCGACACGAGGATCGGCATGCCATGAATCTGGAAGGTGATCTGGACGTCAAGACGCGAGGTGGTCTCTGGCCAGGTAAGCCGCCGCTAACTTATCGCGATCCACTCTTCATCGGCCAACTCCGCAACCACCGATTCCCTCATCTAAAGTCCCCATCCTCTGTTTGCTTTTGTGTCACACGATTGACCGTTACGACGTATAACATTGCTATCATGGAGAACGTATACAAGATGTGGGTAGAAGGGAAAGAGGCAGAAGGTGGAGCGGAGCAGTCAGTTAGCGGAGCCCCTCATTTGTGACCCACCACAATTATTAACAGCATCGTAGACTCGCAATTGAAGACCCCGCAACTGGAGAAGTGTTTGCACAATGCCATGCGGCATCCGCTGGCGACGTAGACAGTGTTGTTAAGACTGCACACAAGGTCTTCAAATCTGGCATCTGGTCGAAAGCGCCCCGCCATGTTCGTGCGGACACGTTGGATCGTATCGCCGAACTCCTTACGAAAAGCTTCCCGCGACTTATCGAGCTGGAAGTGCGGCAGACGGGACGCGCCATCCGCGAGATGAATGCGCAGGTCCCTACTCTTACGAAGTGGTTCAAATACTATGCCGCCTTGATACGAACCGAGGAGCGCTCAGTCTTGCCTACCGTCGGTAAATTGCACAACTGGATCGATCGTAAGCCACTCGGTGTTGTTGCGCAAATTACACCGTTCAACCACCCCATGTTGATTGCTGTCAAGAAAATTGCACCTGCCTTAGCCGCTGGTAACTCGATTGTGCTGAAACCCAGTGAACTTACGCCACTCACCAGCATCGAGCTTGGCAAACTCATGAAGGAAGCCGGCTTACCCGATGGCGTGTTCAATGTGTTGCCAGGCGACGGTATGACAACTGGAAAAGCGCTTGTAGAACATCCGCTCATCAAGAAGGTGGACGTAACTGGCGGTACACCGGCTGGGCGCGCCATTGGCGCTATCGCAGGCCGTAATCTAGCACATTACACTGCCGAGCTTGGTGGCAAGGCTCCTCTCATTGTCTTTGAACAAGCGCATGTTGATCTTGCAGTGAATGGCATCGTCTTCGCTAGCTTTATTGCCAGCGGTCAGACATGTGTGGCAGCGACGCGCATTATTGTGCAGAACAAGATTCTCGATCAGGTAGTAGAAAAGCTGAAGGCCAAGGTGCAAAGCATTGAAAGGCGGATGGGCTCACCAAAGAACGTGGAGTCCATGATGGGTCCTCTCATATCCGCAAAGCAGCTCGGTAACGTTGAGACGCTAGTCAACGATGCAAAAGACGCAGGTGTGACGGTCGTTACTGGTGGTCAAAGGATGAACAGCAAGTCTTCGATGGACGGCACCGACTTCTCGAAAGGCTACTTCTACCCGCCAACGATATTGACGGATAGCGCTTCGAAGAGGATTGTTGACACACGCATATGGAAAGAAGAGGCTTTCGGCCCTGTCATCGTTGTTGTGGGCTTCGATACTGAAGAGGAGGCGCTGGATCTAGCAAACGATAGCGAGTTTGGATTAGGCGCAGCCATCTGGACACAAGATCTTTCTCAAGCTTTCCGAGTGTCAGAAAACATTGAGAGTGGTATCTGTTGGGTCAACACGCATCACCGTAACGATCCAAGCTCACCGTGGGGTGGCATCAAGAGCTCAGGAGTGGGCAGTGAAAACGGCATCGACGCTTATAATGCGTATACGACCTCGAAGAGCACAATCATCAACTACGCCACTGCACAAGAAGGTCTAGGGAGCGACGATTGGTTTAGGGAGGGTACTGGTGAGGTTAGGTATGGATGAGGTGCGTTATGTACAATAAAAAATGTGAGAATCTAGCCTCCGTGCTGCAACTCGCCGTCGATGACATATGGTTCACGCCCCATTTTACACTGTACCAGATCTGGAGTAGAACACATCAAGACAATGTTGTAGAACAGATCATCCTACGTAGTCCACCAAGCGCCTTGATAGTGAGGCACTGCGAGGCTAAATGATAAATCATCAATTCGACACCAAGACCAAGAGGAAAAGTGGTGCCTAATGGACACAACACTGAATAAGGAGAGCATTGTAGTGTGGCCATGACCCCTTCACTTTCGGATAGGAGAGATGGCGCAAACGAGGAAGGATAGCTGAAGTGAGTTAGGCGCGTTGCGGCGATGGCGTCATAGTTCTCGGCAGAACTCTACGACGCGTCTGTTACGATCGTCGCATGCAACAGCACCACTCAGCTGCGCCTTCGAAACCACGACTTCCGTAAACATATCGTATAGAACTCACAGTAATGCTAATCAACGCAGACTAGCCTCTCTGATGCATGATCATTGAATCACCAACAAACCATCCTCCCAAACTCCTGAACTCGCCTCGATTGAAGCACGTCGGCTTCCGTACCACTCATCACCAAGACCGAATTCGTCGTCGTCAGGGATATCTAAATCCCACCGCAGCCTCTTGCTTTCAACGCGACGCTTGTGCTCGGCACCCAACTCACGGTCACCAGTTCTGCCTGGATAGTCCGGTGCCAGGAGCTTTTCGAACAATATGCGCCCACAAACCGCCATGTCGTCGTCCGCCTTGACCCGAGACGAAGCACGCTGCTCTTCGTGAGTAAGGCTGCCGGTAACGAACCCATTGGGGGCATATAGTGCCTAAATTGATGGATATATTTGCTAGTCTAATGTCCAATGCGGTAAGACTTGCTGCGGAACCGCTTGTTCTCAGGGCCGGGAGCCTTCGCGCAAAGGTCACAGTCTATAGTCTCCCTGACTGGGCACACATTGGCATCATACGCATCAGTCTGCTCGCAATACTAACCCAACTGGGCGGGACAGCGAGGGTCCTCATGCACGTTGTGTCGGTACCGGCCTGAGTATCAGAGAGTTGTCAAGACTTCTTTGTCTAGGACAACAGCGTTTCCAGTTTGGAATGGACGCATTCGATGGCTGGTTCAATCACGACAGCATATTCTTCCAGTACGTGTACGGTGGTTCATTGTGAGCAGATGTCAAGTCGGATGAGTCTTTGTTGGATATGCTATGGGTTTGTTTTTGTTCGCTGAAGCACCACTGTTCCAAATGAACTGACACCTTGGAAGCGACACTAACACGCTTGAATACCGAAGACGACTCCTGGACTATCTGTGTACTATGTGTAGCTTATTTGGGGGTCTATATGACTACTCTCGCTCACTCCTCGGTTGCCTTTCCACTTTCCCTTTCGTCCCTCGCACCCTACCCTACGGCACCACCAGCTTTTCAAACACCTCATCCATGATCCTATCCGCCTTGTTCACCTTGTCTGCGGCGTCCTCACCAGGAAGCTGCCACACAAGGCTTGCTTGCAACCCGGCCCAGAGCTCCAGATAGTCTCTCATTGGCTGATCTAGTACAGCATCGAATTTATCCTCCGGAGTGTCGGCATTCAATCTTCGAAGCTCTGCTTCCGATTCAATGAGGAGTCGAACCATCTGTTGTGCGTGCATATCAATCACGATGGGTGGTACGGCGAGAAGTTTTGGCGTTGTCGTGTGGCGCATACCAATACGATCAGGATCGAGCGATAGCTCCTGCTCCTTGAGGATGTAGTCTTTGGTCAGGCTGAGCTTGTCGCGAACCATGCTCAGATATTTCGTCTCTTCCTCTGGATTGAAGTTGGCAAAGTTTGGCGCATCAATAGCCTTGGTGTTGATCAACGGCATTTCTGTGAGCTTGAGATGATCAAAGCCGTTGTTTTCTTGATTGAAGGCGACTTTCGGATGAGCATTGCGTAGACTCAGCCCGTCGGCAGAGACCCAGTGACGACGGGAGTCGTCTTCTGAGAGACTGAGAGCGCCCTCATCCTTTTCGTTAATGCGAGGTTTGCGAGTGCGTGCTGGCATGCTAGACGTAGCTCTAGGCCGATATCTGGGGTCGCGGTGGAGAGTAGAGCTTGTAGTGATAGAGTGACGGAGTAACGGTACGGACGCGAAATGAACTTTCGAGATGACTGGACAGGCAGTGAGAGAGGTTATCAAAGCCGCACCAAGTGAAGGTAAGATAATGTTGGTTGCAAATTTAAACTTGTAAGCACGGATCACAACTCTCATTCACTAACATATTGATAGGACCTACTGCATAAAGAGGTGGCGGATACTGCAAATAGTAATAACTACTTCAAAACTTCAGAACGGAGATTCACTTCACTCTGTCCTGACCCATAATGCCCCATTCGCCCTGGAGGTATACACAGCGATGAGTGTAAGCACGACAAAGTTCACGATCTAGGTCTGCCCGAATCAACAAGCGCGTTGTTTAATCCGACCTGGCCTTCTCCGGATTGCTCAGGGGTCCAAGACGAACCTCTACACTTCCAGGAGTCTGTCCCGCCTCTAACAGCCTTTCCAGGTCCTTCAAGACGGATCGGGTTGCATCGCTCAAATACCAGGGTACACTTTCCACTGCAATCACCTCCATCTGATTCACATCGTATTGCCAATTACGACAGTGTCTGAGTTCGCTCTTACGAAGGTGCTTCACCAGACCAATCAGCGCCATTGTCTCTCCTTCGACGATCATCTGAAGCTTTGGAGTGGTATAAAGATGAATGTGATACCGGAAGTGTTCTTCTCCAGTTTCGCCTGCTAACATCGGTCTTTCGCTCTCTCCATCTTCAACCTCCTCCGGGTCTTTGAAGTACATGCTACTATCCTCGTTGCAGAAATATGTAAGGTACTTGAGCTCTTTCATGATTAGATGCATAGCGTTGGCGCTGATACATATGTCGAGGTCAGACGGTGAATTAGCGGGAAACGCCGGCGATTGAAGAACGATGCGAGAAGGCTCCGATGGTGCAAAATATTGGTTGGATGAGGCTGACGCTTGAAAACGGCGGAGCCTTCTCGCCGCTCTAGAGTCTCGAAAGATGTCACGACAGATTCGCCGCTTTACTATGTCGAAAGCTTGCTCTTCAAAGGCCTCCCTAACTTCTTCCCGTGTCATCACCCGCATGAGTTTATCATGATTGCAGCATGTGCATGGTCGTTCGATAAGATCCTTGGCCTTTGCTTCGTTGGCCTTTGCTTCGTTATAGGAGTTGTGAAGTGCCTTCTGTGGGCTCAGCTCGGACCATTCAGGCTGGTAGTCATCATCATGAGAGTGTTTACGCTTTGTGCTTATGAGCGGCGCCGTGACCCACAGCCATCGCTCCATCTTCATACGCTCAACTCCCGGAACCTCTTGTGGTACTACCCTTGATAGCAGAGCCTCTACAGCTATCTTAAATCTTTCTTCAGATATCCCATGTTCTCTGTTCGCGATAGTAGAAGTCGCATGATTACCACGGCTGTCCCCTTGAGCTGGTTCCGATGCTTCTTCACCAGTAGCTGAGGACAGTGGAGTGGCTTGAGCGACCACATCAGATTCAAGGTCGACTTTATCCATCTTTCGTGTCTTGATGTGATCTATTAGGGCGGTTATGATCGTGTCAGCGGTTATCTTCTTGCCCTTCGTGCCCAATAAAGGTGCAATGTCGTACCCGTCGTCTTTTAGTAGCTTTAGTCTCTGGAAATTACTGGCTTTCTGCCTCCACGTCTTGCGGTCCCAGACCTTGTCCAAACTTAATCCTTTGCGAATAATGTCCTGCCTCGCGAGGTGTTCCCACTCCTCGCAGTCTGGCAGAGGTTGCAAACTTTGAGAAGATTGTGGGATGATGGGACGTATGTTCGATGGGCCGGGCTGTGCTATGAACAAGTCGCCAGCGGACTCGTCAATCTGCGAAGACAATAACGTCGAAGATTTGGGCGACGTAGATGGTGCAGAGTGCTGTGCTGCTTGGCTCGAAAGGGGGGTATGCTTCTCGCGCATATTTTCAATCAAATCATCGTCCGGATGTTGATAGTTCATCGAATTGATGTTTGCAAGCGCTTGCGCTTGACTGAGCTGTTCGGGAGTGAGTTCTTGGGGCTGACGGACTATAGAATTCTCCATGCGCTTGTTGGATCTTCCTGAGTCACAGAAAGTACGAGCCTCATGGGAAACAGACTGGTGAGATTCCGTAATTCTCCACTTTTTAATGTAAGACATCTTATGCGTTGGACGTCTTGCTATTATGATCAGTGTTTCGTAAGGATTGCAAGGATGGTATGATATATCTGTGTGCTATGCAGGTACAGTTGAGCAGTTTCACCTTAAAGTACCTGCGTTTGAACCGGTGGATTCTTCTGTGTACGAGAGGGTACCAATTTGAAACAAGGGGTAAACGGTCGTGGAAAGTGCGAGAGATCGACGAAGAGTATGAACTGTTCCTACTTGTATGGGAGGGAGATTTGGTTTGTGGCGCAGATGACCCTCGTTCCCCAACGTGTGACATGATCTCTGGCGCATGAAAGCGACTCCCTATAGCTTTCACCAAGTAACCTTCACCAGGATGTTGGTGAAGAAAGGTATCAAAAGCAAGAAAGGGAATTCAGATAGGTCGAATCCATGAGCTATCTGTTGGTTAGTGTGAATCATGAATTATATAGTTGCCTGTATGGGTAATGTAAGTACGATTTCCTATAACGACGTTGATGGAAAGTATGGTTCGAGAAATCTTAGAAGAAATAAGGGTACAATGGGGTTTTCGGGAAAAGTCGACCAACTAGATGATCTTTGGGCCAACATTAGGTATGAGACTTGCTCTCACATAAGCCGTTTTTTCTGAGTTCATCGCGACGTACAAACCGCAACGACCCGAGATTGTCAACCTGCAAAGCAAACCTCTTGTTGTGGTTGAGCTGATCGGTAATTTGACTCCTGCAAAAACGGTTCTTTGTGACATATGAAAGGAGCAACCGAGCCACTGCTTCTTGAGATTAGAGTGTCGAGTTGACTAAGGGTCTGATGTGATCTGCGCGGGTCCTGTTCAGACCATGGGCTGGCGCGCTGTCGAAAACGGGACCCCGGCCGGCTGCGGGATGTGACGACTCGCACTACGAGGATATTACGAATCCTCTTCAGGAGGTGTTTTCTTTTAAGGATGGCGTCGATGGTGTAGGTAGTCAATGCCAGTGGTTGTGGAAGACGCGTCGCGACGAACCTCCAGGAAGCAAGCGCGTGGAGAACGTGACACGCTAACATCAAGTGACGTCATTAGATCAACATCTACCTTTTCGACCTCCTGATAACTTCTTTCATCTGTCCTGCTAATGTCGGATCGTCTTGAAGTGGTCTCGTTTTGAAATTCGGTGTTAAAGATACAGCTCACGTCGCTCAATACGCTCACAATGGACTTTTACCAGGCTAACGCCTTCCATCGCCACGACGCGCGACCTTTACATTGGAATTCTGAGAAGTCGATCTCATGAAGCAGCATACTTACTCACCAAGTTATCGTTAGAATGTTCAACACCGTCTCGGCCTCGCGTGGGGCACTCGAAGACCAGACTTTCTCCTTCACCTTCACCATTGTCTTGTTCACGTCCTCGTTGTTTCTCTCGCTTCCTCAACGGCATGCATGTATGCACCTCGCTTCCTAAGTTTTTGCTCAAAGCATTTCGGTTCTGATGTTGCTCTCGAATCCACGCATACGCGCTGACATGCACCTCGATGCTCCCATCCGTTTGTTGCACAACGTCACGTGAAAGGGTGCTTGCTGCCTGGCTGTTTGTCATTGGACATGCGTACTAGCGGCGATAATTCAACCACTTCTATCCACACAACAAGCTGGTCCGATCAACAACCACATCGCTGACACCGATCTCATTCTCGACCTCGCTGCGGCGAACACAATTCGCCATGACTGCGCCCGGCCACAACCGTTATGCAATGTTCGCTAGCACAGATGGTAGTGCAACTCAAGTGCCTAGTGCTGCTGCAGATCCTGCTCAGAATCCGTTCCTCAACCAGGTCGCCGATGACTCCATACCATGGCAAGAGGTGAAGAAGCGTGACCCTTCAGCAATGCAACCGGCACCACCAGTTCGCCCTCCGCGAGTTGTGAAGGACCGCACCAAAGCTATTCTCAACCACCCACTGACTCACCGAGAGCGAGACCGGGCCATCTCGGGCTCAACAGACAATGACAGCGAGAAGGCATATGATCCGCACGAGAATTGGTGTGGTGTCTGCTCGCGCAAGTTCCTTAACAAGGCCGCATTGCTCAGTCATATCAAGCAGAGCAATGGTCACGAAAACTACTGCAATCTCTGCAAACGCGTGTTTGTGGACCGCAATGGTCTCAAGAACCATGTTGACCATTCGTGGAATCACGAGATTCACTGTAACCTCTGTCTTTCCGCCTTCAAAGATGACTGGGGTCTCAAAAATCACTTTGAGAACAACTACAGTGTTGGACATGAGTTCGTATGTCTCACCTGTCTACTTGGTTTCAGAACCCGCCAAGAGATGGAGCGCCACCTTCAGAACGCTCCGAAGCATACATGGTGCGGAACATGCCAGCGCCGCTTCCGCAAACAGGATGAGCGCGATGAGCATTGGCAACAGACGAACAGTAAGTGCACAAAGGGTTTTCTTCATTGCTTGAGCCCATTCGCATACTTTCTTCGAATGTTTAGTGAAGTTTTACTTCAGCCTACTGTATCATACAGACGTAGCTGACCAAGGTAAGAGCATAGGCATTGCTTACAACCAGGCTGTGACTTCGATGGCCCGGATCAGGCCGCTCTCACACAGCACCTCAAACGCGATCACTTCCAGTGCGAAGGTTGCAAGCGCGTACTTCCAAGCCTGACCAAGCTCAACCAACACTACGAGAGCTGTTCTTTCGCACTTGCCTGCCCTCAATGTGACGAGTACCACGCTGGTAAGGCCCAACTGGCTCTTCATCTTGAGCGCTGCTTTCTCTGCAATGATTGTGGCTACCATACGCACCACGAGGGCAACTACCACATCGTAAGTGGTTTGCCACGCTACTGGCTCGCGACTGCCATGCTAACAACACGCTAGCACATGACGAAACACAGCTCCACCAGTATCGGTTGTTGGGGCTGCGACGCACCGATACGCACCTACTCCAGTCTCATCAACCATCTGGAGTCAGGCAAGTGCCCGAAGCTTTCTGAACCGGCGCTTCTCATGCGCTGTCTTGGCAAGTGGTGGTACTCACCACTTTATATGGATCTCGACATGCACGCATCCAT